TTTAATTTTTCACATAGATCAACATGAGTACTAACAACAAAAATATCAATAAAATATAACTAAGAAATATACAAGAAATACATTGAAAATCGTATGTTTGTGCCATTCTCAGTTCGATTTAAGTGAAAAGCGTTTAAACGCTCTTCAATTTTGTGTCATTTTTCACTATTATAATAATTATTTTGGAAAATCGGAGCCAGCTTATAATGACCTGGATTTTTGCCAATTAGTAATTAGTATAGATTTACATCAAATGGTGTAACAATCTCAAAAAAATATTTTTAGTCCCGTCATGTCAAAAAACCTCAGTGGAGTCCCTTTAAAATAGCATGCTTCCAGTCATTTTATTTCTGTTCGAAACTATTGAATATGTTCCAAATGCTAAAGTTGTTGTAACATAAATACATATAGTCATAATAACACTTCATATAAGTACAAATTATCACAAGAATGTCATACGAAAAGTAAATATAAAACATGGAAAACTTTCAAAAGTAAACAAGGCTAGAAAAGAATAGAATATTTTCAATTTTCATTCAAGGGTCATGTTAAATGACATATAAATCATAATTATAATGAGATCAGTGATCGAAATATAACGAAAAATAAACATCATAATAAACATATAATGGTTCTTAAGATGTACATTTAATCCTAATTTATTGTCGTATCTTCAGATGACAATTAACGATTTATAGCCATGAACAATAATTTCAAAGATGAGCCACAGTAAATTGTGAAAGTCTTTAGCTTTCATACAAATTTTTCGACATAGCATTTTGATTATAATGAACGCCATGTTAATATTTTCATAGTTTTTTTATGTATTTATATTTTTATTTGTCATTTTTTTCTTGGTACGGTGCGCTTCCATGTAGCTCATGCAGCTAAAATGAGCATACTTTCGAAGAAAGGATTTTTTTTTATTGTGGCAGGCTTTAAAATCTTCAAAAGGCTTACCTTCTGGAAGACTTATACTAAATGCATGCTTCTAATATGAAGCAGTGTTTAAACAAATGGCTCGTAAAGATTAATCATTCATTCAGAACAAAATATCGATTCTTCTATGTGAGGAAGCTATCCAGCTGGCTTACGAAAGTTCGGAGGTTTCTCCCAAATGCCCGTTGGTGGCTGAAACAAACCACGGCCTGACACCTGAGGTCTTCCTCAACCATTAAAGCTAGAAATTCGCCATATGACCTTCACATAGTATCGTGTCTGGACACAGTCTGGTGACATTCTCATCTCATATCGTTTAACATTAATCTAACAAATGTCAGCACCATTTTAAAGAAGATTTGATTTGGTTAAAATTAAACATAAAAGGTACAAAAAGATACTAAGAAATTCTCCAATATTGTTCTGGCTTATATTCATCTTAAAGGGAAACAACTGAGTTCAATTTGTAATATCCCTAATATGCAAGTTTTCTCCCTTCTCACAACATACCTGTCATGTAGTAGTTTTACCAATTGTTCTTAATTCCTAGATTTCATCATGATTTTCTAAATTTTAAAACGCTACTAGAACTGCTTCACCAATCGCTTTTAATTCCTAGATTTCATTATGATTTTCTAAATTTTAAAACATTACTAGAACTGTTTACCCAATTGTTCTTATTTTCTAGATTTCATTATTATTTTCTAAATTGTAAACACTTCTAGAACTTTTTTTACCAATTTAATTGTTCTTAATTCCTAGATTTCATCATTATTTTTCTAAATTTTAAAACGCTAATTACTTGCACTTCCATTTTAGAACTTATCATGTACAGAACTACAAAATGATTTTAGCAATTTCAAAGGCACATTATGCCTGCTCAATTAATATTATGTTTCCCTTTTTGACAAATTATAGTGTTAATATGTTTAAATAATGGTTTTGATGCATGTTAGATACTTATCGCCTAAAATGCATGGAATTATTTATCATAAAAGTAGCAAAATGTTAACAATCTGATTTTTTTTACTTCGAACAAAATAGTAAACCACTATAATTGTTCGAATTGCCCAAAAAAGCAAAAGATGATTAAATACTTGTAATTGGCCAATGAGTAACATTTTTGAAAATATAACAGAAACACATAAAAAATAAACGCTTTTGAGAAGTAAAAATACGTGTCTTGGGCATAATGGGCCTTTAAGTGCGAAATGATTAGTTTCATGGTAATAGAACCATAAAATGTAGTTTAGTGTATTTTTGGCGCGATTTTGATTCACGAACCGCACAAAGGTAATTAATACACGGTTTTTGTTTTGAGATAGATTAAAATATAAACATTATATTAAGTAAACTCTTATTTAACCCCCAATATTCACAGTATTTTTTACGTAAATTTCTATTGTTTATGTCGATTGTTACTTGATTGCCTGTACATGCATGTTTTCTAACTTCATTTTGATTGATTCGTGTATGTTTTACTGACGGATACGACGTTGGACGCTATCTATGTGTTATTTCGGTTTTACTTATATATATTTGTATTAGTTCGAAGGGAAAAAGCTATTGTTATGACCCTCTCGTCAGAGTTGGTTAACCTTTTGGTTCAGGTCCATTTTCCCAGAAACTAAACAAGCCAGTCAGTTCAAATTCAATACATTTGTTAATTGTCATAAAAGGACGCCATTTGTTTTTTGCAAAGTTATGCCCCTTGCAATACTGGTTACAAACAATCAAAGTCATAACTTCACCCTTCAACCAAGGTATATATGTTCACTGTAAAACAGACACCATTTCAGACGGGCAGAACACACTAAAATACATTTTTGCAAACTTCTGCCACATTTTAAGGTCTCACCCCGGTACGGAATTAGACCCAACCCGTTGTAGTTCTTTTAATTTTTGAAATGGTCCAATTTAAGTTCTCACTAGTCTGATTGGTCATAATTAAAGTGTATGTATTGCATGTGTGTAGTTTTTGTGGTGTGTCATAGGATGACTTTAAAAGTTGTTTTTTGTGTATTTTCCAGGAACTCATTTGTTGGAGGAAGGGTTAAAATTGTACTACCCACCGGCAGTCAGGAGTTATCAAAGTGGTGAATTTAAACAGTGTTAAAACAGAATGAAGATTTCTGAAAAAAGTAGGTAGCTAACATATTATATTTCGGGCCTTATTTGACTTAGATAGTTGAAGAAGGTATGTAATTCATCAAGAACAGTGAAATTGAAAATTAAGCCTCAAATGTGGCTAATTTACTATAGAACAAAGAATACGAAAATTCACCAGGCCTACACGTTAAATTATTTTTTGTAAAGGTCAATATTCTGAATGACTGTCAAAGTTAATTACTTCGAACTTTGAATATTTAATTAATTTTGAAATTCGAATGCATTTCTTAAGGACGTGTATACTTATAATCTATGTTTTCGCTCAGTTATGACCCTTTCTTGCTTTAAATAAATTTTGTAACTGTTTTGTTTTGGTACATTTTTCAAAAATTATCAAAGATATTCACTTTAAACTTTAGTTTTTGTTCACTTTCAAATTTGAAATGCATTTCTAAGGGGCGAATGTATTCACTCAATACTTGAAAGAAATATTTGTTGACTGTCAATGGCAGGTAAGTCTGCTTGCTTAGCACTTTTGTAGAAATATGTCCCCTTTTTATTTTGCTTTTATTTAAATGCACAATATGCCTCAGAAATGGTTTTATTTTTATTTCTCAAAGCTTTGTTATGTTGGATTTAGAATAATGAATTAAGAGCATTTGAGGTGTTTAACAACTGGAGAAAGTAGCGCTGAACATCCAGTATCAGTTTTCCATACAAAATACTAGTTCACTATAATTATACCAATTGCTAATAAGCAAAAGAGTCAAAACATATTTCAACTTTAGGGCAATGGAAACTGTAACAAGATACCAAAAATATTTTTATCTTATTTTTTATTGAGAAATAAAAAAGATAGCATTTCATGGGCTTAATGGACCTTTTTAACTTTTTTCCAACAAAATGTTCCAGCTTTAAAAAGGTGGTTATTCATAGAATCATTACTTTTTAATAATTTAGAATTTTAACCCTAAAATACTCTTAACTATTGTATTACACCTGAATTTGAAATTTACTGTATTTGTTTTATTCTGAAGCTATTTGATTTGGCGGGGTTCTTTTTAGAAATAAGTCGAATACGAATTATTGAATAATTAACACCATTCTTCGATTTCAATCAACTTTTGACTGGTTTACTTTTTTTTGTTATATATTTATCGAGGATTCGAAACAATCAATCGTGTTTTATCTGCTTTATCCATTAAAATTTGAACAACAATGATGAGTGTTTTATCCAGATTAAAAGATGGGCAAGTCAATTTTAAATATTAAGTGGTAAGTGTTAAAGCAAATTAAACAGTCTGAATAGACAAAAATATTCCTTTGTTTCCCTCTAATGGCTTTCCAAAATAACAGTTAATCAGCTATGGAAATGAGAACGATACAGGTCTAGGGTCGTACACTTCTCTTGCAAACATGAATAACTTTTGCAATAACCTTTTATTATATAAAGAATATACATTTGATAAAATTCGTACCTGCATAACAAGCACAACTTGGTTTGAGTAAACTCCTTTCAAAATCGGTGTTTCGAATTTGAGAAATTTCCACAATTTCCAAACTCATAACTATTCACAGTCACAGATAGGAATTCAGAGAAAATTCAGAATTTAAGAATTTCCGTTTATGATATTTGTGTATTTACTTAATAAAAATGACCCGTATTGCAAGGAAATGGTATGAAATACTCTGAAAATAAAATGTTTATATAACAAGCAAATGTTATTTCTTATGGAGGCATTTCATTTGCTCATGAAAATACCAGAATGATCCATTTTTCTATTTTTCTGCTACCGGAACATCTCTCCTACTATACAGATGTCAACTACCGTTAGACTTATCACAAGCTGTTTTCTGTTTTGCGAGGCAAATTATTTAGAGACTCAACAATTAAAGAATCAAATATTCCATAGCTCGTTTAACTGATTTTCAGTGCTTTGATTGTATCCAGGGATCTTCCTTTTGAGCTAGTATTTGGTCTTTTAATTTTATATTCTGTTCCACATGTCTGTATCAATTATAAACAGGTGATTATTTAACTGGGCTTTCAATCTTGCAGAAAGCTTTTTTTCAATAGTTTCATTTCTGGAACCACAGGAACCGGTCCCTGTGTCTGGAACTGCTATCAATTGATAGAATGGGATATAGATAATAAATTTTGTTGTAATTGGATATTGGATTATATAAAAATTATAAAAAATCGGCTGATTCTGGAAGCTTTTAAGGGTCAAGCGGAACAAATACTAGCTGACTAAAGATAAGCAGTATTTAATAGTGTTTACTTGAAAACTGTTGCCTTTTGTTTCATTATATAGATTGACTGAATGTCCGACTTAAATAGGAATACACAAAATAAACAAAACGAGGGTTAATAGTGTTTTTGTAATAAGATCTGTGCGCAAACTTGATTTTTTTCACATTTCCTCTGACTATGAATTTCTCACCATGATGTCTGCTCATTGCATGAAAATAATTTACATCTGTGCAATAGTACTATCAGTGAGTTTGTTAACAATCACAGGACTCTTTTCTCATAATGCCTTTATGCCCGGGTATTATTTGAAAGGAAGCGTTATAATTGCAAAATATGTGTCGGTATCATGGGAACAGTGCGTTGAGTTTTGTTTAGCGAGGTCTAAATGCCTTTCCGTAGAAATGGAGGTTCGTTTCCATTTATGCCGGGTGTTGTCAAGCGATACTTTATCCATTGGAGTGGAGCTAAAACGGAAACCAGGTGTATGGTTCGGCGAGAAAAGGCATTGGGACAAGGTAAGGTTGGCGAGAAAAGGCATTGGGACAGTTAAACTCAACTTAACCACGTGCATATTATTTCATGTAATTTTTGTTTTTTAGATATTTTCATCTCATATCAAAAATTTAAATTTTGTTGAAATTGGCCCACAAAAAAGATTTTTTCAAGCTTTCGTCCTGCCAATGTGTGTAATGTTTCTTGTCAATATTTAGTTAACGTATTTTATTTTTGTTTGATTTCAAGTCGGACCACACAAAATGGGACCTATGGTGACTTAGGTGTACTGTTAAAATAAGTTCCGACAACCAGTAGTAAACGACACGTGTGTCCTGCCAAAAAATGTTTCTTCGTCGTATTCATGATACATGTTAAGATTATGCCAAAATATTACGATTTATGATTTTTATTTCTAATATAACTGCAGAAAAAAAACATTATTAAATATGTGTGGTGCGGGGTTTTAAGGGTGGTACTGGAGGGGGTGGGGAGGTAGGTTTACGTCCATTGATATTCTTTAACATTTAATCAGTGTCGTATTTTCTCCGTAGTATAATATTCCATTAAAGTGTAATAGTTATAAATGTCCACATTTTTATTCTTTCGATGATAATTAAGTACAAACTCAGTAAATCCGTTTTTTCTATTTTTAATACAGTTTTCTTTTCTCATATTTACACAAACAGTTCTGACCGGTCAAAATAACAAATATATATGTACATGTAATGCATGTACTGTGTAACATTAAAATGCACCGCAGAAAACTGCGGCACTAACACTTTAAAATTAAACCATTACATGTTAAGTGTCTGACTGCCTGAATAATTCTATCTCAAAAAGTTCTGTCTCTATTATTAATACAAAATAATTGTAACAAAGGTTTCAATAATTAACCAATGAAAAAATGACCCTTAAACAGGAAAATATTAACCAATGAAAATACATTTTATCAAATATGAAATTATAGATTTGACCAATAAAAATGGTTCGATTAAGACTGAATAACACGCTAGATGTCAAAAGTCAGAGGCCTGTTAATTCCTTTCTTTAAGTCAAACAGATAATCAGATAAGAAAACTTCATATAAATGTCGTAGATAAAATTAATGATAATAATCACGTTGCCATACATGTGACGTAAACAAGTTTGCTTCTTTAAATTGAAGCTTACGAGAGGTATTTTTGCTGCTGTAATAGATTTGTTTAAATCGAAAATATTTGGGGATATTTTTGCATAAACACAATGAATGGTTATAAATTACAATCATTTAACAAAATAGAATTTATTATATATATTTATTATAGTATCATAATGAAAGTTTGTTTTACACTTCGTTTTGTTTTAATGTTTTGAATGATTATATGCGGGAGAAATGGACTTTTTTTCTCGGCGCATTGGGGGTACTTTTTCTAAAAGGGAACAATTTATGTTATGTCATCAAACTAAATTTAAAATAAATGAAAAAAACATGTATATATATTAAAAGTCTAATTAAATTCCATAAGCACATTTTCGGTAAATGTTATGGTAAGTATATGGAACTATTTCCTATACATTTTCCAAAACGGACATAAAGTTTATTAATCAAACACTTTTTAGTCCCAGATTTACATACAAATGTTTATAACATTTGATTGGAATAAACAGTATATAAAGCTTCATGCCTCAAACAACAAAATTTGAGGAAAATCTTGAGTAAATTGTGTGCCATGTGCGCCAAAAAATCTCCGTTGCGTTATTTAGTCATACCGGTTCAAAGGAGAAGCACAATTTCGGTACACGGTTCACTCGGTCATATAATAGTGCATGGTGATATTGTACATGTAATGTTCACTGCTACTATTTATCGGAACATGAAATAGTAAAACGCTTTTTCAGAAAACAATACGGTAATCGAATTTATACAATATAATAGATTAAAACGGAATGAAACATTCACGTAACGCTAAGTAATGATATTTTCCTATTTTTCTATGTACCGATATGTTCATTTCGATTTGAATTTTTCGTTTAAATTAAGTCGTTTTTTGAAACGGAGAATGCGCGAAACAATTTTTGTAGACTGCTCCTAATGGTTTTACGCTTTAAATGAGATTCATTCACTACAATCAGATACGCAAAAATGGATGCCGCCAGCAATCAGTCTGATGACCTCTCCAATAAACATAAATGTGTCAGACAAGTAAATTGCAATAAACATGCCAGGGGTCTGGCTAATTGATAATTTATATATTTCTAATTGCAATAACTTAAAAACTTTTCATAACATAAACAAGAAAATTTAATAATTTTACGACAAGTATTTTGAAAGAATCAAATAAAAAAAATACAGCATAACATACGAACAATATAAAGAAATATCGTTTCTATGAAATGTAGTTTAGCGCAACCCAGTGTGCATGCGTTTTTGTTACTATTCTTTAATTCTGTTTTCTTAGTTTTATTCTGAATTTTGTTGTAGTTTTGTAAATAAGCATGTACTACAGCAAAATATGCATATACAATGGCGAGATTGTGGGGACAGCAGCCCCAAATAAGCAATTGTGCTAGTATATAAATAACACGTTAGTTTGTGGATAACAGTAAAACATCATCCCGAGGAAAATACAAAACACACACTAAGTTAGCTAGATGCTAATAAAAGAAAGATCGTCTTTAACAGCCACATTCACTACTACATCGCTTCTGTTGAGCTGTTTAAATCGTTTAATTTTTTTTTTAACAATTACACTTTTTTCTTATTAGCATCTTATACACTTATTTGGTTTTGACCTCCTTTTCGTTGGATCAAGAAAGGTGCGGCGTTAAAACAAATGGTTAAATTCATAAACTCTTATTAAAGAAAGTAGTTCACGCGAATATTCGGTCGAAAAAAATGGACAAAGACTTATAACCATTTTGTGACTATCAAATAAATCGTTTAAGAATGGGTTACGCCGGATGTGCAGGCTGGTCTGGCTCTTATTCTCGTGTCAGGTTATTGGTAAACATAATCTTTTTTTTCTTCAGGTGACTATCGACAGCCAATGTCTTGTCGACTGCTCTTTAGCCGAGATGTGTTTCATAAATGGATCAACCATTTGTGCAATAACTGGTAAAATAATATAAGCTTTGTTCCTTTCACATTTCAATTGTAACCATGTTAATAATTCAGTGCAATATATCGAGCTGCTGATTTAATATGCAACGCTTTTAGAAAAAGGACCATAGCGAACCTGTTATGCAAATAACATCATCGTGTCACGTTTTATTAACCAGTTGCTGGCAATACCATTTTCAAATCGATACTGCAGTTTTTATTTTAAAGATATAAGAAAAACAGAAATCTGAACAGGTTCGATCATGATAAAAATCAAATTCTATTTGCCAATGCTTTCTCTTCGCATTGTTGTTTATTGTTGTACATTGTCATCAAATACATGTAGAAAAATGATAACTTTTAGCTTGCTCTAAATTTTGATTATTAAGTAGATTGCTATCAATATTATTTTGTTAAAACGAGATTATATCGTTACATGGTTACAGAATGTGGTGAACCTCCTATACTTGACACTACAAGCGTGATCCTTGGCTCTGAGCTCTATGTTGGGTCAATGATTCAGTATAAATGCATAGATAATGAGATCGTTACAGCTATGTCAGAGTGTAAAATTGATGGTCAGTGGTCACTACAAGAGTTTACTTGTCCAATAGGTATCATAGATATCATATATTTATCTAATTATTCAAATCAGTATTTTGTTACCAGTATCTTACGTTATAAGTACACAATGCCATAACTTTAAAAGATTTTTGGTCCGAATTTGAAATTCCTTTATACCATGAATAATGATGCTGTAATTTTAAGTATTATCATACATTACAACAAACCGCGAAATATGTATATATAGGTTTTGTCCGTAAGTGTGAGATTGCATATACATGTACATTGTATATAGCAGGTAATTTATTGTTCTAGATCAAAAGTTAATTTTTCATCTCATAAACGTTCCTACTAAATTACTCAAACTATATACAATGTATATCAACACTTTTTATAAAGATATAATTATGTTTTTTTATGAATACAAATATAATATATTTCTATTGATTCCATCTACCATTTGAAATTCATGTGCGTGTGTTCACAAGACTTTGTAGCGCAACATTATTCTGCTTGTTTGTGTATATATCATTAAATCATTACATATTAAATTATGTAATTTAATTAAGCTTCCAAGTGCCGGGGTGGCTGGATCCAGTTTCAAGACTCGTGCTATCTATTCCAAGATATCGACGGAAATTTCGACTCGGCAAAGGTAAGAAAAAACATTTTACAAATAATTCAGATTAAAATCACAGCTTTAAATTTTATTGATAGAATCTAGTTGAATAAATGTTTTTAATTTTTATCGTCTGCTTCGACATTTTTGTAAGCCGTTAATCTGCTGAATTGTTGAATTGTTGTTTTGGAGGTTGTATTGCTTTGAACATGAACCCATCCTATATCTATATGTATGTATGTATGTATGTAGGTAAAAGTTGAGGCATCTGAGCAGACGAGAATAGCCGTGTACTCCTATGAAATTTAGGAGGACTTAGCCCGTTATTGCATTCAGGTGACGAAATAGTTGGTAAATAGATTAAAAATCACGATGAAGAGTATATCTAAATGATACATATTTTATCATTATTATGTAAACATAATAGTTTTGAAATGATATCTTAAAACAGTTGCTACAATATAGATCTATGACTTTTGCGCATTCGACTTTATCTTAAGCATTACCATGCGTACATGTAATATCAATTGCAATCTATATTTATCTTTTTTTTTGTCCCGACGCAGCACAAAGTGTTCTCAAATTTAAACATTTAGAGTAAATTTTAATAAATTTACACGACTTCTGTTGGAATTTCAATATTCTATGATTGAGTTTCTAGTATTATATCGATAACAATACCTTTTAATGAAAAATAGTGAGTGGCTAGGGGAAACCAATCTTCAGTGTTGATATAGTTGTGGAGTTGTCTCCCTTGAAGCAAAATTGTAACTCTTAGAATGGCTTTTGATGTATTTTATGTTTGTAATTTATGTTTTATATGTATTTATATATAAAGATAAGACTTTAATAAATAAATGGAAAGTAAATAAATAAATTAATTAATTACTTAATTAATAAATTAATAAATAAATCGAATATAACCTTGACAACAATAATTTTCTAGCAAAACTGCAAAAGTAAAGACGCTCGATTGGTTATTGTGGAAACAGCTGAAGAGAATACGTTTTTACGTGGTATACTTAGTAGCCGTCCAAGTAAGTATCATCCATTGTGGTTATAATACCTCAATTAAAGGCACATTATGTCTTAAAAACAAATATTTGTTTCTTTGTCTAGAATGGCAAACACCGGTTTTATAACGTCAAAATATTTCCGAGCATGTTACTTGCTTATATAATCTTTAAATATCTTTTTTCTATCTCTTTCATTCAATTATTCATATATTGCATTAAACACAGGCACCTTTTAAATTTATGCGAATTAACTTCCTTATTGTGGTCAACGAAAGGCAAATAACTGTGGACTTATTCCATATGTAATGCGTGAGACATGATAAAATCTCTAATAATTCTACTAGATCTATTGTAATCTGAAAATCTGATAAAAAATATTTTACATAATGTTGCTATAATAAAATATCCGTATACAAGAATTTGACAGTTCAACTAAATCAGCTGTTATATATTGACGTTTCTTTTCTTCATATTTTGTTATTATATTATAAAGAATATTGACGCTAAAAAAAAGGTTGCCACTTTTGGCAAGGGAGGGAATAACTGTAAAAACCGGAAACTATCTTTTATTTATGATTTAAGTGAAGGACTATTGGATAGGAATGATTTCTTCATCATCAGCTGTAGAAGGCTGGAAATGGTCAGAAACCAACGAAGATGTGACGTTCTTTGACTGGGCCACTGGTGAACCGAATAGAAATGATGAGAACTGTGCCGTATTTGGCGATACCATAGAGTATAGATGGGCAGATGTATCTTGTTATTCGGCAAGAAATATTTTATGTGAAAGGGAAAACTTGGCAAAATGAGCAGTGATATTCTTGCTTTAAACTGTACACAAAGAAAGGTTATATTATATACTAGTATACTTGTTAAAAGTCAGTCCTTATAACGTTTAACTGTCACAGAAGATAACGTCCAATTATCAGATGTTTCTTTGTAAGTGCTTCACTTGATGAAATATGTTTTTAGGCTTTTTGACCTCAGTGGAGCTCCTTTGACTGATTATGGGGAATTCACCACACATGAAAGGGGAGAAAACTTGTATTACTAGAATATTACAATTTGAACATAGTTGTCTCCCTTTTAAACTGAAGTTGAGGGATATCGTGTCAATTACGAAATAAATCTACACTTTTTTGGGACGGACTTTTGTATATTACGTATACATTCTAGATGTGTGTAACAAATGAGATGGGAATGAGAAAGGTCGCGAAACCCGGTGAAAATAATAAAATGTTCAGTTTCGGTTTGATTATTTGATATACATGTAATATAAAATGTAAGTCTGAACGGCATTTTGCTCTGAATAAATGATTAAATTTCTCTGTAACAAGCTTTTTTCTTTAATCAGAGAAAACTAAGACACGCATTATGATTTTGATTAACATACTTCCGGCGGCAATTTTTTATTTATTTTTTTTTTTTCGACAGAACAGAACATGTTTTAGACTTCGTCCCTGAACCATCCATCAAATATGACCTGGCCGTTTACGACAAATTATTATGAGTTTTCGGCCCGTGTGTGGGTTATATTGCAAAAAACCGTTTATATACGGTCATATAACATGTTAAGAATCATTATAAAGAATTTATAGTACTGCACTCTTCTTTTATGAGAGAAAGATTTTTACATTCATAAATCGACTGCAGCCGTGTATATGAATTATATAGACATCATGATCATCCAATGAAAAAACGGTGTACAAACGTGCATCATTATCACACATAGTATCATCAATCTGAACATCTCGGCTATTATTCATAATAACCTCTTTAAAAAGTAATTTTAGATATAAACTTGAACAGAGGGTGTAATCTTTGATGTGTAACGAATGTACATATTTTACATCCGAAGGAAAATAAAGTCTATTTCGGTAAAGTTATGATTGAAAATATACATGTCTGACAATCATAATCAATTTGAAAAATGCCCTATAATCTTACCCGCGTTATTGTTAACGGGTAGGCATTTTATTTATGTACTTCCGGTCTCTACAACAATAATAAGAAGCATATAAAATGTACAAATTTTGTTTACCACGGTGTTTTCACCATCGTAAGCTTTACCAAATATGTTGTGGTTTCGTTATTTCAAATTTTCACAATGATACTTTCGACTATTCATCACATTCTTCGTGTTTTTGCCTAACGGGGCACCGTAGTTTACATGTTTAGTTTCTTCCAAAATACCGTATCCGTCCTGTGTGCACGAGGATTGGACAAACTGTATCATATATCCACGGGTACCTATTTTCACAGCGATATGATGACTTGAAACACTATACATGTATTACTAATTGTTTAAACTACCAATATTAATGAAACTTTGCAGTTGATTAAAAAAAATTTTTTTTTTAATTTTGAATTTGACCAGTATTTTTTAGACGTCTGCGTCCTTTAAAGCTGCATGCCTCCAGATGAGCTAAAACTTTTAAGAGAATCAAACTTGAGAGTAATTTAGATTCAATTAGCATATTACGTGCAATTAATGAACGAATATTTCAATATTAATCACAATATTTCTTTTGCGTGACTAACGCAGTAAGGGCTTTTTTACGCGGATTGTAAATGCCGTTTGCAATTTGTTAATTATTTTCTATGTGCGCTACACAATATTTTACCTTAAATGTTCATAAAAATTAACATGAAAGATTAAGTCAATATATTGACCGCCTTTATCAGATTCTCAAACATAAAACACTTAATTTACTTTATAAAACGGCAATTCAATGATACATAAGGTACATTATTCATTAACCATTCGAAAAAAATAAACCAAAATAAACATAATACACGCAATGCTACGGTCCGTATACCTTTATGGTAGCTAAACACTACCGATGTTATCTATAATCACAACCCAGATTATTAGAGCAAAACAAAATGACATTCGCAATATTATGAATTCTGAAAATCAATTTTCTCTTTTCCGCTTTTCCAGGAAAAAAGAGATCAGGTTTGAATCAATAAGTTCACCCGATATACATCCTTGTTTATATATTTTTCTTACCTCGCCAATAGGAAACACCAAAAAAAAACAGTTTATTAAAGATCCTGTATGTTTTGTGATTGATATTGTAAATGTGTGTATACGTATGTATGTATGTAGTTAATGCTTGTAACGCCTGTAAGGGCACAAAAAGCAGAGTACGGACCCCGGACATGTCACCAGTCATGCCCGTAAAGAGTTAATTTTGAAGCACAAAATTGTGATAATTTACCTCCGTGCAATTTCCACGGAGTATTAGCCAAAGATAAGAATTTTGAGCCGAAAGTAGGTCACTGTACGGCGGTCAATGAGAACCTAAATGTACAGTAACCTGTGACAATATGAAAGATTAGCCCTGAAAAGGGCTGTTGGTGCCAGCACAAGGGCTGCCTTACAAGATGTCTATCTGTACTAGGGGCTCACGCACCCTAGCACACTATCCTCGTCGTCTCAGCCTACATCGTAGGGCCACTCCCCTCGGCTTTAGTCAGGACACCGGCAGCTAACTTCATGCAAGCTAAGTCGTGCCGCCTTAAACGATACCCCGAGCTGCAGAAAACATGCGAACTTGCCGCCTTAAACGTAGCATTGGTACTTCAATCATCTGCCGATGCCCTGTGCCTTCTCAGCGACGTACACGCTCCGAGAGAAAGGGAGAAGTATACCACACTTGCAAATTTATATAAGTACATGTATATAATTATGCAAATAAAACAATTTTCAAACATCGAAGAATATGTGAAATGTGAACTGCAAATATTTGTGCACATTATATTTAATCGATAAATTATATGCATTCGTTTCTTATTAGCAAATTTGACCTAGAATTTATAGAAAATAAATTTCTTATTACCTAACTTTATTTACATAAAATGTTAAATTCGATAATATCTTTATAAATAATGCTTATTGGAACTTACAATATTGACAAATCTTAATTTGAGCATTTATGAAATATGAAATAAATCCATGAAAAAAATGTGTTAAAGGATCTTTAAGTAAATTAAGAGGCAAAATGTTTTAAAAATGAATTTGTTGTGAATCCATGTAATTCAATAAAATAACATTGGAATCTAAAAATTATTTAAAGTATATGAACCTTGCTACAAAGGAAAGAATGCTTATATTCGTCATAGAAAAGTGTTTTGTGAGAATACCAGGCTAAATTTAAGGTAAGAAAGAACACAAAAAATGGTTTATTTTTATATGCGGGCGCTGGCAGCTCAACATACTCCTTTGGTGTTTGTTTGTTTGTTTTGGGTTTTACGTCACATCGACACAGTATAGGTCATATCGCGACGTTCCAGCTTTACTGGTGGAGGAAGACCTCAGGTTCCCTTCCGTGCATTTTTCAGACACGAACGGGTACCTGAGTAGAACCACCGACGTTCCGTAAGCTAGCTGGATAGCTTCCTCACATGAAAGAATCCAAAGTCCCTGTCGGGATTCGAACCCACAGAGGTGAGGGGCAAGTGGTTTGTAGTCAGATCAAAAACAAATGAGCATCCACGCAGTCTGATCAGGATCCATGCTGTTCGCTTACAAACCCTATAACAAGTAAAGAAACTGATAGCGAACAGCATGGATCCTGATCAGACTGCGCGGATGCGCAGGCTGGTCTGGATCAATGCTGGTTGCAAACCCATTATGTTGGTTTTGTGGTGACACGGCTCAAATTATTAGCTCATAAATCAAAAAGAAAATGACATCAATTTTTCATTTAAAAAAATAAGACCTATTCAAAAATCCACAGTGAGATAACGCCATATCCTTAGCCTTTGAAAAGGAGAGTTTATTTCACGAGCATGTTTTTATATAAAATAAAAAAGGTCCAAAATGAAAATTAAAGCATAGATAATTTCTACCAAAAGCGTATTCATACTCTAATTATGTCGTGGATATCGAAGTGACGTCCCTCTACATAAAAATTACGTCCTCCGTTTTTAAAGTGACGTCCTTCCTCATAACGCGACGTCCTTTTTCATAAAGTGACTTCCTTCCTCATAAAGTGACATCCTGCCTCTTTAGTAACCTCAATGCGCATAAAGTGACTTCTTCTTCATAAAGTGACGTCCTTCTTTTAACAGTAATGACCTTCCTCATAAAGCGGCGGCCTTCTTCATAAAAGGACGCCCTTCCTCTTTAATAACGTCTTTGCTCTTCAAGTGACGTTCTTCTTCATAGAGTGACGTCTTTCCTCGTAAAGCGACATCCTTCTTAAAGCGAGGTCCTCATATAATGCCGTCCTTCCTCATAAAGTGACGTCCTTCCTCTAAAGTAAGGTCTTTGCTCATTAAGTGACGCCCTTCCTGATAAAATGACTCCTTGCTCTTAAAGTGACGTCCTGATTTATTGCCGTCCTTCCTCGTAAAGTGATCTACTTCCTCTTAAAGTAACGTCCTTCCTCATAAAGTGACGTCCTTTCTTATAAAGTGACGTTCTTTCTCATAAAGCGACGTCCTTTCTCTTAAAGCGACGTCCATCATCAAAACAAGGCGTCAGTCCTAATTAAGAGACATCTTTTTCATATTGTGACGTAACAGTAATTATGCAAACGTTTTATATGTATATCATATTTATATTGCTCACTTTGTCTTAGACAGTGAAACAATTTAAATTCCTTCTCGGGTATTACAATATCATATGATAAACAGAATTATTCCGCACATTAGTCAGAATTAAGATAGTCAAACTAATAAATAACAATCTATTTAAAAAATATTTAAAAACATTGTACTTGCGGGTGTGTAGATATTTAAAATAAAAATTACAGGTGAGCAAACTATTGGTTAACGCCTGACTAACTTATTTCAAAGATGAAAAATGATAACTTTTAAAATATTTACAAACGCGTTCACAACAATAGTCATATATAGTTTTAATTTGCAATTACATTCACATTTGAATAAATGCTTAACATTTAAAGGATACTTTTCTTCTTCTTTTTTAGAAAAAAACACACAAAATAAAGTTTAGAATGCATTCAAGTTTTGTAATTGTTTTTAACTTTTTTTGCCACTCGTGAAAACCGTTCGTTCTTTATTCCCGCGAAACTTTTGGGGGCATATTTTCGAAATTTAAAAATTAAATTTTAAAAATTGAGGAAAAGTGCGAAAAAAAGATGGTTTTTCAATGTTAAAATTTTTGAATTTTAATTTAAAAGGGAATTTTTAATTTTTTTGAACTTATAGGGAAAAAGTGTAACTATCTTTTCAAATACAGACTATGTCGCGCAGTCGCAGCAGTATCACATTCTTTGAAGAAGATCATCCTAGCTTACAGAGGTACAACAAGTGGTTACCAGCTTGCTGAGGAGTTTGGAACGGTTCTCGGCAAATTTAAAGTTTCTACTAAAGTCGGTGGCAATGTACAAGAGTATTTTAGTAACGCAAATGATCAGCTTTATCCATGCGCAAAGGCAAGTCTGGAGGATCTTGTCAAAAAGTATCCAACATATAAAGTAGTGGTTACAGGACATTCTCTTCGTGGAGCAGTTGCATCGATTGCTACATCTCAGCTAATAGTTGATAAAGTTCTTGATAAAGAAAAAACTACGCTCTTTACATTTGGAATGCCAAGAACCGGTGATCGCACATACGCCGAAAACTTCGATAAGCTCGTACAGAAAAGTTTGCGGATTGTTTATTTTAGAGATGTTGTTCCAAAACTACCGGCCATGACTCCATTGTCAAGCGGGAGATCTTTTACGGGGCAGACATGAGCATTATCAGCGACTACATTGAATGTTTCGACTCTGAGGATCAAAAGTGTGGCAATAGCGTCCTTCCGTCACCCTGGTCTGTAAATTATCACAAAACATATTACGGAATTTCAGTAGGCGGTCACTGTGAAGGAATACTTAATATAAGAATGAGAAGATCAACTGGTGAGGCAGGAATATCAAATCTATTTACTAACACTGCTTGCAAAAGGATTAAGATGTCTGAAATAAATGGAAGTGATGCTATAAGAGCCGGCTATATTACAGCGCTAAGTGTTGTGTTAATGTGTTTTCTAACAATTAAAGTTAAACGATAATGATTGCCAATTCTTTGAAACTGGATTATGAAATGACGTCAGAAAATTAACATTTTGTATTAATAAATCGGACATTTATATCAAAATATTACTCAAACAGACTGACATGTTTGATATTGACCTGTTTGATATTTACTTAAATAGATATTGCTTATATAAATCAATTATACCAGTTTGTTCACATTTGACTGTAATCATCCATGACGTTCACATTTCTAGGGAGTAAATAAAATAAATGAAAAACCAGTTATTGTAAAAGATTTTATCAAAAACTTCTATACGGATCTCCACAGCCGGCGTTTCTGTGGTACCAAGTAATATATATCCAAGCAGTAATTATTATTATTATGATAATTATGTAATAGTTATAGTATATGAAACGAGTTAGTTACGAAGATATAACACTGGCTGGAGCAACATCGAGGGATGTTAGCTAAAACAATGGCAAGGCCATTAGGCACCTCCAACATGGATGCTACTACTTTATATACAAATATGTAACATTAACATGATCAGTGACATTATGTTCATTTTTTCACTGTCAATTTAAGTTGAATTATTAATATATATTCCAAAAGATTTTAATGTTGATTGGCCTAATAATAGATAATAAAAATGTTTATGGTACAATATGAAAATTACCTTAATTATAAAAGACTGCGCCACTCTTTTTAAGAATTGATCCTTACTAATACATATAATGGAAGATATTTATAGAAATTTGGTCACAATGATTATTTAATTTTTTTTATAGTCTTAGTCACATTGATTATTAAATTATTTTTTCATAGTTAAATATAAAATTGAACAGTAATGACAAATGTTCAGCTATTTTTATTTTCACTTGTTCACTGACCATTTACAGTTGGTAGGGAATAATGTCACTCCTCAAGAAACTGTAAATTAGTAATAATGTACTTTTTTCCGTTTTGACTTTATATATTTGCTTAATATAATATATACATGTATAGATCAATATGTAAAATAATATTGTAGTATTGTAGTTATACATCTCTGTCCTGTTTTGTTTAATGTGTGTCAAATGTCCTTGATATTGCTGAGCAAATGGTTTGTTGTTTGTGCACAATTTTTCAAAATATCTGTAATTGCGTTTTCGGCCACTTCAAACTGATAAAAATTGCTTATTTTGATTTCCCTTGCCCACTTACTCCGAGTTCAGTCGTTCAGTTTTTATAGCATTGATATCTTAATTTAAAAAGTGTAAAACAAGTAATGTGGTAATAAAATCAACTGGCATTTCTTTGGTTATGCATTTAAAAGATATGGCAAATTCTTATCAACTTTTATTACTTTATCTGATGGATCTCACATCAGCCGAAGTTAGATTGTTTAACAAGAACATTCAAAACAAATGCAATAGAAATTCCTATCATTTTTTTAAGTTTGCTCTTTAAGTGTCAATAATTAAGAAGTAAAGCAAGCTTATTAGCATTTGTGTCGTCCTAAACATTCGTTAAAAACATGCTGTCATATGCAAGGAGCCTTAACTATTTCTAAAACGTATTTTGGGAAGTTAAATACCATCTTAGTAAATTTCCAATATCAATGCATGTGTCGAACTCGGTGCTTTATAACGTATTTGCAATCTGTTTGGAGAAACATGCACATTCCTTCAGCCGGTCAAAAATAAGGACATTATCATGTACGTCTAGTAGATAAGAATTGAAATTTGGCCACTTAAAATGAAGTTTGGTCAAATCAGAGGTCTGTTTAGCTTCTTGATATACGGTGAGTAGACTTTATATAATGTTGTAACAAATGTATATGAATTACCTATCCTAACATATCATTCAGGGTTGTTTTCATAAAACTTAATGTTGTCATGTAAACTTAACAAATCTTTAATGTTTGTACAAATATTAGCGGACTATGTTGAATTTTCAATAAATATAGATGACATGATATTGTATAACATTTATTTATTTTCACTATACACACTTGCGAAAATAAGTTAATGGTGTGTGGGGGGGGTCACTGAACCGAAATGTACAGTAACCTGACAAAATATTAAATAGAGGTAGCCCTGAAAAGGGCTGTTATGCCAGCAAAGGGCCTGCCTGACTCTCCCTAGCAAACTTTCCTCGTCTCTGCCTACTTTGCATGACCACTCCCCTCAACTTTAGTCAGAACCTCGGCAGGGTCCGCAAGGTACAAGTTTCGGTTTTCTTTCTCGTCGTCGCAAGTTCTTTAAATCTTCTGCCGATGTCCTGTGCCTTCTTATCAATGTGCACGTACCGAGAAGAAGTGAGAAATGAACAATTTATCTCAATATAATACATTTTTAAAACAATCTAACAAACTTCGATTTTGTAAGAATAGATACCATACAATTCAATATTTTATTTGCAATAATCAGCATACAAAATACTTTTTGCAAAGATTGACATACTACAATATACAAATCACATATAAACCAAATGACATGTAACTGTTACATAAATGTTACATCATTACGAAGCTGGTGTGGAGAAACAGCAAAGAATATGACATGCATTAACTTACATATTAATTTCTTTTATTTTCAAATATTCTTAATTTAAAAAATTTAATACATTCAGTAAAGTTGATTGTTGTCATCTGAACATTCAAGTATAAAATTTAGGTAAAGATGGTCATGCTGTGTTTGGAAAATAGTTCTTACGAATTTCAGAATAATGTGTATAGATTAAAAGAAAATGATGTTCACTTTCAACAACATGCATTGTACAATGTAAACACAATCTAACCTGTCTAACAATAGCTAGATTGTGACTGCTTAACCTAAAGGATGCAAACAGTTTCATTAATTTGTCACTTTTAATTTATTATTATTATTCCTGTGATTCAAATACAGTTTTAATTTGAACCTTGTTGAAATGCCTTGTTACTAAATATGGTTAAGCCAAATATATAATATTACAGTCACAGTCAATGTCAATCTGCTTTGAATACCGTATATAAAATATTTTAATGATAATATCTTAACTTGTAATCAAACATTTAGATGAATAAATCAAAACTGGTTATAGACACATGAACAATGCTTTTAGATAACTATACTATATACTATAGTATACATTATACATGAATACTTCAAAGTAAAAATGTCAAAAAGAACGTAGAAAAATCGAAAATGTAAACAATGACAATAGTTTAACCAGTACATCATTTAGAACATCATTATTTAGAATATATAAAATAAGCAAATGAAAAATAAAATGCGGGATAAGAAAATATTTCAGTAGCAGAAAATAAAATGATATTCTACTGATATATTTAGTTGGAGATTAATTGAAGCAAATTATAATGATTCTTATTTCCAGTCACGGTAAATGCAACCGATTGCCAGGACTGATGGGTTGCTTTTGAAGGCTCATGTTATCTGTTTGGGCACAACTTGATTCACTTTACAGAAGCTGAGGTAAATATATGAAACATGTGTGGGGGGAGATGTTGTTGCTCACACTCAAAATCAGGCTATTAAATTATTCGTTCAGGCTACAAACATTTTCGTAATATCTTTTAGGCTGATACATAAAACCATTACGTTGTGTTTTGGAAGAAAATGTTCTAAATTATATTTAAACTTTCAAATATCTTTCCACGTTTATTATGTTACTCTCGGGCTCAGCATCATAAAATTACCATTTTTAAAATCTGAATCAAACTGCTGCATAATTTCAAATAATTTAAAAAAAATATCCACCGAGTGACTTGGGACAATTTCTTTCATTTGAAAATATATCAATATGTGTACCATGTGAAGTTTATGGTATATTAACTGTAAAAAACAACACTCCTGTTCTATAAGACAAATATATATATAAAAATCCAGAAACTAATGACATATTTTAATTGATATATAATGGATATATAAATATGTACGAGTTGATCTGCTTGGTATGGAAGCTACGAATAAAGTTATGATTGCATCATGCCTAATCCATATAACCATTATCTATTTACATACATAATAAAATAAATATTATCAAGTAATAGTATTTAATTTTACCAATATAATTCCAGATATTACTTCGCATTCTCCCGTTTGTCGCATATATTTTGCAAAATGTCTTCAAAAATCCATACTATAATTCAAACAGTAAATTTTCGGTAACAACAAAATATATAATTTACACATGTTAAAATAAAATCAACTTTTATGGTTTATTTTATCAGAAATACTGCCGTCATCATTATGCACACCTCGTACAAGTTGAGACCAAAGCTGAGAACATGTTCCTACGGGATTTTCTTCGAGACTTTAAATGTACGATTATCCTTCAGTATTCATCCTTCCCTTACACAAATATGCACAAAATATCTTAAACACTTGACATCTCTTAATTATTTGTTCTTTTGTTAAGAGCTGTGCAACAATGTTAAGTATTGAATGAATTCCAATTTTTATATCTTCAACATCTAGAGCCATGTGAGGCGTTTTGATAGAAGAAAATGACAAAATGAACATTCGAATAAGATTTATGCTTAAAATGGTATTCTCGTTCTCTGTCAAAACTGATGTGCGCGTTATTTATTGTATTGTAGTTTTTCATTCATCATTTTTGTATTGTTAATATATTTATAATATATGCTGCGTTTTTCTTATTAATGTAATAGTGTGTTTGGACGTGAATGTTTTACATGCTTTAATTTCGTTATGCCATTTGAGTGGCTGACTACTGGATTGGCATGACTAACGAAACCGTAGAAGGTGTTTGGAAATGGTATGGCAATAATGAGGATGTGGAATATTTCGACTGGGGACCGACAGGCCTCTGAACGTAAATAATGAGGACTGTGCAGTATTTGGCGACACCCTGGATTATCAATGGGCTGACGTTAAATGTGCGACAGACAAGCAGGCACTATGTGAAATCTCGTATGTATTAGTATTTAATAATGTTTCATAAAAAACTTGCAATAAATTTCCTTTTATAATAAATTTGTATTTGAAAGAGACAGCCTGCAACAATGTTGCTGCTGTAAAATTACGTCTGTAAATACGATCTGATTAAGACTTGAGCACGAAATAAATGAGCCGCGCCAAAACCAAAATAATGCGTTTGCGACCAGCATGGATCCAGACCAGCCTGCACATCCCTGTATTCTGATCAGGATCCATGCTGTTCGTTTACAAACCGTATGACAAGTTGAGAAACTGATAGCGAACAGCATGGATCCTGATCAGACTGCGCAGATGCACTATGTTGGTTTTGTCTTGACGCGGCTCAAATACAATATAAAATTTCATATAGTGTAAGCAGTAACATGAAAGTAACAAGATTGGTTACAAATGTGTCTTCAAATGATAGATAAATCTTAATTAATTAATAAAAAATTGTAACTTACGGTCGTCATAAGTCACAGAGAAACTTATACCTTATATTTTATATATGAGCCGCGTCACGACAAAACAAACATAGTGGGTTTGCGACCAGCATGGATCCAGGCCACCTCGCGCAGTCTGATCAGTTTCCATGCTGTTTGCTTACAAGCTCTATTACAAGTGGAGAAACTGGCAGCGAACAGTATGGATCCTGATCAGCCTGCGCGGATGCGCAGGCTGGTCTGGATCCATGCCGGTCGCAAACCCACTATGTTGGTTTTGTCTTGACGCGACTCAATTATTTCTTTCATTTTAAGACTGGAAATGTGTATATCATCGGATAGGCGTTACTGGGTCCCTATTAACTTTTGTTGATTTTTAAAATCAAAATATCTTAGAGATTTATTGACTCACAACTAGTAAATAAACAAATAAGAAATTAAAAAATATAATGGTCAACGTATTAGTTTGTTTGAACTGTTTTCTTTATTGAAATACGAAAGAGCAACCCTGCACAACAAAAGAAAATAACACAATACCAATTAGATACCCTTGCGACAGAATATCATTAGAATAGAGCCAAAATACAATAATCGTCGTGTGAATAGAGTTTTGCTCCAACTAACATTTTCTAAATATTGAGGAAATTCTCCCCTATGTTTCAAAAACAGGCTGTTTGCTTATTTCTGGACGAAATCAGTAGTAAAAACAACATAGGCCTATTGATTGTGGCAACGTAAATCATTTGTAAAATATTTATCTTGTTTTGTTTCCTAGGTTTGCATGTTTGTAGGGAGGGGGTATTTGAAGACAGAGCAAAAGTGTCATATTGTTTCAATATTTGTAATCGCATGCTATTGGAATAAAAAAAATTGTTAGGAAAAAAATCCAAATGGAATTTAAGTAATTCCACCCGGACAGCATAATTCCGGGCGGAATACATGAAATTCCGCCCGGAAAATTTTTTTATAAGAAAAAAATTTTAAAAGCATTAAATGAAGTCAATTATTTATAATTAACTTTTATATCCAGACTTTTAAAGGACTTTATATATGGGGAGAAATGGCTCTTCAAAATTTCCAACAGTGGACATATAGCATTTCTGTACGTACAAACAGCATTCATTTAATATAGTTTAGAAAAATTTATGGTCAGAATTCTATAAGTTCCTGACGTTAATTTTGAGCAAAATATTCTGTCAACTTTGTTTTTGGCCGTTTCGTACTGATCCCCGTTGTTTTGAAATGTTTCAAATGTGTGATTTAGTTCTTCCCCTGCACAGTGGAGAAAAAGTGCTTGTCTTTTATGTCCATGCCTATCATGAGATTTTCAAATTTTCCTGTCCATTCTCAGCGTTAACACCTAGTCTTTATAGTTCAAGGAGGAGATTCTGAAGTCTACTTTATTATTATTATAATTACCAACAAAAAACAAACACAACTTTATCAAATGGTTTGCTGAATTCCATGATTATAATATCTGTACTAGATTGCCATGAACTTCGAATTCCTGAGAAAATTTGATTAGCTTGGTTTCACAGCTTTTTTTGGCCAGAAACATGTTAAAAGGGGCTTCTAGGATATCAATTTGTCATAGAAAAACATGATAGTGGAGACCATTATTTTTTCCATTACCGTAGAGGCAATATATGTTAATGAGATCGGCCTGTAATTAGCGTATTTACATTTTGGGCCTTTCTTACAGACAGGGGCAATGCCATCATTTTAAGACGATACAAGATTTAAAGGAAATTTGGAACAGGTGGGTGAAAACAGAACTTCAATGTGAAGTTCATTTAAACCACATAATAGGGAGGTTTGGTCGGAGTCTGCTTTGCGCGGATTTAAACCATTAGGAGTTTCCTCACTCTATCCTCTGTTAGGTTGACATTTGACATTTTAGGATAGTTTTTTTAAGTAAACAGACTGGGAAAGACTCGGTGGTTGAGGACGGGAAAAGACAGATTCACTTTTTCTGTTTGTTTAATTTGAGGAAAGAGTAGAACTTCTTATTTAATTTTACCCATGAAATATGGTATTATATCATTCAAAAATATTTCATATTTTTAAAAATAGATATGAAATATAAATATGAAAGTGGGCGGATTCAAAACTCATATTTATTTTAAGGGACTTCTTTCGCCATTTTGTTTGAAAATTCTGATAAACACAAAATAATTCTTTGTTTAAATTTGTTATGAAAACTATCTAGAGTGATAGAAAATGGTTCAATTAAGAAAATAAATCCGAACACCTATATCATTAATTCTGTCATTAACGCTGTACAGACGTTTAAAGAGTTGTTTACGTGGCGTTACAACGTAGCGCTAAATATCGCGTGCAAAATAAGACAATAATTATATTACTGTTCAATGTATAATCGCAGTTGCATAGCAAGCAAGGGAGTTCGTTATCATTTTTCCTTGATAATAAAATTAAATAAAAAGGTTATTTTTCGTTTTTCGTGAAATATGGTTTATTTTTTCACGCAAAATGATAAAAAGCCAAATATTTTCATTCGCCGTCCCGGCTCGTGAAAATATGTGGCATTTTATCATGTTTCGTTTTATATTTCACTCAAACGAAAAAATATCCTCTTATTATTTAATTTACCCATGAAATATGGTGCTATATCAGTCAAATATATAGCGCGTCCGTGTCAGTGTTGTTTCATGCATTTAGATGGTCTTATCATAGTTAGGTACCATTACATTTGAGTGTTTTATGTATCTTATTCTTATTTGACCAGTTTTGGTTCAAATAGTTACATATGCATGAAACTATTTTTGTACACAGGGTTGATATGCAGTTGTGTTAAGTTTCGGGAAAACGTCAAACATCAGGAAAAAACATTATCAGAAATGTAATGAAATGTGATATATATTTATCCATATATTCAAATTATTAATATTTCGTAATCGTAGTGTTTTTAAAATTGTTTGATTTTGAAAATGTTAAATAAAACTTTAAAAGATCACTTGAAATGTACTTAGTTTCTTTATAAAGAATGTAACAAAAATGAAATAAAAAAGAAACATAACATAGAAATAGAAATTTATAAGAACCAAATACATGTATATTCAAATGATCATACAAAAGACAAGGGAGAAAAACAACAACAACATAATAACATGGCAGAGCAAAGGGTTCAAACATATAAGAGCAAATGACGTTAATTTACCAGCTGAGCTTCTATACGATGGTACACATTTTTTAGAATTAATATATATATGTGCAAGTATCTGTATGAAAAATATCTGGGCTAAGAAAAATTCAGTTATTTTTTTTTTATTTAACGACGGCCATTTTGAACTTTTTCAAACAAAATGTTCCAGCTTTGAAAAGGTGGTTATTCATAGAATCTTTTTTTTTCAATAATTTAGAATTTAACCCCAAAATACTTTTACCTATTGTATTACACCGGAAATTGAAATGTACGTGTATATGCTTTTTGATATGGTGGAGTTCTTTTAAGAAATAAGCCGATTGCGATACGAGTTATTGAATAATTAACACCATTCTTCGATTTCAATCAACTTTTGACCGGTTTATTTGTTTTCTTTTTGGTTACATATTTATCGAGGATTCGAAACAATCAATCGTGTTTTATCTGCTTTATCCATTAAAATTTGCACAACAATGATGAGTGTTTTATCCAGATAAAAAGATAAGCGAGTCCATTTTAAATATTTAGCGGTAGTTGTTAAAGCATATTGAACAGTCTGAATAGACCAGAGTATTCCTTTGTTTCCCTCTAATGGCTTTCCAAAATAACAGTTAATCAGCTATGGAAAGTAGATTGTTACAGGTCTAGGGGCTTACACTTCTTTTGCAAAAATGAATAACTTTTGCAATAACCTTTTATTTTGCAATGTATATAGAATATACATTTGATAAAATTTGTACCAAATGTTTAACCTGCATAGCAAGCACAACTTAGTTTGAGTAAACTCGTTTCGAAATCGGTGTTTCAAATTTGAAAAGTTTATCATGATATTTGTGTATTTACTTAATAAAAAAGGCCCGAATTGCAAGGAATTAGTATGAAATAAAATGTTTGTATAACAAAAACAAATGTTATATCTTATGAAGTCATTTCATTTGCTCTTGAAAATGTCAGAATTATGCATCTCCTATTATACAGATGTCAACTACCGTTAGACTTATCACAAGCTGTTTTCTGTTCTGCGAGGCAAATTATTTTGAGACTCAACAATCAAAGAATCAAAGAATCCATAGCTCGTTTTACGGATTTTCATTGCTTTTATTGTATCCAGGGATCTTCCTTTGGAGCTAGTATTTGATCTTTTAATTTTATATTCTGTTCAACATATGTCTGTATCAATTATGAACAGGTGATTATTTAATGGGCTTTCAATCTTGCAGAAAGCCATTTATCAATAGCTTCATTTCTGGAACGGCTATCAATTGATAGAATGGGGTATAGATAATACATTTTGTTGAAATTGGACGTTGGATCAAAGAATGGGCATAACTGTGTTCGTTGATACAGGAAGCTGTTAAGCGTCAAGCGGAACAAATACTAGCAGACTGTAGATAAACAGTATTAAATACTGTTTACTTTAAAAAGTGTCGGCTTTTGTTTTATTAGATAGATTGACTTAATGCCAGACTTAAATAGAAATACACAAACAAAACGAGGGTCAATGGTGTTTTTATCATAAATCTGTGCACAAACTTGATTATTTTTTTCACATTTCCTCTGACTACGAATATCACATCAACATGTCAGCTCATTGCATGACAATTATTTACACATGTGCTATCCTACTATCAGCTAGTTTGTTAAAAATCACAGGACTATTTTCTCACAATGCCTTTTTACCCGGGTATTATTTAAAAGGAAGCGTTATAATTGCAAAATATATGTCGGTTTCATGGGAACAGTGCGTTGAGTTTTGTTTAGCGAGGTCCAAATGCCTTTCCATAGAAATGGAGGTTCGTCTCCATTTATGCCGGATGTTTTCAAGCAATATATTATCAAATGGTGTGGAGCTAAGACGGAAACCAGGTGTATGGCTTGGCGAGAAAAGGCATTGGGACAAGGTAAGGTTTGGGAAATTAGATCAGTTAAACTCAACCACGTGCATATTATTTCATGTAATTTTTGTTTTTGAAATATTTCTATCTCATATCAAAATTGAAATGTTGTAATCGGCCGACAAAAAAACTTTCTCAAGTTTTTGTCCTGCCTATGTGTGTAATGTTAATTGCCAATTTTCATAAAACGTATTTTATTTTTTGTTTGATTTTAAGTCGGACCACACAAAATGGACCTATGATGACTAAGGTGTACCGTTAAAATAAGTTCCGATAACCATTAGTAAACGACACGTGTGACCTGCAAAATTGTTTCTGGAAAGAACTTATTCTCATTTATTTCGAAAGTTGCCGATAATTTGCAGTCATCTAAGTTCACATTTTCTTTCAATAAATCTTCTTGATTTATTTCATGCAAATATCCCAATAATGACCCAATAATGACCCCTTGGTTAATTTCACATTTCTATCAGGGGTATTAATCAGTCTTATAGGAATTGAATTGCCTTGAAGTTCCCTTGGGGATACTAGCACACTTCCCATAAAAACTTTATTCACTGGCCATTTATTTTCCAAAGGGCAGATGATGCCTAATGATGAGTTAATTGTTCCAAGATTTATTGCCTTGCCAGGTATAACAATTTGAGTTTGCTGGAATTGATACCTTTGACCGTGTAGTAATTTTCACTTTCTCTTATTGGCACTTTCTCTACAAATGTCTTGCATTTTCTCCCATTTAATTTTAATCCTTTTTTAGCACTTAGTTCAAAATTATTTTCATTTAAAAAGTCTAACCCTATTAATCCATCTTCATGAATATGTGCAATAAAAACGGTATACTCAAAAAATTTGACCTGCATTTGTACAAGAAAATTCACACTGACCCACTATAGTTAATAATCAATCATTTGCGATTTCAAAGCGCACTGAATGATTTACAACAGACAAAAAATGTCGAATATCTTCTGAAATTCTATAATAAAATTTAGATGATAATATTGTACAACAAGCTCCAGTGTCTATAGCAAAATTTGCATTCACAGTATCAAAAATTTTTACAGGCATTATAAGCGAAACACCATTTGCATTAGCACTCCTACACTTAATTGTCTTATATACAATGTCATGATACATATTAAGATTATGCCATCTTAAATACGATTTATGATTTTTCCTTTTCATATAACTGCAGACAAAATCATTATAATACAATATAAAGAATTGTTGTTTCTTTGCTATTTAGTTAAGCGGACCCCAGTGTGCATGCGTTTTTGTCACTATGCTTTTATTTTGTAATCTTAGTTTTATTCTGAATTTTGTTGTAGGTTTGATAATTAGCATGTGCTAAAGCAAAATAAGCAGGTACATGGCGAGGTTGTGGGGGCAGCAGCCCAAAATTAGCAAGTGTGCTAGTATATAAATAACACATTGCTTTCTGGATAACGGTAAAAACATCATCCCTAGGAAAATACAAAACACACACTAAGTTAGCTAGATGCTTTTAAAGAAAAAGTCGTCTTAACCCATTACTGCATGAGCATTTTGTGAAAAATGGCTGTTTTCATTGAAAAGTTCAAATTGCTATAAAACTATAAAACTTCTTCAATGGACAATTGCCTTTGTAACAGAATGCTCAGTCTTAAATTTCCTGTTACCATGGCAATGAGGGGACATCTCAAAATTGCCAAAAATCACTATTTTGCGTTGATTTTTTCCATCAAAATAGATTTCAAAGTGCTGCAACTTCTCAATGGATTCAGATAGAGTCAAAGTCTTTTCAGCGTTGGTTACACGTTACCTTATGATCGACCGAGGGTAATTTTAAGCCTCTCACAAGTCCAAATTTTCTTGGCGACGAGGGGGACTGCCGCCCCCTTCAAACCCCCCAAACAGAAGGGGGCACATCCCCCTTCTGGCAACCCCCTGATGCACCTTTTGGATGGGGGGCGGCGCCGAAAAAGTGCTCACTTTTTTTTCTCAAACGAAAACTTGTGTTTGGGGCTCATACCGGACATTTTTTCACTACTTGCGGCCTAAAAGAGGGGGAGGGGGTCGAAAGTGCGCTGTTTCGCGTATATATGAGGTAAAATTCTAAACAGCCACATTCACTTATGAACTAATTTGGTTTTTACCTTTTCGTTGGATCAAGAAAGATTCGACGTTAAAATGAATGGTTAAATTCATAAACTCTTATTGATGAAAGTTCACGCTGTATACAGTTAGACATTTTTGAATTTGGTAAAATTTAAACCCATTTTGTGACTATCAAAGAAATCGTTTAAATAGTTTACGTCAAAAGAATATAGCATTGACAGATTGTACGGATATGCAGGCTGACCTGGCTCTTATTCTGGTGTCAGGTTATGGGTAAACATAATCTTGTTTTTCTTCAGGTGACTATCGACAGCCAATGTCTTGCTGCCTGCTCTTCATCAGAGATGTGTTTCATAAATGGATCAACCATTTGTGCAATAACTGGTAAATAATATTGACTTTGTTCCTATCAAACCTCCAATGTATCCATGTAAATAATTCAGTGATATATAAAGCTGTTGAAAAAGGACAATAGCGAACCTGTTATGCAAATCATTTATCATGTTTTATTAACCAATAGTTGACAAAATACCATTTTCAAATCGATACTGCAGTTTTGGTCGGAAAGATTTAAGAAAAGATAAATCAAAACTGGTTCGATAATGATAAAAACCAAATTCTATTTGTCAAAGCTTAATTGTCGCATTATGTGTTTATTGTTGTACTTTGTCATCAAAATTCATGTAGATAAATGATGACTTTTGGACTTGTTGGTAATTTTGATTATTAGGTAGATTATTATAAATATTACATGTGTCTTTTGTTAAAACGTGATTATATCGTTACATGGTTTCAGAATGTGGTCAACCTCCTATACTTGACACTACAAGCGTGATCCTTGGCTCGGAGCTCTATGTTGGGTCAGTGGTTCAGTATAAATGCATAGATAATGAGATCGTTACAGCTATGTCAGAATGTAATATTGATGGTCAGTGGTCACTACAAGAGTTTACTTGTCCAATAGGTATCATAAATTTATCTATTTTATTCAGATCAGTATTTTGTTATCAGTAACTTACGTTAAAAGTATGTATACAATGCCATAACATAAAGTGAATTGGTCCGAATTTGAAAGTGATTAATACCATGAATAATGATGCTGGAATTTTTAGTATTATCATACATTACAACAAACCGCGAGTGTGAGATTGCATATACATGTACATTGTATATAACAGGTAATTAATTGTTTTAGATCAAAAGTTAATTTTTCAATTTCTCAAAAATGTTCCTACTAAATTACTCAAACTATATATATCAACACTTTTTATAAAGATATATATATTTTTTTAAGAATATAAAAATGATATATTTCTATTGATTCCATCTACCATTTGAAATTCATGTGCGTGTGTTCACAAGACATTGTAGCGCTACATTATTCTGCTTGTTTGTGTATATATCATTAAATCATTACGTATTTAATTATGTAATTTAATTAAGCTTTCGAGTGCCAGGATGGCTGGATCCAGTTTCAAGACTCGTGCTACCTATTTCAAGATATTGACGAAAATTTCGACACGGCAAAGGTAAAAAGAATATTTTCCAAATAATTCAGATTAAAATCACAGCTTTATATTTTATTGATAGTTGAATTAATGTTTTTAATTGTTATCGTCTGCTTCGACATTTTTGGAAGCCGTTAATTGTTGTTTTGGAGGTTGTGTTGCTTTGAACTTGAACCCATCCGTATATATGTATGTATGTATTATGTATGTATGTATGTATGTATGTATGTATGTATGTATGTATGTATGTATGTATGTATGTATGTATGTATGTATGTATGTATGTATGTATGTATGTATGTATGTATGTATGTATGTATGTGTATGTATGGTTTTATACTGGTGACAAAGGCTTATCACTTTAGGGTCCAGCAGCGTAAGAGTTGAGGCATCTAAGCAGACGAGAATATCTTAAATCACTTGAGTGCAATAACTGTTTAACTCCTATTAAATTCAGATGGACTTAACCCGTTACTGCATTCAAGTGACGAAATAGTCGGTAAATAGATTAAAATCATGATGAAGAGTATATTTAAATGATGCATATTTTATCGTTATGTTAACATAATAGTTTTGAAATTATATCTTAAAAAGTTGCTGCAATATAGATCTTGATGACATTTCCATATTCGACTTCTTCCGAAGAATAACCATAAGTACATGCAATATCAAAATCAATTTATATTTATCTTATTTGTTCTGACACAATCAATTTGAACATTTAAGAGTAAATTTTAATATATTTACACGACTCCTGTAGGAATATCAATATTCTATGATTGAGTTTCTAGTATGATATCGATAACAATACCTTTTAATGAATCATATTTATGAAAAATATAAGTGTTGCTAGGGGAGACCAATCTTCAGTGCATAAAACGGTAAAATTGCTGTGAAACAATGTGGAGTTGTCCCCCCTTGAAGCAAATTGTAACTCTTAGAATGGCTTTTGATGCATTTTATGTTTGTAATTTATGTTTTATTTAATTATATAATTAAAAGATGAAACTTTAATAAATAAATAGAAACTAAGTAACTAACTAAATAAATAAATAAATAAATCGAATATAGCCTTGACAACAATTATTTTATAGCAAAACTGCAAAAGGAAAGGCGCTCGATTGGTTATTGTGGAAACAGCTGAAGAGAATAGGTTTTTACGTGGTATACTAAGTAGCCGTCCAAGTAAGTATCATACATTGTGGTTATTATACCAAAATTAAATGCACAATATACAATATTTGTTTTGGTTTAGAATTGCAAATACAAGTTTTACAAAGTTTAGGTATTATTTCAGAGCATGTTTCTTGCTTACATAACCTGAAGAAAATAATTTGTTATAAAAGTATTAAAATGTAAACAAAGTAGTATTTTGACTCTCTTATAAACTCCAAAGAACTATGATTTACTGATTGCCAAAAAGCAACAGAAGTAAGACATGGTTCAGGTATATTGCCAATAAGTAAGTTTTTGGAAACCTTTACAGGGCACCAAAAATAATATTCAAAAAAGGTTTTAGAAGTAAAAATAATGGAATTTCTTTTTTTCTTCGGCATATTGGGCCTTTAAGAGAAGAAAGAAATAGATGGTAATTGTATCCCTTCACCACTGCATGTATTCAGAGGGACCCTTTTTATACTGTACATATTATAAATAAAAAAGCATCTTCATTTTAGCTGATACGGTCTTTGGTGTAATTCATCCACGTTATTTCTAATACCTTAAAGTATGGATCTTAATGCATAACAATAATTAATGTGGTTACTTAAGTCCAAAGGATTTTTGTTTTATACAAAAGTTCATTTACTCGCTCCACTAAGAAATGCAGTTGCCATAATTCAGAAATGATATTGAATGCTTACATCCCGTACGTGCCATTTCTCAAATTCTTTTAAGTCCGTATATCAACCACATGTATTTATATCCTATCTATCCATTTAGCAATGTTGTAAACTTGACTATAGATGCTTTTCAAATGTCATAGCACATGTAACCTCCACTGGCTAGTCATTTTGAGGGACATTTCCAATGTATCTAATGCATAAAATATTATAAGAATATCTCGTCATGACGGCTGATAAAATTCTTTTAAATTCATATGAATAAAAGAATTGTACAGTAAATCGGCGGTTAAATGACGATTTGTCTCACATTTTATGAGTAAGGCCGATATGAAAAAGAATATTGACCCACTTTTGGCAAGGGAGGTAGTTACTGTTAAAAACGGAAACTATCTTTTATTTATGATTTAAGTGAACGACTATTGGATAGGAATGATTTCTTCATCATCAGCTTTAGAAGGCTGGAAATGGTCAGAAACCGACGAAGATGTGACGTTCTTTGACTGGGCCCCTGGTGAACCGGATAGAAATGATGAGGACTGTGTCGTATTTGGCGATACCAAAGGGTATAGATGGGCAGATGTACGTTGTTATTCGACAAGAAATATTTTATGTGAAATTGAAAACTTAGCAAAATGAGCGGGTGATATGCATGCTTTAAACTGTACACAAAGACCGATTTTTGGTATTTTAGCATACTTGTTAAAAGTCAGCCCTTATAACGTTTTACTGTCTAAGAAGATAACGTCCAATTATCCTTTGCAGATGTTTCCATTTTAAGTGCTTTACTTGATGTATGAAAAAAAAAGAATTTTATGTTTTTAGGCTTTTTGACCTCAGTGGAGCTCCTTTGACTGATTATGAAGAATTGAAAGGGGAGAAAACTTGTATAACTAGAATATTACAATTTGAACATAGTTGTCTCCCTTTTTAACTCAAGTTGAGGCATAGTGTCATTGAAATAAATCTACACTTTTTTGGGGACTGACTTTGTATATTACGTATACATTCTAGATGTGTGTTACAAATGAGATGGGAACGTGAAAAGTCGCCAAACACGGTGAAAATAATAAAATGTTCAGTTTCGGTTTCGATTATTTGATATACATGTAATATAAAATGTAAGTCTGAACGGCATTTTGCTCTGAATAAATGATTAAATTTCTCTGTAACAAGCTTTTTTCTTTAAACACCACTCAATATCAGAGAAAACTAAGACACGCATTATGATTTTGATTAACATACTTCCGGCGGCAATGTATTTTTTTATATATATTTTTCGACAGAACAGAACATGTTTTAGACTTCGTCCCTGAACAAAAAGCCTGAAACATCCATCAAATGTATGACCTACATGATTGAATTGGCCGTTTACCAGAGAAAATTATTATGAGTTTTCGGCCCCGTGTGAGGGGTATTTTGCAAATAACCGTTTATATAAGGCGATATCACCTGTTAAGAATCATTATAACGAATTTATAATATTGCATACTTCCCTTATTAGAGCAAGATATTTACATTCATTATTGGACTGCAGCCTGTGAATGAATTATATAAACGTCATGATCATCCAATGAAAAGACGCGTACAAACGTACATCATTATCACACATAGTATCATCAATCTGAACATCTCGGCTATTATTCATAATAACCTCTTTAAAAAGTGATTTTAGGTAAAAAATTAAACAGAGGGTGTTATCTTTGATGTGTAACGAATGTACTGTACATATATTACATCCGAAGGAAAATAAAGTCTTTTTCGGTAATGCTGTGTTCTCACCGCCGATCAGATCAACTCGATCAAGCACGATCAAGCGATCGGGTACCGGTCTAGCTCGATCTGCATGCTTGATCGGGGGTGGTCGGAGCGGTCAACCTTGGTCGGCCTGGCTCGGGTTTTCCTACCCGAATTTTTTTGACATGTCAAAAAATTCGATTAGCGATCGAGTAGATAAGACGTCGTGAAGTGATCGTATAGTGATCGAGTAGAAGATCTAGTTGATCGAGAATAAATCGTGTAACGATATAGTTTGGTCGGGTATAAATCGGGTATACATCTCTTACCCGATCTGTACACGATCATCTCGACTTCTACTCGAGCATTATCCGATCTGGTCGGGTGGAAATATGGCAACGATCAAGCAGAGGTCCAGTTTGTCTAGTTGAGATCGTGTATGAATCGCGTATAGGTCTGGGTGATCGAGAAGAAGTCGGGATGTCGGTCGGGTTGTCGTCGAGAATAAAGTCGTAAACATGGTGGACTTGATCGTGAATTTGCATTTAATCCAGCTTGGTCGGGCTTTATCGGGAAATTTATGTGATGGGGACGATCGAGTTGATCTGATCGGCAGTGAGAACATAGCTCAAAGTTCTGATTGAAAATTTGTCTGACAATCATTATCAATTTTAAATGCCCTATAATCTTATCTGCGTTATTGTTAACGGGTAGGCATTTTATTTATGTACTTCCGGTCTCTACAACAATAATAAGAAGCATATAAAAATGTACAAATTTTGTTTACCACGGTGTTTTCACCATCGTAAGCTTTACCAAATATGTTGTGGTTTCATTATTTGGACTTTTCACAATGATACTTTCGACTATTCATCACGTTCGTCGTGTTTTGGCTTTTTTTTCGTTGTTTCGAGTTATATGTGTGTCGCGATGTGCCTAACAGGGCACCGTAGTTTACATGTTAAGTTTCTTCCAAAACACCGTATCCGTCCTGTCTGCTCGAGGATTGGACAAAATGTATCATATATACACGGGTATCTATTTTCACAGCGATATGATGATTTGAAACACTATACATGTATTACTTATTGTTCAAACTCCGTACAATATTTATGAAACTTTGCAGTTGAGTAACAAAAAAAACTTACTCTTTTTTAAATTTTGACTAGTGTTTTTTTCAGACGCCTGCATCCTTTAAAGCTTCATGCCTCCAGATGAGCCAAAACATTTTAAGAGAATCAAAACTTGAGAGTAATGTAGATTCAATTAGCATATTACGTGCAATTAATGACCGATTTTTTCAATATCATTCACAATATTTCTTTTGTGTGACTAACGCAGTAAGGGCTTTTTGCATATTTTAACCTCTTTTAATTTACGCGGATTGTAAATGACATTTGCAATTTGTTAATTATTTTCTATGTGCGGTACACAATATTTTACCTCTAATGTTCATAAAAATTAGCATGAAAGATTAAGTCAATATATTGATTCTCAAACATAAAACACTTTATTTACTTTATAAAACGGTAATTCAATGATATATAAGGTACATTATTCATTAACCATTGGAAAAAAACAAACCAAAATATACATAATACACACAATGCTACGTTCCATATACCTTTATTGTAGCTAAACCCTACCGGTGTTTTCTATAATCACAACCCAGATTATTAGAGCAAAACAAAATGACATTCGCAATATTATGAATTCTGAAAATCAATATTCTCTTTTCCGCGTTTCCAGGAAAAAAGAGATCATGTTTGAATCAATAAGTTCACCCGATAAACATCCTTGTTAATATCTTTTTCTTACTTCGTAAATAGGAAACACCCAAAAAAAACAGTAAGTAAATTAAGAGGTAAAATGTTTTATAAAGAATTTTGTTGTGAATCCATGTAAGTCAATAAAATAACATAGGAATCTTAAAATGATTTTAAGTATATGAACCTTCCTACAAAGGAAAGAATGCTTATATTCGTCATAGAAAATTATTTTGTGAGAATACTAGCCTAAATTTAAGGTAAGAAAGAACACAAAAGTTGTTTATTTATATATGCGGGCGCTGGCAGCTCAACATGCGCTTTTGTTGTAGTCAGATAAAAAAACAAATTATTGGCTCATAAATTTAAAAAGAAAATGACATCAATTTTTCATTAGAATAATAAGACCTATTCAAAAATCCACAATGAGATAACTCCATTTACTTGGCCTTTGAAAAGTTTATTTCACGAGCATGTTTTTATATAAAATGAAAAAAGGTCCAAAATGAAAATAAAAGCATCGATAATTTATGTAAAAAGTGTATTCATACTGTAATTATGCCATGGAGATTAAAGTGACGTCCGTCTACATAAAAATTACGTCCTCCTTTTTAAAGTGACGTCCTTCCGCATAAAGTGACGTCCTTTTTCATAAAGTGACGTCCTTCTTCATAAAGTGACATCCTTCCTCTTAAGTAACGTCTTTGCTCATAAAGTGATGTTCTTCTTCATAAAGTGACGTCCTTCTTTTAACAGTAACGACCTTCCTCATAAAGCGGCGGCCATCTTCAAAAAAAGACGCCATTCCTCTTAAATAATGTCTTTGCTCATAAAGTGACGTTTTCCTTCGTAGAGCGACGTCCTTCCTCATATAGTGACATCCTTCTTAAAGCGAGGTCCTCATATAAAGCCGTCCTTCCTCATAAAGTGACGTCCTTCCTCTTAAGTAACGTCTTTGCTCAAAAAGTGACGCATTTCCTTATAAAATGACTCCTTGCTCTTAAAGCGACGTCCTCATAAAATGCCGTCCTTCCTCGTAAAGTGATTTATCACACACCCGTGCCGATTTTGCGACTCCGTAAATATGGTATTGTACGGCCGTGCATATATTTTGACGTGACGTCATTAGCGATATACAAACATAGTGTGAAGACGCGCTAAATGTAAGCGTTATACTATAGGCGCGTCAATGAAAAATTACCCTTATTTCACTTTAAACTTTCTTTATTTTGGGTATGTGATAAATAGAATATTAAATTCGTGTAAGTTCATTACTAAAATTATTGCACTCGTTGAATAAAATAATATTATGCTCGACAGAGGCTCGCATAATATAATTTTATTCAACTCGTGCAATAAATTCAGTATTGAACTTACACTCATTCAATATCCTCTATGTACTTCCTCTTAAAGTAACGTCCGTTCTCATAAAGTGACGTCCTTTCTTATAAAGTGACGTTCTTTCTCATAAAGCGACGTCCTTTCTCTTAAAGCGGCGTCCTCATATAATGCCGTCCTTCATAAAATGACGTCCTTCATCAAAACAAGGCGTCAGTCCTTCAGACATCTTTTTCATATTGTGACGTAACAGTAATTATGCAAACGTTTTATATGTATATCAAATTTATATTGCTCACTTTGTCTTAGACAGTGAAAACGATTTAAATTCTTTCTCGGGTATGACAATATCATATGATAAACAGAATTATTCCACACATTAGTCAGAATTAAGATAGTCAAACTAATAAATTACAATCTATTTAAAACATCTTTAAAACATTGTACTTGCGGGTGTGTGTAGATATTTAAAATAAATAGCACAGGTGAGCAAATTATTGGTTAACGCCTGACTAACTTATTTCAAAAGATGAAAAATGATAACTTGTAAAATATTTACAAACGCGTTCACAACGATAGTCATATATAGTTTTAATTTGCAATTACATTCACATTTGAATAAATGCTTAACATTTAAAGGATACTTTTCTTCTTCTTTTTTAATAAAAAAAACAAAATATTGAATAATTCAAAGTTGAAACCTAAAGTTTAGAATGCATTCAAGTTTTGTAATTGTTTTAACTATTTTGCCGCTCGTGCAAAGCTGGTGTGGCGATTACAAAGACTGCGTTTCGTGTGCAAGTTCAACAACCTTGTTCGTAAACTGTCGATGGTGTGAAATGACAAAAACCTGCCATACACCAGGCTCACTATTGAATACGTGCAAAGGATGTACAGACAGTTCAATTTCAAAACTTTGTAGTGTTACAGAGCCGGGAAAATGCGACAGACACAATAAAAACGAATCGAAAAGTGGAGACTTTGAACCGTACGATGCTTATAACGCCGTTCTTTATTCCGCAGTTGCATATTCGAATAGATCAAAAGACTGTGCGAAGAAGATGTTCAAAGTTGAAGAATTTGAAATAATTGAACTTATAGGGAAAAAGTGTAACTATCTTTTCAAATATAGGCTATGTTGCGCAGTCGCAGTAGTATCACATTGTTTGAAGAAGATCACCCTAGCTTACAGAGGTACAACAAGTGCTTCCCAGCTTGATGAGGAGTTTGGAACGGTTCTCGGCAAATTTAAAGTTTCTGCTAAAGTCGGTGGCAATGTACAAGAGTATTTTAGTAACGCAAATGATCAGCTTTACCCATGCGCAAAGGCAAGTCTGGAGGATCTTGTCAAAAAGTATCCAAAATATAAAGTAGTGGTTACAAGACATTATCTTGGTGGGGCAGTTGCATCTATTGCTACATCGCAGTTAATAGTTGATAAAGTTCTTGATAAAGACTAGAAATGTGTCATCATGCCACGGATGCTGCATTCAGCCAAAATTTCAGATGGTGCATAAATTATTTTTTTCATTTTAAGTTCAAAAAAAAAAAATTAAGTTCAAAGCCCTTAAAACTTTTCAATGTTAACACAAATCATTTTCATTCAATGTTCAAGGCACTGAAATTATTCAGTCTTAACCTTTTAAAAATAGCATATTGCATATTTGTAGCCAAAATAATGGCTAAAAGTATGAGTGCTGAAACTGTAAGTTCAAAATTTTTCCATCATTCAGGAAAGATAAGTTTGTCTAAAATCATTGAACCACAACCAAATTCAAACTTAAACTGCTTATTCCTAAGATGTATCTATATTATTTTCAAAGTGAAGGGGACATAACTCTGTCAAAAAATCATTAAACCATGACCAAATTCCAACTGCCCATTCCTTTGACATATCCATATGTCAAATTTAAGTTGAATATGTAACACTGTTGGTAGATAATGAACAGAAACTGTAAATTTAATATTATTTTCAAAGTGAAAGGAGCATTACTCTGCCAAAAATCATTGAACCATGACCAAATTCGAACTTGGCCTGCGCATTACAAAAACATATCCATATGTCAAATTCTAGTTGAATGTGCTGTACCATTGGGGAGATAATAAATGGAAACTGAAAATTTCATATTACTTTCAAAGTGAAAGGGGCATAACTCTGCCAAAAATCATTGAACCATGACCAAATTTGAACTTGACCTGCGCATTCCTTTGACGCATCCATATGTTAAATTTGAGTTGAATGTGTTGTACCTTTGGGGAGATAATGAACGGAAACTGAAAATTTCATATTGTTTTCAAAGTAAAAGGGGCATAACTCTGCCAAAAATCATCGAACCATGACCAAATTCGAATTTGGCCTGCGCATTCCAAAAACATATCCATATGTCAAATTCGAGTTGAATGTGTTGTACCATTGGGGAGATAATAAATTGAAACTGAAAATTTCATATTACTTTCAAAGTGAAAGGGGCATAACTCTGCCAAAAATCATTCAACCATGACCAAATTTGAACTTGACCTGCGCATTCCTTTGACGCATTCATATGTCAAATTTGAGTTGAATGTGTTGTACCTTTGGGGAGATAATGAACTGAAACTGAAAATTTCATATTGTTTTCAAAGTAAAAGGGGCATAACTCTGCCAAAAATCATCGAACCATGACCAAATTCGAACTTGACCTTTATTTTCTCACGACATATCCATATGTCAAATTTGAGTTGAATGTGTGCAACCGTTCTTAAGATAATGAACGGAAACTGATGATGACGGAAGGACGGAATGACGGAACAGGGTAACACTATAATGCCCCGGCCATTACATGGCGGGGGCATAAAAAAACTACGCTCTTTACATTTGGAATGCCAAGAACCGGTGATCGCACATACGCCGAAAACTTCGATAAGCTCGTACAGAAAAGTTGGCGGATTGTTCATTTTAGAGATGTTGTTCCAAAACTACCGGCAATGACTCCATTGTCAAGCAGTCCGTACCATCATCAGCGGGAGATCTTTTACGGGGCAGACATGAGCATTATCAGCGACTACATTGAATGTTTCGACTCTGAGGATCAAAAGTGTGGCAATAGCGTCCTGCCGTCACCCTGGTCTGTAAATTATCACATATTACGGAATTTCAGTAGGCGGTCACTGTATATATAATACTTAATATAAGGATGAGAAGATCAACTGGTGAGGCAGAGATATCAAATCTATTTACTAAGACTACTTGCAAAAGGATTAAGATGTCTGAAATAAATGGAAGTGATGCTTTAAGAGTCGGCTATAATACAGCGCTAGGTGTTGTTTTGATGTGTTTTCTAATAATTAAAGTTTAACGATTATAGTGATTGCCTATTCTTTGAAACTGGATTATGAAATGGCGTCAGAAAATATACATTTTGTATTAATAAATCGGACTTTTATATCAAAATATTACTGAAACAGACTGACCTGTTTGATATTTACTTAAATAGATATTGCTTATATAAATCTATTATACCAGTTTGTTCAAATTATACTGTAATCATCTATGACGCTCACATTTCTTGGGAGTAAATAAAAAAAATGAAAACCAGTTATTGTACAAAATTTGATCCAAAATTTCTATACGTATCTCCACAGCCTGCGTTTCTGTGATTCGTTGGAGCCTAAGTAATACGTACATATATCCAGCAGTGTACTTGTCTCACACTAAGATACTTTAATAATTATCACTAATGTACAATTATAAATATATTATAATATTTTACATTGCTTTCTCAAATATGTAACATTATCACTGAAATTATGCTCATTTTTTTCACTGTCAATTTGAGTTTAAATAGTAATATATATATTCCAAAAGATTGGCTATTATAATGCTGATTGACCCAATAATTGATAATAAAAAAATGGTAGTGGTACGATATGAAAATTACCTTTATTATAAAAAAGACTGCGCCACTCTTTTTAAGAATTGATCCTTACTAATACATATAATGGAAGATATTTAGAATTGGTCACATTGATTATTTAATTTATTTTTTTTTCATAGTCTTAGTCACATTGATTATTAAATTATTTTTTCATAGTAAAATATAAAATTGAACAGTAATGACAAATGTTCAGCTATTTTTATTTTCACTTGTTCACTGACCATTTATGGTTGGGTGGGCATAATGTCACTCCTCAAAAAACTGTAAATTAGTAATAATGTACTTTTTTCCGTTTTGACTTTATATATTTGCTTACTATAATATATACATGTATAGATCAATATGTAAAATAATATTGTAGTTATTATACATCTCTGTTCTGTTTTGTTTAATGTGTGTCAAATGTCCTTGATATTGCTGAGCAAATGGTTTGTTGTTTGTGCACAAGTTTTCAAAATATCTGTAATTGCGTTTTTGGCCACTCCAAACTGATAAAAATTGCGTATTTTGATTTCCCTTGCCCATTTACTCCGAGTTCAGTCGTTCAGTTTTTAAAGCATTGATATCTTAATTTAAAAAGTGTAAAACAAGTAATGTGGTAATAAAATCAACTGTCATTTCTTTGGTTATGCATAAATCAAAAATTTAATAAAGATATGGCAAATTCTTATCAACTTTTATTACTTTATCTGATGGTCATCTCACATCAGCCGAAGTTAGATTGTTTAACAAGAGCATTCAAAACAAATACAATAGAAATTCCTATCATTTTTTTTAAGTTTGCTCTTTAAGTGTCAATTATTAAGAAGTAAAGCAAGACTCTTAGCATTTGTGTCGTCCTAAACGTTCGTTAAAAACATGCTGTCATATGCCAGGAGCCTTAACTATTTCTAAAACGTATTTTGGGAAGTTACCATCTTAGTAAATTTCCAATATCAATGCATGTGTCGAACTCGGTGCTTTATAACGTAGCTGCAATCTGTTTGGTGAAACATGCACATTCCTTCAACCGGTCAAAAATAAGGACATAATCATGTACGTCTTATAGATAAGAATTGAAATTTGGCCACTTAAAATGAAGTTTGGTCAAATCAGTGGTCTGTTTAGCTTCTTGATATACGGTGAGTAGACTTTATATAATGTCGTAACAAATGTATATGAATAACCTATCCTAACATATCATTCAGGGTTTTTTCATAAAACTTAATGTTGTCATGTAAACTTAACAAATGTTTGTACAAATATTAGGGGACTATGTAGAATTTTCAATAAATATAGATGACATGATATTGTATTACATTTATTTATTTTCACTATACACACTTGCGCAAATAAGTTAATGGTGTGTTGGGGGGTCACTAAACCGAAATGTACAGTAACCTGACAAAATATTAAATAGAGATAGCCCTAAGAAGGGCTGTTATGCCAGCAAAGGGCCTGTCTGACTCACTCACCCTAGCAAACTTTCCTCGTCTCTGCCTACTTTGCAGGACCACTCCCCTCAACTTAAGTCAGAACCTCGGCAGCTGGTCCGCAAGGTACAAGTTTCGGTTTTCTTTCTCGTCGTCGCAAGTTCTTTAAATCTTCTGCCGATGTCCTGTGCCTTCTTATCAATGTGCACGTACCGAGAAGAAGTGAGAAATGAACAATTTATCTCAATATAATACATTTTTAAAACAATCTAACAAACTTCGATTTTGTAAGAATAGATACCATACAATTCAATATTTCATTTGCAATAATCAGCATACAAAGTGCTTATGGCAAAGTTTGACATACTACAATATACAAATCACATATGCACCAAATGACATGTAACTGTTACATAAATGTTACATCATTACGAAGCTGATGTGGAGAAACAGCAAAGAATATGACATGCATTAACTTACATATTAATTTCTTTTCTTTTCAAAAATGCTTCATTTAAAAATTTCAATACATTCAGTAAAGTTGATTGTTTTCTTCTTAACATTCAACTATAAAATTTAGGTAAAGATGGTCATTCTGTGTTTGGAAAATAGTTCTAAGGAATTTCAGAATAATGTGTACAGATTAAAAGAAAATGATGTTCACTTTCAACAACACGCATTGTACAATGTTAACACATCTGCCTATCTATAGCTAGATTATGACTGCTTAACCTAAAGGATGCAAACAGTTTAATTAATTTGTCACTTTTAATTTATAAAGATATTCCTGTGATTCAAATACAGTTTTAATTTGAACCATGTTGAAATGCCTTGTTACTAATTATGGTCAGGCCAAATATATAATATTACAGTCACAGTCAATTTGTTTTAAATACCGTATACAAAAATATTAATATGATAATATCTTTACTTGTAATGAAACATTTGGATGAATAAATCAAAACAGGTTATAGACACATGGACAATGCTTTTATTGCTTAAGTTGTGATAACTATACTAGTATACATTATAGATGAATACTTCAAAGTAAAAATGTCAAAAAGAACGTAGAAAAATCGAATATGTAAAACAATAAAATAGTTTTACCAGTACATCATACAGAACATCATTATTAAGAATATAAAAAATATGCAAATGAAAAATAAAATGCAGGATAAAAAAATCTTTCAGTAACAGAAAATAAAATGATATTCTACTGATATATTTAGTTGGATATTAAATGAATGAAATCATAATGATTCTTATTTCCAGTCACGGTAAATGCAACCGATTGCCAGGACAGGTGGGTTGCGTTTGAAGGATCATGTTATCTGTTTGGGCATGACTTGATTCACTTTACAGAAGCTGAGGTAAATATGAGAAATATATGGGGGGAGGTGTTGTTGCTCACACTCAAAATCCGGCTATTAACTATTAACATTTTCGTAATAACTTTTAGGATGAAACATAAAACCATAACGTTGTGTTTTGGAAGAAAATGTTCTAAATTACATTTAAACTTTCCAATGTCTTTCCACGTTCTTTATGTTACTCTCGGGCTCAGCAGTATCATAAAATTACCATTTTTTTTAAATCTGAATCAAAGTGCTGCATATTTTCAAATAATTTAAACAAATATCCACCCAGTGACTTGGGACAATATCTTTCATGTATGAAATTATATCGATACGTGTTCAATGTGAAGTTTATGGTATATTAACTGTAAAAGACAACAATCCTGTTCTATGAGACAAATATATACATAAAAAATCCAGAAATTAATGGCAGATTTTAATTGATATATAATGGATATATAAATATGTACGGATTGATCTGCTTGGTATGGAAGCTATTTATATAGTTAAGATGATTGCATCATGCCTCGTCCATATGACCATTTTCTATTTATATACATAAAAAAATAAATGTTATTTAGTAATAGTATTTAATTTTACCAATATACGATATATCTCGTAATTCCAGATATTACTTCGAATTCTCCTGTTTGTCGCATATAGTTTGCAAAATGTCTTCAAAAATTCATACTGTAATTCAAAAAGTAAAAATTTCGGTATCAATGAAATATAATTTACACATGTTAAAATAAAAACAACTAGTATGGTTTATTTTATTCATCAGGAATACTGCCGTCATCATTCGGCACACCTCGTACAAGTTGAGACCAAAGCAGAGAACATGTTCCTACGGGATTTTCTTCGAGACTTTAAATGTATGCTTATCCTTCAGTATTCATCCTTACACAACTATGCACAAAATATCTTACACACTTGACTTCTCTTATATATTCTTTCGTTTAGAGCTGTGCAATAATGTTAAGTTTTTAATGAATCCCTAGTTTTATATCTTCAACATCTAGAACCATGTGAGGCGTTTTGATAGAAGCAAATGACACAATGAACTTTCAAATAAGAGTTATGCTTAAATTGGTATTCTCGTTCTCTGTCAGAACTGATATGCCCGTTATTTATTGTATGTAGTTTTTATTTATTCTTTTTTGTATTGTTAATATATTCGTAATATATGCTTCATTTTTCTTAGCACCCTGTACTCTAAATGTAATCGTGTGTTTGGACGTGCATGTTTTACATGATAAACAATATGCTTTAATTTCGTTATGCCATTTGAGTGGCTGACTACTGGATTGGCATGACTGACGAAACCGTAGAAGGTGTTTGGAAATGGTATAGCAATAATGAGGATGTGGAATATTTTGACTGGGGACCCACAGAACCTCAGAATGTAAATAATGAGGATTGTGCAGTATTTGGCGACACCCTGGATTATCAATGGGCTGACGTTAAATGTGCAACAGACAGGAAGGCACTATGTGAAATCTCGTATGTATCAGTATTAAATAATGTTTGATAAAGGGTTAAAAAATAACTTTTCCCTTTTATAATAAACTTGTATTTGACAGAGACTCCTTGCAACAAAGTTGCTGCTGTAAACTTACGTCTATAGATACGATCTGATTTATAGACACGATCTGATTAAGACTTGAGCACCAAATAAATACATTATAAAAGTTCATATAGTGTAAACAGTAATATGAAAGTAACCAGATTGCTTACAAATGTGTATTCAAATCTTAATTAATACAAATTTGCAACTTGCGTTCGTCATATATCACAGAGTTACCCAGACCATATATTTTTATATGTTTTCTTTCATTTTAGGACTGGAAATGTGGATATCATCGGATAGGCGTTACCGAGTCCCTATTTACTATTGTTGAATTTTAAAATCAAAATATTTTAGAGATTCATTGACTTACAACTAGTAAATAAACAAACGAGAAGTTAAAAATGTAAACGTATTAGTTTATTTGAACTGTTTTTCTTTATTGAAATGCTAAAGTGCAACCCCGCACAACAAAAGAAAATACCACAGTACCAATTAGATACCCTAGCGACAGGATATCATTAGAAGAAAGCCAAAATACAATAATCGTCGTGTGAATAAACAGTTCTGAAACAAAACAAGTACACAGACTACTTACTTTAAATAAAGACTACTAACTTTGAATAAGTTTAGTTGAAACAAAGAAACAATACATGTTTTGCTCCAACTACCATTTTCTAAAAGTTGAGGAAATTCTTCACTGTTCAAAAACAGGCTGTTTGCTTATTTCTGGACGAAATCAGTAGTAAAAACAATTTAACATAGGCCTAATGATTGAGGCAACGTAAATCATTTGTAAAATATCTATATCTTGTTTTGTTTCATAAGTTTGCATGTTTGTAGGGAGGGGGTATTTAAAGATAGAGCAAAAGTGTCATATTGTTATCGCATGCTATTGGAATAAATAAAAATGTTGGGGAAAAAATCAAATTGGAATTTAAATAATTCCGCCCGGACAGCATAATTCGGGGCGGAATACATGAAATTCCGCCCGGACAAATTTTTAAGATTTTAATTTGATAAGAATTTTTTTTAAAATAGCATTAAATAAAGTCAATTATTTATAATTACCTTTTATATCCAGACTTTTCAAAGGACTATATATATGGGAAGAAATGGCTTTTTAAAATTTCCAACGGTGGACTAATAGCATTTCTGTACGTACAAACAGCATTCATATGATATAGTTTAGAAAATTGATTGGTCAGAATTCTATAAATTCCTGACATTAATTTTGAGCAAATTATTCTGCTAGCTTTGTTTTAGTCGTTTCGTACTGATCCCCGTTGTTTTGAAATGTTTTAAAGATGTGATTTAGTTCTTCCCCTAGTGGAGAAAAAGTGCTTGTCTTTTATGTAAGATTTTCAAATCTTCCGGTCCATTCTCAGAGTTAACACCTAGTCATTATAGTTCAAGGAGGAGATTCTGAAGTCTACTTTATAATTATACTCCCAGCAACAAAACAGACACAACTTTATGGAATGTTTTGCTGAATCCCATGATTATAATATCTGTCTATTGGCTTTGCACAATATTGCCATGAACTTCGAATTCCTGAGAAAATTTGACAGCTTTCACAGCTCTATTTGACCTGAAACATGTAAAAAAGGGTTTCTAGGATATCAATTTGTCATAGAAAAACATGATAGCGGATACCTTATTTGCTCCATTAGCTATAAGAGGCAATATATGTTAATGAGATCGGTCTGTAATTAGCGGATTTACATTTTGGGCCTTTCTTACAGACAGGGGCAATGCTAGTCATTTTGTGCGATACCAGATTAAAAGGACATTTGGAAGAGGTGGATGAAAACAGAACTTCAATGTGAAGTTCATTTAAACCACATAATAGGGAGATTTGGTCGGAGTCTGATGCTTTGCACGGATTTAAACCATTAGGAGTGTCCTCACTCTATCCTCTGTTGTGTTTTTTCCATGTTTTTATTGATTTGAGGAAAGAGTATAACTTCTTCTTATTCTTGTGAATCTTCAGAAAAAATGACTGTAGTAAGCAAGTCTACATGTTAGATTAAGCCACGCCTTTAATATCAAATATCGTTATTGTTACTGTATATATGTTTACTTGATGTTTGGGAGTTTGTTAGTTTACACTTGGATGCAACACATATAATACCTTCGGGACTTGTTTAGTTTGTGTGCTAGTAAGTCATGCAAATATACTATATAAATATTACAATGACCTCGTCTAATTACAACTGGTCAGTGTCAACTGGTGAGTGTGAATTCCTTATTTCGTTTTGTATATTGCCTCTATAGCATTTTAAATAAAAACTAATAGTTCTTGGGAGGAGGTATTCGAATGTACAGTCGACCACGTTTCCAAAGTTGGCGAATGGTGTGTGGTTTAAATCAGGGTAGATCATGAAATACTTTTTACGTTTTGAGACGGATTTGATTTTCAAGTTTTTACAAGATTTATTTCAATACTGTACTGACATGATTCATTAGAACATGCGACATAATTAAAATACAAAATTGTGAACATATTACAACCGGAATAAAGAAAAATATACACAAAAAAATAAACAAAATCCAATGCTTCATTAGCACAAAATTTCTAGGAGATTACTATATACAAGTGTTCACCAAGAATTACTTTTTCGTCATTTTATTTCTTTGGGTTGTATTGTTAACAATATGGCAGCGCCCATGTAAACGTGATGATTTTACAAAGAACATCCTTAAATTTACGTAATATTCCAACATTTAACGTCACAAGAATGTCTTCTGAGAGTATGAATGTAAAACAACGGAAGAAAGACTACGAGGAGGGAATATCCCTCCGAGCACAGAGAAGGGTAACCATTTTCACGAATAGTGTTTTCGGATATGAATTAATTCGGATATAACTTATAACAAGAAAGTCTTGCTCCAATGGCCGATTAAGCGGCTTGTTAGAAAATCTTATCATGAAGCCTTAATTTCAAATTCTGTGCGTTATGTTATGAAAATGACATGTTTTCTACAGATTTAACCCACAGGCAATCGGTGCGTGGCTTGGATAGTATACATGTACATGACCACGCCCACTTACTTTTTTATAAATTTTTTTTTTTTTCACTAATAAAATATTTTTTTATTCAAAATATTTTTAAAATATCTTATTTTCAATAAATCAACAAAGAAAATTTGTTTTTAAAAAATTTCATCCATATATACTATTAATATAGTAAAGGTAGAAAGGTTCGCCAGCGGACCTACCACCAGGCCTTATGTTACCTCCCAGATCTTTGTTAATTGTCAACCAATTTTCACCAAATAAAGTGCAATCTACGCAGAAATGATTTTTCTTTCGAAAAATGTACAATATTAGAACAGTTGGTACGACAAAAAATGGAATTTTAAAGCAAAAATGCACTTTTTGTCTAGGTCGGCCATCGCATGACCGAGCCGAAAGTAGACGATTTTGAACATAAATCGATCTTTTTCTTAAGAACAAACTAATGTCAGTGCATGCAAACAGTTGAAATAGAAAAGGCAGCTATAAAACTATCGCTTACCGGTCCAAAGTTAATCCAAAACGTCTGCAGGTACGCACTTTCGGTAGTTATTTGCACTAACTTTTTAAATTCCCTGACATTACATGTATACAAATGCTGACCCGGATGTATCTGATGCGTACCCCTTTTCGCATAATAAAAATTGAGCGAAGCTGGGTACCAGCGGGAACCGAGCATGCGTACCTTGAATATCCGGATCAGAATTTGTATACATGTACAATGTCGGGAAATTTAAAAAGTTAGTGCAAATAACTACCGAAAGTGCGTACCTGCAGACGTTTTGGATTAACTTTGGACCGGTAAGCGATAGTTTTATAGCTGCCTTTTCTATTTCAACTGTTTGCATGTACTGACATTAGTTTGTTCTTAAGAAAAAGATCGATTTATGTTCAAAATCGTCTACTTTCGGCTCGGTCATGCGATGGCCGACCTAGACAAAAAGTGCATTTTTGCTTTAAAATTCCATCTTTTGTCGTACCAACTGTTCTAATATTGTACATTTTTCGAAAGAAAAATCATTTCTGCGTAGATTGCACTTTATTTGGTGAAAATTGGTTGACAATTAACAAAGATCTGGGAGGTAACATAAGGCCTGGTGGTAGGTCCGCTGGCGAACCTTTCTACCTTTACTATATTAATAGTATATATGGATGAAATTTTTTAAAAACAAATTTTCTTTGTTGATTTATTGAAAATAAGATATTTTAAAAATATTTTGAATAAAAAAATATTTTATTAGTGAAAAAAAAAAAAAATTTATAAAAAAGTAAGTGGGCGTGGTCATGTACATGTATACTATCCAAGCCACGCACCGATTGCCTGTGATTTAACCTATATACTTTAGTCATTGAAATCTTACAGTTGCCTCGACCTACCGGTTCGCCAAACTAATCTTAATAATAAAACAGGTTTTGGTTTCGTCAAATTTAATTTATATTATTAGTTATAAAGATCGTTGACAGGTTATATGGCCCTATATAAACGGCTGTTTGTAAATATAACCCGAGCCGTTAGGCAAGGGTTATATTGCAAACAGCCGTTTATGTACGGCCATATAACCTGTCAACTATCTTTATAACGAATTTATAATACAGCAAGCATCATTTTTTAGAGAAAAAAATTTATATTTCTTCATGAATCGACAGCAGCCATGTATATAAAACTATATAAACGTCACGATTTTCCAATGAAAAATGATGTTACAAACTTGCAGTATTATAAAGTGCAAAAAATATCTAAATCTATTGTGTAATGGGCACATCGTTCAATTATCGTGGGTCTTAATGTGTGGTTTATCACACATTTTCACGCAATGAAAGACAAGATATTGAAAATTTGAACCTATTATTTTCTTTAGTATAATAGCTATATTTAATAAAAGCATAACACATTACAAAACAGTGTTTTTTTTCTTTATATAACTACTTCCCGAAAAAGGTACTGTTCCCAATGGAAAAAAGACACATGAAAATTCCCAATTTCTAATGTGAAAATTCCCAAAATGACTGTTCAGATTTCCCACAAGGCCATAGTCATCTCAACATCTTCGTACTTGTCCCAGGTGTCGAATAATTCGCCATCTCCACCAGCACTCCAAAAACAGGAGTATTCATAAATTGGTAAAAGCATGAGCCGTAACAAATGTGTCAATTTCCTAAAAGTAAAACAAGGTTTATATTGAATGTTATTTCATCATTGTTGTTGTTTTTTTTATCTCTATTCTAATATATCTACTTGATAATTAAGGCCCCCACGGTTACATGTTTAAACAGATCCGTTTCGATTTTCATTTGTAAACGTTTACGAAATGTTTTACCGTTTCATCGAAATGACCATATTATTGTCATACAAAAAATATTAATCATTGCCTGTAATCATGAATTCTATTAATTCTAATTGATTTATTCCAAAGTAAAAAATGGGAAATGGGTGGTAACAAACATCTAGACAGCATCACAGTGCAATAATCGCTCGTGATATAATACATTTTTGGTAAAGTTGATTTACATTTGTTGCTCAAAAGAGTGAAATGGGGATACTATGCAGAAAATGTGTGCCGACTCAATCATGATGAGCCATGAAGGCATGAACACTATTTATTTGTACATGTATTAAAAATATATATCATCAATTGGCAGCTTGAATACATGGTGTAGTATAGTACATAGAAGTACCACCATTTAAACGGTATCGTTTCGGTTCTTAACAATTGTGTAAACGTTTACAAAAAATTGTAAACGTGGGAGCCTTATTGATATTAGAGACTTATTTTATCAAAATGACTTTGTCATTACCATTCAGCCTAATTCTTCAAGTTATTGACATGATACTTGTAATGTTTATACCCATTTATACTCATTGACTTACTTAAGAGATACAATATCTATAATGATAGATTTGTCAAAACTTTTAGAGTAGAAAGGTTCATTAAAAAAGAATGAGTTAATAGTGAAATTGAACAGAAATTTAATATACTTTATATGTAAGCTCCTTTTTCTCTAGCACTTTTAAAGTGTATCTTTCAAGGTTATTCTGATATAATAGCAATTATCTCTATACTTGTACTTTTATTTCTGCTTTACAATTTAAGACTTTTCAAGTTGGCAAATATCTTATGATCATGATCATTTTTTAGCTCGACTATTCGAAGAATATGAGAGCTATTGTAGTCGCCCCGGCGTCCGCGTCTGCATTGGTTAAAGTTTCAATTATTGCTTGAGATATTCAATTGAAGTTTACAATACTTATTTATAGTAACAATGTACATCAGATTGACTAGTTGGATAACTCTGCCTACAATATTTACAGAATTATGCCCCTTTTTAACTTAGAAATTTTGGTTAAAGTTTTTTGTTAAGTCAAATATCTCAATTATTGTTGAGATATTCAATTGAAATTTACAATTCTTTTTTATAGTAACAATGTACATCAGTTTGCAAAGTTGCATAACTCTACCTGCAATATTTGCAGAATTATTTTCCCCTTTGAAACTTAGAAATTTTGGTTAAAGGTTAAAGGTCTATAAAGATATCATATTTACTTGAAACTTTACACATGTACTTAGGGTCATGATTGAAGGTCACATCTCAAGATCATATGTATATTTGTGGTCATAAATAATGATCACTGAACAGCACTCATATATGTGTCATGTATTTAGGCTGATTTATCTCCCCCTTTTTTACTTAGTCTCTAGGTAAATGTTTACATGTAAGTTTTACATATCTCAATAACTGTCAGAGATTTTGATTTGAAACTTCACATATGCATGAAGGGTCATACTTGTATATTACTGACCAAGTTCCATAACTCTATCTATCATTTAGGCTGATCTATCTCCCCTTTCCTACTTAGTCTCTTGGTTAATGTTTACATGCAAGTTTTACAAATCTCAATAACTATTAAAGATATTTATTTAAAACTTCACATGTGCATGTAAGGTCATAATTGTGGGTCACTGACCAAGATCCATAATTCTATCTAGCATTTAGGCTGATTGTTCTCCCCTTTTTCAACTTAGAAATTCATGGTAAAGTTTTGCTTGTAAGCTGTTATCTCTACTGAAGGGTTTGTGCCTTTTTTGGGACAATTTTATGCATTAATAATAATAAAGCAGTGATTTACTTGATAAAACATCTTAATAACAAGCCTTTGTACCTTTTCGGTCAATTTTATGTATTCATAGGTAAGCATTATTAAAACACCCTTGTGACAATTTTTTCGAATAGTCGAGTCTTACTGTCCTCCGACAGTTCTTGTTTTTTTCATATTCTTCATTGTTTGTAAAGATACAGAAAACCACATGTATACATTGCACAATTATCTCCCACAAGTGTAAATAAACATTGACATTCTTACCATAATGTAATTGTTCTATATATTGCTTGGCTTAAAAATATTGCATTTTTGTACACTGTTTACAAGTACTTACCAGCTTAATGCAGTCCATTTCCATCATGGAGATAGGCAGACTCATATGAAAATACAATGTACATGTACAAGCTAATAAGTAAATTTGTATATTTCAGAAACGAGCATTTGTTTTATACAGCAAGCAACATAAAGATGATAAAGTATGGAAAACATCTGCGGACTTGGAACGTGAAACCTCGTACTATATAGAAAATGGTAGAATAATAATATTCTGTGTTTGCCAATAAATAAATTAATTTTTCATGAGTAAAACATTCATGGTTACATGTATTGTATATGATCTTTCCATAATTGCTCTAATAAAATGAACGCCGGCATCAGAAAACGACTCTTAAGGTATTAGGACCCTAATGGGCACTATCAGGAACTAAAAAATTGACATCATAGGTCAGATGTATACCTTAAAGTACACATGTATGCAAGATTTAAAGAAAGTTTACCGTACGGAAATCAAGTTATGGCCACTTTTCTGAACTCAAGCTAGGATGTTATGAGGGTCCTTTTTTAGAAATGAGGAACCTTTAAATAATCTGCAATAACATTCTAATGAAAAATGTTTTCCCATTAATTTTTGGTAAGAAACAAATAGTACCATTCAGCTAACAATCCACATAAGCAAAATTATGGTTTCTACTTAAAATTTATGAAATCTGTATAAAAATGTTACCCTACCCCACCCATTTTTACCACATGTCTGACCATTTTTCTACTTCGGGAGCCTAATTTAAAAAAATCTTAAAATTTACCCAAATGAGTGCCTGTTTTCAAAGTTTCCCTAAATTTTTAAAGAAGTATATTGGTTGATCTTGTAAAATATGAAATACTTTTACCGTCTAGTTTTGATTATATTACACTTTGAAAATATCAGGTACCATATTTATTGCTAGATTTAGCATAATTTAGCCAATAAATACCTATATAAATTAAAAAATCAAAATTAAACACTTTTTTTCTTTCCAAATAGGACATGAGAGATACATAAATAATTTTAAAGAAAAAAAGAAAGAAAAAAAAAGTTAACCCTTCTAGGGATTGAACCCATGGCCCTCATTTTCAATGTAGTTAACAGTAGTTCTAGCCTATTTGAATACTCTTCAATGCGGAGGTAATGCATTAGGATGCTAATACCTTAATGTCACTTACTTTTTTAAATTGTCATATTGAATTCTTTAAGAAATTCAATTCTTTAGCTCTTGAAATAAATAAAAAAAAAACTTTTGAAATTTGCTTATGGTTACCTATTCATATTTTATCTTTAACATTTCAAGGGTAATTCACATTTTTAGCTCGACTATTCGAAGAATATGAGAGCTATTGTAGTCGCCCCTGAGTCAGCGTCCGCATCTGTGTTGGTTAAAGTTTTTTGTAAAGTCAAATATCTCAATTATTGCTTGAGATATTCAATTGAAACTTACAATACTTATTTATAGTAACAAGGTTCATCAGATTGACAAGTTGGATAACTCTGCCTACAATATTGACAGAATTATGCCCCTTTTTAGCTCACCTTGCACAAAGTGCAGGTGAGCTTTTAGAATGGCCAACCAAATGGCGTCCGTCGTCAGTCGTCCGTCCACATTTTAAATATTCTAAAGACATCTTCTATGATACCACAAGGCCAATGTTAATGAAACTTGGCAGGAATACTCTTTGTATGAAGCTCTATCAAGATTGTTCAAAGAATTCCATTTCATGCAGAACTCTTGTTGCCATGGCAACCAAAAGAAAAATCTTTAAATATCTTCTTTTAAAGAACCGTAAGAGCTAGAGCTTAGATATTTGTCATGAAACATCTTCTAATGAGTGTCTACCAAGTTTGTTTAAATATAAGCCCTAGGGTCAAAATTGGCCCGGCCCCAGGGGGTCATTGATTTTCCCTATATGCATATAGTAAAAACTTAAAAAATCTTCTTTTAAAGAACCCAAAGAGCTAGAGCTAAGATATTTGGCATGAAACATCTTCTAGTGAGTGTCTACCAAGTTTGTTCAAATAAAAGCCCTGGGGTCAAAATTGGCCCCGGCCCTGGGGTCATTGATTTTCCCTATATGCATATAGTAAAAACTTAAAAAATCTTCTTTTAAAGAACTGTTAAAGCTAGAGCTTAGATATTTGGCATGAAACATCTTCTAGTGAGTGTCTACCAAGTTTATTCAAATAAAAGCCCTGGGGTCAAAATTGGCCCAGCCTCAGGGGGTCATTGATTTTCCCTATATGCATATAGTAAAAACTTAAAAAATCTTCTTTTAAAGAACCCAAAGAGCTAGAGCTAAGATATTTGACATGAAATATCTTCTAGTGAGTGTCTACCAAGTTTGTTCAAATAAAAGCCCTGGGGTCAAAATTGGCCCCGCCCCGGGGGGTCATTGATTTTCCCTATATGCATATAGTAAAAATTTAAAAAATCTTCTTTTAAAGAACCGTAAAAGCTAGAGCTTAGATATTTGACATGAAACATCTTCTAGTGAATGTCTACCAAGTTTGTTCAAATAAAAGCCCTGGGGTCAAAATTGGCCCTGTCCCAGAGGGTCATTGATTTTCCCTATATGCATATAGTAAAAACTTAAAAATCTTCTTTTAAAGAACTCAAAGAGCTAATGGCTAAGATATTGAGCATCAAACATGTTCTAATGGGTGTCTACCAAGTTTGTTCAAATAAAAGCCCTTGGGTCAAAATTGGCCCCGCCCCAGGGGGTCATTAATTTTCCCTATATGCATATAGTAAAAAACTTAAAAAATCTTCTTTTAAAGAACCAAAAGAGTTAGAGCTAAGATATTTAGTATCAAACATGCTCTAATAAGTGTCTACCAAGTTTGTTCAAATAAAAGCCCTGGGGTCAAAATTGGCCCCGCCCCGGGGGGTCATTGATTTTCCTAATATGCATATAGTAAAAACTTAAAAAATCTTCATTTAAAGAACCAAAAGAGTTAGAGCTAAGATATTTAGCATGAAACATGTTCTAATAAGTGTCTACCAAGTTTGTTCAAATAAAAGCCCTGGGGTCAAACTTGGCCCCGCCCCGGGGGGGTCATTGATTTTCCCTATATGCATATAGTAAAAACTTAAAAAATCTTCTTTTAAAGAACTCAAAGAGCTATGGCTAAGATATTTAGCATCAAACATGTTCTAATAGGTGTCTACCAAGTTTGTTCAAATAAAAGCCCTGGGGTCAAAATTGGCCCCACCCCGGGGGTCATTGATTTTCTTTATATGTGTATAGCAAAAACTTAAAATCTTCTTTGAAAAAACCCAAATAGCTAGAGTTTAGATATTAAGCATGAAACATCTTCTAGTAAGTGTCTAGAAAGTTTGTTCAAATAAAAGCCCTGGGGTCAAAACTGGCCCGGCCCCAGGGTTGTCATTGTTTTTAACTAGATGTTTATAGTAAAAACTTAAAAAAAATCTTCTTTTAAAAAGCCCAATGAGCTAAAGCTGAGATGTTTAGCATGAAACATCTTCTTATGGATGTGCAAATAAAAGCCCTTGGGTTAAATTGGCCTTGCAATGTTGGGGGGGGGACCAAATATACAGGTGAGCGACCTCAGGGCCATCATGGCCCTCTTGTTAACTTAGAAATTTTGGTTAAAGTTTTTTGTAAAGTCAAATATCTCAATTATTGCTTGAGATATTCAATTGAAACTTACAATACTTATTTATAGTAACAAGGTACATCAGATTGACAAGTTGGACAACTCTGCCTACAATATTGACAGAATTATGCCCCTTTGGAACTTAGAAATTTTGGTTAAAGTTTTTTTGTATAGTCAAATTTCTCAATTATTGTTTGAGATATTCAATTGAAATTTGAAATACTTTTTTATAGTAACAATGTACATCAGTATTCAAAATTGCATAACTCTGCTTGCAATATTTGCAGAATTATTTGCCCCTTTGAAACTTAGAAATTTTGGTTAAAGGTTAAAGGTCTTCAAAGATATTTACTTGAAACTTTACACATGCACTTAGGGTCATAATTGGAGGGTCATAATTGTATGTCACTGACCAAGTTCCATAACTCTATCTTGCATTAAGGCTGATTCATATCCCCTTTTCTACTTAGTCTCTTGGTTAATGTTTACATGCAAGTTTTACATATCTCAATAACTATTAAAGATATTTATTTAAAACTTGACATATGCATTTAGGGTCATAATTGTAGGTCACTGACAAAGATCCATAATTCTATCTTGCATTTAGGCTGATTTTTCTCCCCTTTTTCAACTTAGAAATTCATGGTAAAGTTTTGCTTGTAAGCTGTTATCTCCATAACAACTGAAGGGTTTGTGCCTTTTTATGGACAATTTTATGCATTCATAATAATAAAGCAGTGATTTACTTGATAAAACATCTTAATAACAAGCCTTTGTACCTTTTCTGTCAAATTTATGTATTCATAGGTAATTAGTATTATTAATTAATTAATAAAACACCCTTGTGACATTACCTTCCAAATAGTCAAGCCAATACTGTATAATTAGACTCTCTCTAAGGCCTATAACATGAATTTATAAAAAAAAATTAGCCCTTTTGTGAACTTAGAAAATTTAACATTATCAAAGCTTTTTTACTATCAAGCACTTAGAATAGTCCAGCGTGCTGTCCTACCGACAGCTCTTGTTATTTTATGTTAACGTCTTTGACATCATAAATTGTAAAATTGATGTTAAGGGTCATTTTCTCATGCCTTTCATTCAAATTATTCTATAAATAATCTCCTTTACCTGCTAGTGGCAACTGCCTCTATCTGTGCATCCAGTGCAGACCAAGGTAAGCTGGCACATGGTCACCCATGCTGCCTTATCATGGTCTGCACCTTTGAGTATTCAGTCTGTACAAATCGTGAAGTTTTCCCCAAAAAGTTATGAATGGGTTAGTCCAGATTAAAAGATGGACTATTTCATTAAAAATATCTAGGGTGGTAAGGGTTAACACAAGTGTAGGAAAGTGTGGTAAAGCTTATGTTACCTTTATTATCACAGCATGTTGGTCAGTGCATAGTACAGCATCAGTAACTGTATCTTTAAATATGTTTGATAAAATCTAAGACTATTTATAACTCTACAGATATATTCCTAAAGTGACCTGATTAGCATAAGTGTACTGTCTACTAAAGATTAATCATTACTTTTAAGTGTGTCTGTCATGTCAGTGCATGCCTAATCATTTATTCAAGAACATCTGGGCTGTGTTCACCTCAGTAAATAAAATGCAATGAATCATTTGAAAGTGTGTGCCAGTTTTATTTAGGGGGATTTTTTTAAAATTTATTTATTTTTTGTAGAAAATCAGGTCGGTCATCAAAAATTGTTTATTGTCTTATTTTACAGGTTTAAGAAAAGTGTACCCATATTATTACTCATTTGGTAGTTTCATCAAGGGGAGGTGGATAGGAAAAACTGTAATGGAAGTTTATAAATCAGAATTTTATACTTCCGGAGTTGATCCTGTAAGTTGTATATCTGTTTATATCAGTATAGAAATTAGACATATGAGTATATGCAGTGATTTTTTTATGACCCTAAAGGGTGGCATATAGTTTTATCATGGTCACAAATGCATACATATATGTCATGATACAAAAAAAATTCATAAAATTGTATTTAAAGAGCATAAGGTTAGTAGATCTGTGATCAGTGAGTTGGAGTCTGTAGCATGACAAATTTCATTCTTTGTTTTTTAAAACCACAGTATGTCTTCCATTGAATAAGATGATTAGTGTGGTCTGCATTTACTTGAAGTAAAACTAGATAGTAATCAGAATTTATTAACACTAAAAAATAACTGAAATGGTTCTTAAGCCAAAAAAAATTTGTTTACTTGTAGCAATAAGTTTATTCTTTAAATATAGGAAACAAACTTTAAATATATTACCACCAGTATAGAGGCAGATCAGTCTGCATATCCATGCAGTTCTATACTATTGTAGCGGACAAAAATCAAGTTTCCTTTTCATTTTTGACAGTACCAACATTAGTAGCTGGACAAGTTCTCATAAGAAATTCAGCAGGACAAGGGCCTTTGTTTCATTGGTCTAAAAGTTTGGTTAAGGAGTCTTGTTTGTAGTAAAACTTGATAATAACTTAACACTAGCAACTTCTCTTTGTTTAAAGGTAAAAGAGTTTGATAATGGAAATTTAACTGTGAATGGGAAAAAAGTTCCGGTAGACTTTGTTCTAAAAAATGGCATGAGGATGGAGCATAGATGTCACAGGTAAATGAAAATTGAGCCGTGTCATGACAAAACCAACATATTGTGTTTGCGACCAGCATGGATCCAGACCAGCCTGCGCATCCAAGCAGTCTGATCAGGATCCATGCTGTTCGCTGTCAGTTTCTCCACTTGTAATAGAGTTGATAAGCGAACAGCATGGATCCTGATCAGACGGCGCGGATGCGCAGGCTGGTCTGGATCCATGCTGGTCGCAAAACCATTTTGTTGGTTTTGTCATGACGCGGCTCATATATACTTTATTATAACTACAACTTGTTTCTTATCGGCTATTTAGTTTTGTATTCTTTGTAGCAAACAATCATTTGAACACTGTTAGTTTAATCTTTCAAAAGTATTCATAACAAAGTTTTCATGCTGCAGAAAAATGCTTTCATTGATAAAAATAAAAAAAGGAACATAATTTTACTGCAACCATTGTCAGTTTGTTTGATTGGGTTTAACATCACACCAAGACAGTATAGGTCATATGGCGACATTTCAGCTTTACTGATGGATGAAGACCTCAGTTACCCTTCCGTGCATTATTTCAGGTACGAACGGGCACCTGAGTATTACCACTGACTTTCTGTAAGCTAGCTAAATAGCTTTCTCAAATGAAAGAATCCAAAGTCCATGTTGGGATTCAAACCAATAGGTTCAAATGGTACTGCAGCCATTGTATATTGGTGTATAGATATCATAATATTGATATCACCTTGGTCTAATGAAAATCAATGTTACAAAATTACAGTATTATAAAATCATTATTGTAAAATAAATTGGACTTTTAATGTACAAAAGTACATCTATAATTTATGAAACATTGTAGACATGAGATGCCAGTGTTAGACGTACCTATAGATATAATTGACGATACCGAAGAACTTGTTGTTGTCAATAAACCAGCCTCGATCCCGGTTCACCCGTGTGGTAGATACAGATACAACTCTATCACTATGCTGCTCAAATATGAATATGGATATGACAATCTCAGGAGTATTTATCTTACTTTAACATCTTTACCTTCTTTCTATTTTTCTCTTGTGGTGATAATGGGAAGTCTTTTGTTGTCTGTCAGAATAAAGTCTGGCCTGTACAAACCATGTTACCGTCACCTTCACTACTAAAGCTCGTGTTGGCACCTGAGGTCTTCCTCCACCAGTAAAGCTGGAACGTTGTGATATGACCTATACTGTGTTGATGTGACATTAAACACAAAGCAAACAAACAAAGAAACTAAAGCTTGTCTTTGCTACTGTAGTTGGGTCATTACTATAGGGTATCCAGATTGATTTTGAGGTCAAAGGTCATGGTAATAGAGAAAAGAAACGAAAGCCAAATTTAAGATTTGTATGATGACAGGATGTAAAAGTCATAATGATCATGCTAATCAGTTTAGAAGTTTATTTAGAATGACCAATTGAATAAATATTTCAAAACCGTCCATCATTCATTCAGAGAATCATACTGGTGCAGTTGTTTAAATCACTGACATTTTTATATTTCATATAGTCGCCGGGTTGTCAGTCCGTCAGTCAGTTGGTCCATATGTTCGTCCCGAATTCGTCTCCGGCCCATAACTTTGTTATTTTAGTCGGATGCTACAACTAGTACACAGAAATGATCACCATATTGAGACGACGTGTCGGGCGCAACATTTGGGTCGCTACCTTGAAGGTCAAGGACACAGCATGACCTTGCAGCAAAATCCTGACCGGCCCATAACTTCGTTATTTGAAGTCGGGTTTTACAACTATTTCACAGAAATGATCACCATATTGAGATGACGTATTGCGTGCAACATTTGGGTCGCTTCCTTGAAGGTCAAGGTCACAGCATGACCTTGTTTTCAAAGAATGAACATAACTACTAATATCTACCATGTTAAGGCCACCTTCTTTGTATTTTTTAATGATTACAGATTGTTTTATTTTGCCTTACCTTCCCGTATAAAACATAAAATAAGTCATTAAGTGTTTTCAAAAAAGCAGTATTAGGTGTAGGTAGGCTTGTAAAACAGTCAGTAAATAAAGGAAGCAATATTGACTTAACAACAGTGATTTTTCCTAGTTGAGTTATTACCCTTTTTTTCCAATGACTTATACTAGTTTTTACTTTCTGCATTTTTAAACTTCATACGGGACATATATATGAAAGGATTAGAGGTATCAACATGAAACTTTGTAGGTAGATTGATCTCATTAAATAGAAGTGCAGTGAAAAAGAACCTTAACTCTGCCTTGCCTCATTTTGGAGTTATGGCCCTTTGTTCATGTTTAAACTTTGAACTTTGTCTGTGACATAACTCTGACACTACAATTTCCTGTGTCCAAAACCTATTCGGGGAGCATCAACTTGTTCTTGTTATCTTCTGCCTTTAATGAGATGGATCAGAATTTAACCATGTGCTTGAATATTTTATTTTAGGAGGATATTAATGTTTGTAATACAAAAAAGTAGGTGGTTCTACATAGGTACCCACTTAAATGTGATGGATCAAGTCTACTGTGACCACGATAAATGAAATGTCACAGAATGTCCTAGGCAGTATTGATTGACTTGGTGGTGTTGATGCCCCTGTCAGTGTTTGTGTGCTTGGTACTGTTGATTGCCTTGGCAGTGTTGATTTTACAGAACATTACCTAAAGGACTTAAAAAACAAATGGAATAAAAACAGTTATTATGATATATTTCAGATCTGTATAGGCTGGACAGACTTACCTCAGGGGTGTTGATATTTCCTAAAACCACATCAGTGTCAAAGAAATTAGAGAAACAGTTACAGGATAAAGAACTACATAAGGAATATGTGTGTAGAGTGGTAGGAAAATTTCCCGAGTAAGTTTTGTATGCTAAGGATAATATTTTGTTACTGTATCACATTCTTACAAACTTTACAAATAAGTAAAAAGTAGATGGAATGACATCTGAAAAAATATTACCCAGAGTAACAATATGACTTTCTTTCCTATTTTTTAACTTATAATTTTAAGTTTGTGTTGATTAACATACACCTTGCTGGTTATGCTTGTATTAGCTGATTTTTCATACACAAATTATAGATATGTGATACTATTGTTGTTCCTGCATGTTTACTTGAAAATAACCAATGAAATTATCTTTTGAATTTGGATGGTCTTGTGATTTAAGTATACTTTGCTATATCTTCCAATATTCAGTATAACCTTTGCAAAGCAACACCTTTTCTTTTTGGAGACAAATTTGTTGGTTGTTGCTGAGAGGTATTGCTCTGAAGAGGTTATATTTAGAGTGAAGTTTAACATGTGTTAAGAATTGAAACTTAGAGTGAAGTTTTACCTAAGGTAGAATTGAAACTTAGAGTGAAGTTTTACCTAAGGTAGAATTGAAACTTAGAGTGATGTTTTACCTAAGGTAGAATTGAAACTTAGAGTAAAGTTTTACTTTTAGTAGAATTGAAACTTTGAGTAATTGTTTACTTTTGGTAGAATTGAAACTTAGAGTGAAGTTTAACCTAAGGTAGAATTGAAGGTTGAAAGGCTTCCTCTTAAAATTTGTGTATTGGCTGAATTTAGAAGAAAGTAGTACGGCAAGACACCAGTAACAATACGGAAAATATATTTCACTGCAGTGAAAAATATATTTTTACTGTGAAAATACAGAAAATGAAAAAAACACATTTTATTTCATCAATATTTTTCAATATTTCAATTATTATTATTATTATTATATACCAAACTTCTTAAGCACTTTTTTCATTCACATTGACACATTCAAAAGTACTGTACAATATAATCAAATAAATGATACAATATTCAAAAGAAAAAAAATTAAAATATCAATATTGCTCAAGTCACAAATTCAAATCAAATGTAGTTTAAATAGTTAAAAAGACCCACATAAATAATAAAATTCAGGTAAAATGAAAAATATTTAATAAATGTAAATATCTCCTCCTAAAGAATGGAGAAAAGGGAATTGCTCTACTCAAGGAGGTTTATTGTGTATTCTTTTCAGTGGGGAAGTTGTATGTAATGAGCCTTTAGGCAGTATGTCTCTTTCAATAGCTTTATGTAAAGTGGATCCAAATGGAAAGGAAAGTTCAACAACCTTTACAAGACTAAGTTATAATGGGAAAACAAGTGTTGTGAAATGTATGTACCTTGATCTAGTATTATGTCAAACTTTTATCATTTAGAACTTTTGTTTTAATCAATGATATCTTTAGAAACTATAACAGATGTTGTACAATAAGATAAAAAAATGTGCATGTGCTGTGTTGAAAAAATCTAAAAACTAAAAATTTGAAATATTTATATAGATCAAGTAATAAAAAAATCTGCATAGGATAATTAAGTAATATACTTGGAATGAAATTAAAAATCAATAGTTAGTGCAGTTATTTGTCCAATTTAAAGTTTAAGGATGACAACACTTTGTTTTGAGGTCATTATGCACATTTAAAATTATTATTTTGGAAAAAAGGGGAATTGGAACAATCTGAAAATGGTTCAGATCAATAAAATGGGAACAAGTCTGAATCTGAACAGGGACTTTGGACACTTTCATGTGAGGAAGGTATCCAGCTGGCTTACGGAACATTGATGGTTCTACTCAGGTGCCCGTTTGTGCATGAAATAATGCAAAAAGGAGCACATGAGGTCTACCTCCACCAGTTAAGCTGGAAAAGTCTTTATGACCTATACTTTGTTGGTGTGATGTAAAACCAAATACACCCCCACCCCCCCCCCACCCCCTTCAAAAAAAAATAAACAACCAAAAAACAACAATTCTTGGAAAAATAATCCCAGTCCCATCATGTCAAAAAACCTTACTGGAGTCACACAAAAAAAATAGTGCTTTAATGCTAGATGCCTGTCCTTATTATAATGATTTTGCTGTTTCTGTTTAAGTGTGTTATAATGAATTATTGTGTTTATTCTATTGTTCTAGGTGTTCCACATACTGGTAGGACCCATCAGATAAGAGTTCACCTTCAGTTTTTGGGTAAACCTTTATAAATATACTAATAGTATTACAAACTATAACTGATACAGAATGAAACTGTATATTACATGGTGTCCATTGCCAGTGCTGCATTATGTACATATCAAGGGCTTAGTGCAATATAGTTACGATTAACAACCATTTCACACTTATCAACCCCTCCAATTCTATAAAATGGCCACGAGAATTTCATACTGGTGACAGAGGACTGCATGTTATATCTTGTAAGGAAGTGCAATAACTACAGAACAGAAATAACTTCTAGTTTACTTGCATTAATGCAAGATCTGAGCCATTGTTACAAAGGTCAACTTTTTCAAACTCTAAAATTGCTTGGACCAAAAATAATAAGCATTTGCCGTCAGCATAGTGCTAGGTCAGTCTACACATCTGAGTAGTCTTAACAGGCTCTACACTGTTTGCTTACGAACATTATACTTTCATCTTGACATTCCCAAAGTTGATAACGAAAGTTTCTGAAAAATGGAAGCTGAACAATTCCATTGAAAAAAAATTTGCAAGTTAAAGGTTTAAAGCTTATCGAAAAGACTTTGGTAGTTCTAGTTGGAGTAATTGGGGATCTAACTTGTAACCCCTAGATTTGTAGAGTACTACAGAATTATAAAAAAAACCTGCTGTGTACACTTTAAGATATCTTCTATGTATGTTGCTAATATTATTGGCTTCTTTCTGTCGACATTCAGGTCATCCAATATGTAATGATCCATTATACAACAGTCCAGCATTTGGTCCAAACAGAGGAAAGGGTGGAATGTTAGAAAGGACTGATCAAGAGGTAATGCTTCTATATATTGTATAGAAGAGTGAAAAAAGTAAATGAGGTTAAAAATGAGTTTCCAGTAAATGATGACTTCTAGAACTTTTAACTTTCTCGGTCAAGAATTATCTAGTATAATATTACACCATGTTATTCTTTATTGACTTAAAATTTAAACATATACCTTGGTTATGAATTACTGACTTTATATAAATTTGCTCATGATCGTCCTTTTGCCAGGCAATCCATCTGAAAACTGATTAAACAATGGAATTGGGGGGCATCCATGTACTATGGACATTTTTCTAGTTTAAAGTTTTTATCTTTACTTACAGATTGCTCAAGATATTATGAAAATAAGCAATATTGGAGTGTGGAAAATTGGTGACAATCCAAAATACATAGAGAAATTTGGTAATAAAATTGGCAAAGACAGTCTAGTTTCATCAGGTGTTGAAAGAACTAGTTCTGCAAATCAGGAGTCTGAGAAAACTGCAGATTCTGATAAAGTGATTGAAGAGGGACAAGAATGTAATGAATCTTGTGGTAAAAATATAGACAATGGATCAGAACAACCTTGTAAAAGAGTTAAACTTGAAGATGGTTCAGCTAAATGTTCAGATGCTTCAGAAACATCAGATGAATCTAGTGTTAAAGCAGAATGTGATGTCATTGAAACGGATGAGTCTAAAGACGATATAAAAGAAGTTGTTAGTACCGTTGATGATTCGGATACTTCTAAGAATGTCCAGAATGATGATAGTAATATAGATAAGTGTGATGGAACGTCATCTTGTTCAGCAGTTAAAGAAGAGGGTAGTGATATTGCACAGGTTGAAATGGTTGGTAAAGTGACAGATGCACAACTTGTTGAAAGTAAAATGACAATTGATGAGCTTTGTGTAGAATGCAAATATTTATACCAGGAGCCTAAGCTAGAGGAACTTATTATATATCTACATGCTGTTAGATACAGGGCAAGTATTTTTTGTTGTTGTTTTTTTTCTTGATTAAGTATTTCACTCTTGAGACTAGACAAAGATCTGAGTTCAACAGAATACTAAGAGGATATTTTTTCGTTTGAGTGAAATATGGAATATATTTTCACGAAACATGATAAAATGCCACATATTTTCACGAGCCGGGACGGCGAGTGAAAATATGTGGCATTTTATCATGTTGAGTGAAAATATATACCATATTTCACGAAAAACGAAAAAATATCCTTTTTATTTCATTTCATTATCAAAGAAAAATGGTTACGAAACCTATTGCTTGCTGAGCAACTGCAATTGTACAGCGCGCAGCAATATATTATTGCGTGTTGTCTTGCACGCGATATTTGGCGCTACCTTGTGACGTCACGTAAACAACTGTTTAAACGTCTGTACAGCGTTAATAACTGAATTAAAGATATTGGTGTTTGGATTTATTTTCTTAGTTAGACAATTTTCTATCATTCTAGATAGTTTTCAAAGCAAAATTCAACAAAAAATTGTTTTGTATTTCTCAGATTTTTCAAACAAAATGGCGAAAGAAGTCCCTTAAAATAAATATCAGTTTTGACTCCGCCCACTTTCATATTTATATTTCATATTTATTTTTAAAAAATATGAAATATATTTGACTGATATAGCACCATATTTCATGGATAAAATTAAATAATAGTGGTTATTTGGACAGGCCTTTACCACCAGTATAGAGCTTGAAGAATCTGTATTCCTGTATATATTAATTAATGACAAGAGGGGTTTCTGTGCTCGAGTGGATAAGCTTGCAGGATTCAAACTACTGGCCCTTCAGCGCTGTGGGTTTAAATCCTGACAGGGACTTTGGAGTCTTTCATATGATAAAACTATCCAGCTAGCTTATTGAAAGCTGGATGGTTCTACTCAGGTGCCCTCAATTACCTGAAATAATGAGTAAAATCTCTGAGAATTTTTATGTATAGAGGAACTCGTATGCACTTCAGGTAAAATAATAGAAAAAAAAGTTTTATTTTCCATACTCACATTTTTCATTATATGTTACCAGTTTTGATCACTTGTAACAAGTTTTAATATTAGTGTTGGATTTAAGAAATTGTTTAAGTGTTCTTCTTATTTTTTTATGTAGAATAATACTGTACTTTGAAGTAATGATTTCTATCCTTCTTTTTACAGGGTCCATCCTTTGACTATAGTGCACCCCTACCAGACTGGGCAAGTGAAGATTTTGGAGATGAACATTTTACATGAAAATTTGTAAACTTCGTACATTGTATATTGATTATTGTATAATTCAATAAATTATTATACACTATGAGGTTATTTATTATTTGTTGTGGTTGTGTGTTGAATGATTATTGCCAATGTTAGGATTTGTTTACATGCTGACAAAAGCTACTAGCCCCTCTTATCAAAACTTGCTGTTTGTTTCGTTTGTTTGATTGGGTTTTACATCACACCGACACAAAGGTCATATGGCGACATTCCAGCTTTATCCATAGAGGAAGACCTTGGGTGCCCTTCTGTGCATCATTTCAGGCATGAACGGGCACCTGAGTAGAACCACAGACGTTCCGTAAGCTGGCTGGATAGCTTCCTCACATGAAAGAATCCAAAGTCCCTGTTGGGGATTCGAACCCACAGTGGTGGGGGGCAAGTGGTTTGCAGTCGAAGACCTTAACCACTTGGGCAGGGACCCCTAGTTAAAACTTGCAGTTGAGATTATACTGTGAATACTAGTGGTAATGTAGTGCCTTTACCATTATTTACACATCAATGCATCCAATTCTATGCTGTTGTCCTACAAGTTTTCTTACACTGAAATCTCCTTAATTTATTTATTTTTTAATGAAATTCTCAAAATAAAGCAGGATAAGTTCATTGCTATAAATTTGTGAATAACTTAATCAAAAGACTGTTAAAACATCAAAAGTCATACGACGTTAATACAAGAAGAGCAGTACTTGCTAAGACCCAATAAAACAACTTGCCCTACACTGCTGTGGGTTTGAATCCCGCAAAGGACTTGGATTCTATCATGTGAAGAAGCTATTAAGCTAGCTTACGGAATGTCGACTGTACTACATTTGTACTTGGGTGCCTGCTTTTTAATCAAAACTAAAATAAATAAATGAGCTGCGTCACGACAAAACCAACATAATGGGTTTGCGACCAGCATGGATCCAGACCAGCCTGCACATCCGGGCAGTCTGATCAGGATCCATGCTGTTCGCTATCAGTTTCTCTACTTGTAATAGGGTTTGTAAGTGAACAGCATGGATCCTGATCAGACTGCGTGGATGCGCAGGCTGGTCTGCATCCATGCTGGTCGCAAACCCATTATGTTGGTTTTGTCATGACGTGGCTCAAAAAATGTGCAAGATAAAATATAACAAGCATTTTGTACTTTGCATATCATTTTTAATTCAATTAATTTTCTTTTCTCTACAAATCTGTTGCAAAAAAAAAAAAAAGACAATGTTTACATACAAAAAATACATTTAACAAACGTGACATTACAAAAAGGAAACAAATTTATATGTAGTGAAATACTTTCGCAACAAAAATAAGGGGGACAATCAAAAATTGAGATAGCAAAAATGTCTTCCAATTTGTGGGGGAGGGTGGGGTCACTCTGCTTTTTTTTCCAAGCACTTTCATAATAAATGGTCAGTGCATACTAATACTGATATATATATATTTTTGGTTTTTAATTGAAACAAATTAACAGTAGGATATTTAAATAACCTCATATATAGATCAATATCAAAATTTTCTATAAAAAAGAAGGGATTAATTTGCTCACATCTTAAGATATCTAGTTACAACAAAAACAGAACTATTTGATAAAAAATGCTATCAAATACAAAACTAGAAAATACAGCTCATTCATTTATCAAAATGTTTATTATACTTGAAAGTGTTTTCATCTGATACAAAGTTCTTGTTAAAACAAATTCTCAAAATGTCTTCTGAAAGAAAAAAAATGCTTTTTAGAATTAGAAATGTACATAAATTATTCAGAACTTGAGGCAAGAAGGCAAAAAATAAATATTCTATTTCATTTAAACAAAATTTCTGAAAAAGAGAAGACATTCTTTTTTATTATCATTATTATTAACAGAGTGAATATTTAAATGTTTATGATAAATGTACATTACAGCAAAAAAAAAATATGATAACTATCAAAAAAAAATCTCTTTTTATTTGTTAAAACTTTACAATGGTCATCAAAGCTTTCCCTGAGTGTATGATGTTTATAAATACAATGGAATAAGTATAGAAACATGATATTCTGAACGTTGATTGGCACAATGTCAAACTTTTACGTCTTGTTTTACTATATAGCAAGTCATGGAAAATCAGAGATAAAATCAGACTCGTGCAACGACACATTTTATCTGCCAGGTTATCACGTCGGATCTATACTTCTCATTTACATGACATGGGATTGATAAGTATTCTACAAACTGTCAGTTTATCATATCATATCTATACTGGTCATGGCAATATCTTATATTTTAAAGAACCTAAGATGCTTATTTTGTTAATGATAAATAAATTTTCATCAAATATATGATTCTTGCACTCTCTTTCTTTAAATTTCCTTCCTGTTTTTTCCCCCCGAACAAAAATAAATTATGGTTAAAATTTTAGGACAAGATTATTTTACATGAATCGAACCCTTATTTAATTTTTTTTTTTGGTGTGACTTCTGCCAATAACCAACAATCAGATTTGTTTTCTTTAACAACTACATTAACTTTCGCTCTTATCTCACAAACATTTCATTCAATGTTAATTCACTACAAAATCCTTATACAAGTCAGGGCGTACAGTCTGAAAACTCAAATATGAAAACCAGTCACCATACCCTCGCATCTGATTGGATAAATTTTCAAACAATTTTTCTAACATTGACCAATGACAAGACATTATCTTGCAAGATGGGTCTTCAAACTGCAGAACTTTACAATCAGGCATTTTTTTTACAAATCTGACTTCACTATTAGCCACATTCTTTATACACATAATGAATTATATACATAAAAAACAACAAACATATTGCTTTTAAATATTTCTCACTCCATTTATACACCATTTGAAAAAATAAATACATGTACACTGATTTTTTCTGCCTTTACAAATTCACTACAAAAAAACAAATGGGAGTCCCTATTGCTTGATTACTGGCAATGAAAAACATTAAAAGATTTATTTTTCTCTCAAAATTTTGTAATAAATAGATATGAAAATTACTTACAAATGAATTAAGCTATCTCGAACGATACAAAGCATTTTAATCTATCATGGGAAAGCTAATATATCTAGTGAAAACAAATATACAGAGTAAAAAAAGACAACAAAAAAATGTAGAAAAAATCTTTTATATTTCGCTGTTAAAAGTTACAATACTGATTCTTTTCTTCTTCCAGAACATTTATGAAATTTCATTTAATTTCTTACCATAATCAAACTATTATCTTTCTTTTTTTATTATCTTAATTATAATAAACAAAATAATTATAAATAAGTTGCATGCACTATTTAATAGTCAAACTCGTGGCAAGACTTCATTTGACAATGACGACAGTATGGACAGAATAAAACAAATTTATAACTCTCCAGGAATAAGAAAACTAAGCTCATGCTATGCGTACTTAAAAAATAATTTCAATACAAAAAAAAGTAAGAACATCAGCATATATCAAAAATAAGAATTAAAAAAAAAACAGCCAAAAAAAAGAAACCATTACAAACTGCCGTATACTAACCAGATCTGCAGTAACTTTGAATTCATCCGAAGTTAATCATTTTTTAAAAATCAAAAGGATTGTTGCTAACAAAAACAAAATTATAATAAATAGTTACAGTAAACTCTGCTTATAACCATATTCAGAGGACGGTCGAATTTATATCGTAATATCCGAAAGGCAACCCCATTTAAAATCACGAGTCAGGACCGCGGTAACAGCATCGTTACAAGTGGTATATCATTATAAGCTATATAGCGTTTTAAGAGGAGTTTACTGCATATAGAAAAGTATGTCTACATCCTACATTCATCTACAATAAAAAATTTGTTTCAAATCATTTGACAGTTATTTTAATATTTTTTACTTGTTCAAGACATCAGCAGCAAGGCGATATGCATATACAAATGGCACAACATTCCTTTACAATAACCACTTCGTGAAAATATGACTAGTTCTAACCAATACAGTTTCTTATGCAAGTTCTACCTTGACCTTTGCATCAAGTATCGCAATACAACAGAACACTAATCTTGAGATCGGTCATACATTAACAAAATCATTTCTGTCCATGATTTTTTTTTGTTAACCTGTCACTACACATTGTGTATTGGTACGGAAATCAGATCATATTTTCACCAAGTGGCTGACAAAAAGTAATACTTAAATTATCATAATATCATAATATCTATAATTTGACCAGCAGATTTCTTCAGGCAATCCAAACCATATCTTCCAGTCATATCAACACAATCTACATTATATTCACTTTAAATTGCTGAAATTTTACGTACAACATCGGCAAATATAAAAGTTTACTCAATCAAGCTGATCAATTCCATTTCTATGCAGCTGTATTTCAGAATTATAATGCCCCCTGTTGAAAATCAGCAGCATGCTTTCAATATACATCAAACAGCAACTTCTTCTTCAAAAAAAAAAAATCATTCGTTTTTAAATGAATTTTCACACATACTTCCCACAGCACATCAAATCGTATATAATTCAAATACTCCAGTATAATTTTCACACTTCACAACCACAGTTCATGTTATGAATAATGTCTAAATGTCATGGGGATGACTGATTACACTCGCTAAGATTTTTCACTGTCATTTTCAGTATCTTTGTCCGACCCACCACCGACTTCCGATCCCTGAGAACTCGACAATGACTTCGACTTGATCGCTGCAGCCTCTAGCAATCTCTGTTGCTTTGCTGCGATAGCATCTAACTTCTGCTGCTTAGCAACCATCAACTCTTCCCTCTCGCGTTGTTCTTTGGCCGCCAACAGTTCTTGGACAATTTTTGGTACTGGTTCTTTAGAATGGTTTGATGATGATGATGACGACTTTGATGATGACGATGATTTCGATGATGAGGTTGAATGTTTCAAGGAAAGTGAATTCAAGGAGTCTTTTCTAGAAGAACCACTCTCCGATTGTTCTTTAGCACTACTTTTATCTGACAGATTCAATACAGCATCTATACTGTGTCTTTTACTATCTTTATCACTTTCACTTTTCTGTGGCTTTTCGTCCATTTTGTTCACTCTGAATTTCAAAGTATCAACAATTCTACTCAGTTTATCTGAACTGCAGATCTTTTGTTTGGACTTTTCCTCTTTTGCCTTCGGCTTCATGGACAGGTCACAAGGCATATCATCATTATCTACAGTTTTGTCAAATTTTTTAGATATCCCACTACTGTGAGCTGCGATTGTATTTTCTACAACTGGTTTAGATGGTTTCGATTTACTCTTAACACTGAGATCTTCAACGACATTTTGTTCAGAATATTCGGACAGATGACGAGATTTTCTACTACTTCCACTACTGCTACTAGCAGTCTCCTCTTTAGACGACGGAGTGTGACCGTTGATAAGACTTGATTCCATACCAGCCAGACTAGTTGGCAAAGAAAAGTTTGCCATTCCTTGAGCAGCTAACAACGCAGGATTAAACAATAAAGGATTGTACATGAGAGGGAAAGATGGGTGTGGACTTGAACTCTTTTCATCCTCCTTTGACTTTTCACCATCTTCTTTCGATCCTTTAGAGTCCTTATGTTTAGATTCAGACTTTTCATGAACTGGGGAGCCAGACAAACCCGGAAAACCGAAACCCTGAAGTCCGAGCATAGGATTAAGTCCTAGACCTGGTATTGAACCAAATGGAAGAGGTAGTTTCCCGAAGCCTGCTGCCATAAGCTGGGCAGCATTCATGGCTTCCATGGAGGCAGCAATGGCCGCAGCTTGGTGAGGATCACTGGTTCCAAGCATAGGATGTGACAATGGACTGTCTCGTGGTTTTCGGCCGCGTCTTGAAGGTGTCACTATTCTTGGCAGTAAGGTCTTTGGTAATGAACCCTAAAAAAACAGGAATAACAAACATATTTAATAAATTTATATAAACTCGTTTTGGTTCGCATATAAAACAAATGAGATAAGTGAATTAAATGAATTGTAGAAAATGTTACACTAATTTTCACATATAAGACACTTTGAACCCATTTGCAATGCATAGATTTCTAACCTGTATAATCTTAATTATCTGATTACAGGATTACATTAACTGAATAAGAATTTCACCACAACAAATTTGTTAAGTAAGGAGCACATGTCAATGTTTGTGGTTAAATCTATTGTTAATCTAATTAACGGTCAGAGTAGAGATCTATTCACTTTTATTATTTTATTTTATTATTATTCACTTTTTCACATGTTTTTTTACATTTTGTATGCATCATGGCAATTCTATGTTTGAACCAACTCATCTAACCATTTTAACCACACAAACAGATGCCATACCTTTGCTCTGACTAGGTCCGACCACTTTGGATCAACATCCCACATCGGGTTTTGTTCCAACCACTCGGCCAGGTATCTTAATGGAGGTGCTTTTGCTCCGGTTATCTGCAAAGTATGAATAATAGTTTTTAAAACTGTTCCTACCAAAAATAATTTATACAATTAATGTAGAATTTATCCTGTTCTTACCATCCAGTTGTAGAAATAACTTGTACAATAATCTAGAATTTATCCCGTCTCAAAACATTTGAAAACTTACCTTTTTACCAGTCAGCCGATTAATCACCGATACATTCTCCTCCCCTGTAAGTTTATCCACCTCTAGGAAGGCCGGATCAAACTTTGGTTTACGTCCTTTCCTTCTCTCTGGGTAGTCAGATACCTGTAAGACAAGTCAATATTTTAATATTTTATTACAGTAAATAATATGAGAGGAACACATCAATATTTTGTTGAAGAAATAAATCACATTATCACAACATTGACCTTATTTACATTTTTTTCATATTGGTGACACTTGTGACCGAGAAATAATGCATGGAAAGCCAGCAATGGTCTCCCACCATCAGTAAAACTGAAAAGGCATAGTATGACCTTTACAGTGTTGATGCAAATTAAAAACCAAACCAAAATAATGATCGAAATAAAGATGATGTACAGGTATATAGGGACATAGTAGTTTACTACTTATAAGGCATGTTACCTATGAACTGATTCTTTTTGTATTTTTTTATCAGTTCATTCATCAAAATCTTTTCAAGCTAAATTTACTACACTTGTCATTAAAATCCTGAATCAGAATTCTATACATTACATATTAATACTTAATAATTTGTGCAATCTAAGGTTGACGTAAAAATACTTTCCGTCTGACTTCATAACATAAGTTAGTAAATTTAGACCAGTCTTTCAACCAGCCCGCATAGCTCAATCGGTTAGAGCGCGAGACTTGTAATCTCGACATTGTGGGTTCGATTCCCGGGCTGGCCAACTAAAATTACTAATCAGTCTTTCGGATGAGACTTTAAATCGAGGTCCCGTGTATGGGTGCTTAAACACTTGGCACGCTAAAGAACCAGGAGAAGCTTCTGGAATTGGGGCATCTTTCTGTATCTGTAATTGCACTATCCTCCAAAAATCTAAAATGACTAATACTCTTCTGGAGGACTCGCCCATATGGGCAACCGGTGGCGAGTATAAATAAACGCAAATACACACACACCAGTCTTTGTTATCTAACAACTGATTGGTCATTTCAACAAAATAAATTTTATATCATCCAATCAGAATCTTCCACTGTTAGACTGGTACACTTACAATTTCTCCCTCTTCCAGCTCCTCTACTCGACTGTCTACCATATAACCAGGATGTTTCTCTAGCCAGGTCTCCAGATTCTTTTTCAGTGGAGCCTCGTCTCCCGACAATCTACTTCCGTCCTCGAGGTTGATCACCGGAACACGAGAATCTGAACGATAAAATTAAAACAATTATAGAAATTCATATACTAAATCAAAATTAGATCTAAACACTTGTTTGTTAGTAGTAAAATAATCATAAAATTTACATTGACAACACCTTTGTTTTCATTAAATTGTCTAGAATCTACATCGCCTTTTACAGATTATGAATTTCAATCAAAACATAAATTTACCCTTCAACATTGACTGTACATATAAAATTTCATCCCAATCATTATGCTTAAATTCTCATCAGATTCAAAATCATCTTAAAATCCTGAAACTTACTTTAACTACTGATTTTGTTGTTGAAAAATTTATTTTTATCAAAATTAAATTTCTTTACAATATTCCTAATAATACCGTTATACTAGTAACAAAAGTCTTGTACAGAAAGAATATGTAGCATAATAAAAAGTTACCAGATTCTAGTGTGGCTAAAGCTCTTGCAGTCTGTCTTCTAGCTAAAGCTTCAGCCATGGCGATCTCGGCCATTTTTTCTTCCTTTCTCTTGCGACCACGACGACCCTGTCTTGGGAACAAGAGCCCTTGTTCTAGCTGTAAATACAATGTTTATAACTTGTATATCTCACAACAAAAATGTAAAACAAGAATATCAATAATGCAAGATTCCTGTCCAGATAATTGAATTGAATATTATAACAGAATTCATGTGGTCTCTGAATAAATGTTAACATCTTGTTCATTCTAAATAGCAAGTTGAAGTGACCATTATTCATAATCAAAATTTCTAACCCTAAATGTGTTTTATATGAATTTTTTTTTCTTTTCGTTTTGTTTTTTTTTCTTTCTTTTTTTCTTTGTAAAGAATCACACAGGCCATACAATTTAAAGGCCAGATTGACAAAGTGAGCACCAAACTGATAATCACTTTTAAACTAACTCATTCTCAGAACTAACTTCTTAAACTATATTATCATTATTGTTCCCTTGGGTTTTATTACATTTAAAAGAAGCTGGAGTAGGGTTTCTGCCAGAAAATAATTAATAAAGAAATAACCAAAAGGCAGTGCAGCCTATGGATAACATGTTGCGGGGTCTTACTAGACTGTAACTGCCAGAAAAGAAGTTAAAAAGAATTTACCAAAAGTAGGCATGTAGTTCATAACAAGTTTTTGGGTATCTTACTAGACCAGGTCATAATGAAACCCCCCTGGGAGCCTCACTAGGTCATTATGTCATACTTACAAGATGTCTGTTCATCAGGAGTTCCTCCTCTGACATGTGGCTACCATTGAGGAATGGACTCTCAGCACCTCCCTATACAATAAAATTAAGTTTGTTAATCTAAAAATAACCTCTGATCACATCACTACAATATAACTTGTCAATTTGTTCAAAATAAGATTATTTTATCATTCAAAATCACTCTATAAAAAGACATTGTTTTACAAATTTGTGAACAAAAAGTTCATTTACATTGTTGTAAGAACGATTTTTGAAAGAAAATAATAAATCACAATATTTATAGTTATTAAAATCTTCATTATTTAGAATTTTTTATGTTAAAAATGCAAATTCTAGATGTACTGAAGAAAATTTAATATTTATATAGAAAACAAATTATAACTATAAAATAAATTAAACAAGACTCTGACAATCAGTGGACAAAAGAATGAATTTACTAGCAAAATTAATGAGACAAAATAAGACTTCTTCCTTCACAAAAACCATTAAATCCTAAAATTTGAATGCATCTGTATCCTTAGAAACCTTTTGCTAAATTTATCTCCCCTGATTGCCAGATATCATGCTATAATTAAAATTTCTAAGACAAAGTTAAAGCTGTGTTTCACAATTTAGCTGCCTGACTTATTTACAAAAAGTTCATTTACTGAGCAAAACTGACAAAAAAGCTTTTTTTTTAATAAACTAAATTTTTTTTTTGCTGTACTACTCTTTCATTTTAAATTTCTATAAATTTTGGCAATTTTCTAAATAACTAAGTATAAAAATGCAGCTTAACTGTGAAACAAATGTATGCTCGGGTTTGGGGACTCTTGACAACAATAAAAGCAGAGCTCAACAGAACATTGCACTTTTTTCCTACTCATTTCTACCCCAATACCAGGCATTTTATCTGCCCTTACTTCTTTTACTTTAGCTGCCCCCAACAGCTATTCTCACAAGACTTCTCATTGATTTACTATATTATAAACAAGTTAATACAAATTACCAATTTAAATTAATTTTCATCAACTTATTCAACAAAATCATCATGAAAATCTTGCATCTCTTTTTAAAAACCCTCAAGTTGCATTCATTACTACAATATATATACTACATAAAGTTTAAACTACTTGAAACAGTTTTTCAGAATTAAGTAGTAGTAGTCGTAAGCACTAACAGAAACTCGGAACTAATATTCCTCAGGGACAATGAGAACATTTTGTACTCAAAGAGCGGCTGGGACAATTAAGTCTACCAGCTACACACTCTCAGTATTAGCATGGTACCTCATCATTGGAATAAATAATTTTTTACACACTGCCATCTTCTATATTCCCTTGGAGAAGTGAAATAAACCATCTCGCCCATTCATTTGACAATTGAAACTTTCAACATTCCTCAGGGATAATGAAAATATTATGTACTCAAAGAGCGGCTGGGACAATTAAGTCTACCAGCTACACACTCTCAGTATTAGCATGGTACCTCATCATTGGAATAAATAATTTTTTACACACTGCCATCTTCTATATTCCCTTGGAGAAATGAAATAAACCATCTCGCCCATTCATTTGACAATTGAAACTTTCAATATTCCTCAGGGATAATGAGAACATTTTGTACTCAAAGAGCGGCTGGGACAATTAAGTCTACCAGCAACACACTCTCAGTATTAGCATGGTACCTCATCATTGGAATAAACAATTCTTTACACACTGCCATCTTTTTACTTCATTTATCAGCTCTAAGAAATACAGAATTGAAAATCTCTGAACGAAATGCTAGCAATAGGGCCTATTCATGTCACTGTTTTATATTTATGTGTTCAACATTCCTCAGGGACAATGAGAACATTTTGTACTCATAGAGCGGCTGGGACAATTAAGTCTACCAGCGACACACTCTCAGTATTAGCATGGTACCTCATCACTGGAATGCTGATTTAATGACTTAACATTTGCCTTGACAGTTTTGGACTGTCAATATTTTATCTCATGTCAATGTTTTGTTTATATTCTTTTTGTTTTACGGCACACCAACACAATTAAAGGTCACATGGGGTAGAAACAATAAATATGATTTCTGCTAACCTGGGGTGTTACTAACATAAGTCGAGGCTTTTACAGAGATACCAAGCTAAAGATGTATTACAACTATCAAGTTACATCAACATCAAATTAATATCTCATCCAAGCACGACAAAATAACCTCACTTAAAAGATTTGACATCATTACAACCTAAGAAAGATTAGGACCATGAAGTAAGAAGCACATAACAATTTCGAGTAAAAAGTAAGAATGTAATACAAATTATGTAGACACTATTGCATTAGTCAAAAGGAAGTTGTTAAGTGCCAACAAGAATCCAGACATCGCATTTTCAATCCTTGGAAGCCAATAAATACAAGCATCTTAAGACAAATCTATTGAGAACAAACCAAATTGGTGAAACTGAAGCACTAACATCACATAAAGCTAGAAATGTATCCACAAGACACAGATACACAGTCATTCTACCATTTTGAGACAGCGCGGCACTGGGACAGATTGACGAGGACAATTCTATTTCCCCCACCCCACTAAGGCATAAAAAGATATATGTTAAGGAATATAAAACACATATAGCCAATCTTGTAAGCAAGAAAGGAAAGGTATAATATTTTCACATGTAATGATCTAAAATAAGCCATGCAAAGAGAAGTAATGCACTGATGTTACTACTAGTTTCTATCGTTCCATGCATCGTCTTCTGCTCTAACCACATGACACTAGCCTATTTTAATAATATTGCATAGAGAATTGCAAGCAAAAATTTGTTTCACTGTTACTAGCCTCTTTAAAAATATACTCTTCAAACCTTATAAGCATTACCCTGCCCTACTTTCCCCATTATAAACACAGTGTTTTCCTACTTTAACAGAATAGTGACTAAAAATTGACAAATCATTCATTTTCATTCTTAACCCAATTCTTTCTTTACTATACTTAACCTTGCTATTTATATTTTTGTTGAAAATTCAGTTTTTACAAGCCATTTTTCAAATGAAAGTTTAAGCAAAATACAAAAATAAACTAAACTCAAACAAAAACCAAGAAACTTCTATAAAACCTAATATAATAATAATTTTGGCAAGGGCTTAATGCGAAGATAGCGATTTGTTTCTCTATTAATTATCATAGTTATGCTGATTTCGCAATGAGCCCTCCGAAGGAAGACAAAGCGCAGAGGAAGTCAAAGCGAAGGCTGATGTCATGCAGACTGTTGTCAACGTCACCAACCTGAGGGGGCGGCACCATCATTTGGAATTGAGGAGGGGAAGGCAGCCATGGGGGCGGCCATGATACCTGAGACGTAGATGATAAGATAGAATCTTGCTGGCTGTCGTCACTCGACGCCTGTGATGCTGCTATGCTCTGTGCTAGAATGGCCTGGATTCTTGCCGCTAAAATATGAGAAGTTTATTTATTAATTATTTTCTATGAAAAATAGGAACAAAATCAAATTTATCCATTTTCCTCATTATTTTTTGTAAAATCATTGCATTTATTTTTTTTTCCACATAAACAACTAAGGAAAGGTAGATATACTAAATAAACAATTTTAGATCTTTATAAATTGAAAGAATAGAGGCTAACATAACCTTGTGTTATGTACAGAGATGTGACATTTAATATTGCAATAATGCTATTACAGATTCTATATTCTAAATTTTAAGTAACTGCCTGCAAATATTACTTTGCACATAAAATAAATTGCTGGCAAATTTAATTCATTTTTCTTTCCTTTTTCTTAACAAAATATAAAATCTTACAAATACTTTACCAAAGAATGTGTAAAATCTATCAAATACTTAACCTATCAACAAAATGTACATAAACATGTATACTATTCATGAACAAATAAACAGAGAATATATAAATATAATATATAAATACCTTTCTCTGCTTCTAAAGCATCTATTGACCTCTTGTTCTTCTCAGCTTTCTTATGGAATGTCATCTTGAGACCTTCACCCTGTACGTAAAAACATTCACATTGTATTTACCTTTATATCATCTATTTCAATACTAAGAGGATATTTTTTCGTTTGAGTGAAATATGGAATATATTTTCACGAAACATGATAAAATGCCACATATTTTCACGAGCCGGGACGGCGAGTGAAAATATGTGGCATTTTATCATGTTGAGTGAAAATATATACCATATTTCACGAAAAACGAAAAAATAACCTTTTTATTTAATCTCATTATCAAAGAAAATGGTTACGAACCCCCTTGCTTGCTACGCAACTGCAATTGTACAGCGCGCAGTAATAAAATTATTGTCTTGTTTTGCGCGCGATATTTAGCGCTACATTGTGACGTCACGTAAACAACTCTTTAAACGTCTGTACAGCGTTAATGACTGAATTAAAGATATTGGTGTTCGGATTTATTTTCTTAGTTAGACCATTTTGTATCATTCTAGATAGTTTTCAAAACAAAATTCAACAAAAAGTTGTTTTGTATTTTCAGATTTTGCAAACAGAATGTCAAAAGAAGTCCGTTAAAATAAATATGAGTTTTGACTCCGCCTACTTTCATATTTATATTTCATATTTATTTTTAAAAAATATGAAATATATTTGACTGATATAGCACCATATTTCATGGGTAAAATTAAATAATTACTGGTATAAGTTAATTATGCATAAATAAATTAATAATATAGGAGAACAATGATTTTCAACATACAAATTGCAATGTAAAAACAAACATTTGTTAAAAGTTTATTCCACCTTTATCATTTCAAAGGTTTGAAAAAAGTTATTAAAGATCGTATGACAACCGACATTAATTACATTTTCCATCCAATCCTGGTTAGATTTCAGTACCCTGACATTTCTTATTATTCTAAAATGACACTTTCAATAGTATCATGAATACAGTAAACCCTGTGAACAAAAGTCACCTAACACAGGTTTGACTGTATATTTGATCCAATATATCAAATACTATAGAGCAGAATCAAAACATACCTCTGCCATTTGTACTTCAAAATCTTTCTCCTTCTTGGCAGGTTTATCACTGGCAGTATTGTCTTTACTCTCCTCTTCCAGTTTGGGGGTGTGTGGGGTCAGAGACCTGGTGGGTGTGTTACTGCTCGAGTCTATACCAAGGATATGTACATTCTTCATCTTCGGTGGGAATGGCCAGTCACCTGTCTCCACACAATAACAGATCTGCTCCAGTCTATGGAATACTATACGATCCTAAATGAGATCAAAATATTTCTTTTTCAGTTAAATAAATAAGTCGATGACATTGAAAACCTGTAATATTTGATGACTTATTTGCCTAGATCCCTACCAAAAGTGCTAGTTACGGTTTGAATGCTCATCTCAACAGCAAGTGTCAGATAGTTTTAACTAACAAAATTTTTATGAGGAGATAACACAAACAAAACTCACTCATAGATCTGTTACTTTCATCTTGATTTTTACTTTTTTTAACACTTTTATTTTTGGTTTGAGTTTTACGTTGCATTGTATAGGTCATATGGCACCTTTCCAGCTTTACTGTGTACAACCACTGACTTTCCATAAGTCAGCTCATGAAAGAATCTGATGTCCCTTTGCTCACAGTAGTGAGTGTCAAGTGGTTAGAAGTTGCAGACCTTAACCACTCAGCCACGGACACCCCTTTCTTCTTGATAATTTTACACAAAAGACAATGCTATTTTAACTTTCGACCTGCTTATATACTTCTCTTTGACTTTGGAAGAGTCAGAAACTAATATAAGGTATATAATTTTTCAATTAAACTATTAAATAAGTTGCAGCCAAGAGAAGTAAGCCTTTTAACAATTGTAAACTGGACAAAGCTCAAAGCTCCTTACTGGTGGCACCAACATGTCATCAAGACCACCACTTATTTTGGGCTGGGTTTTAAGTCAATACAGAACAGTATCAGAACAGTATCTAGCATACCTTTGGCCATTGAGCCAGCAGGGTCTGTGATACACTATTTAGTAGATCAGACTGGGACTCCTCCCCTTCTAAAGTTTGTCTCACCTCCTAAAATTATACATCATTTCTTATCATTAACAGCAGTAGGACAAATTGCTGTCATACCCTATTTCCCCATCTTATTATTATTAAGATCTTTCACTAGTAGTACAATTAGCCCAGAAACAAAATACATGTAAAGGGAAAAGCATATCCATCTACAATTTCTTCATTACTGAAGAAAATTTATCGAAAAATAAAAACTCAACATCTTACAAGATGAAAACTTAAGGCTAATGTCTTAGCTTTCATTAAATGACCAAGTATTCAGAAAAAAAATCAGGGTCAAAACTACTATGCTTTCTCTCATTTTTTTTTTCATCACTGACCAATATAAAGTACATTTTCTCTAAAAAATATAACTGAATACATTACCTCATCAGGGTCATCTTTTACATCAGGAGTTTCATCTTTCACTTCTTTCTTTACTTCAGATGATTCTGCCTTAACTTTCTCGGTTTTTACATCCTCAGCCTTTATTGCATCAGCAGATTCACTATCTTCCTTTTTAACTTTCACATTTTCACTTTTATCAACCTTTTCTTCAACGTCATCCTCTTTTTCCTCATTTTTGTCTTTTTCCTCATTTTTATCTTCCTTTTCTTCACTTACATCCATATTTTCTTCATCCTCATTTTCTTCAGTTTTCACTTTGTCAGATTTCTTCTCCATATCATCAACATCAGCACCAGTTTCTGTGTCAGTGTCAGAATCATATTCGTCGCCTTTCTCAGATGATTTAGCACTTTTGTTATCTTTTTTCGGACTAGATTTTTTACTTGGTTCTTTGGCATCTTTCTTAGCATCAACATCAGCACTATCACAAGTCACTTCTTCCTCTTTAACTTTTTCATCTTTTTCTTCATTTTTCTCCTCAGTCTTTTCTTTTTCATCTTTGTCCTTTACCTTTTCATCTTTAACAACCTTGGTATCTAAAGTAAAAGTAAGACAATATTATTCTCATGTGAAGGGTTTGTTCCTTTGTTAAAGAGGATCAGCTATATTCACTATAAAATTTAAATTTACAAGTCTACTTTTCACCTTTACAAACATATAATTAAGCAGTAGAGGGCCACTGAAATTGGAAATATAGTGTTCTAGTAAATCATCGTGTCCAAGGCTCAAACTTTCAAACTGAAATTTTATAGACCTTATACTTAGCTTATAGAGCAAAATAGAAAGACAAAATTAAGAATTACATTTATCAATTGACATATAAACCATTTAAAAAGTCATGCTTTAAAGTTATAGTTTACTTTGATTTATATAAAATTTCAATAAATGTATTTAACAGAATTTATTTAAGGCCTATGCAACAATTTTACAGTCATGGCAGCCTGTACATCCATGTAGTATGATTGGGCTCTATATCACAGATTGTTCAATTTGAGCTCTTACTTCAATACGCAAGGCAGTTCTGGAATTCAAAATAAGGCAAACCCATCACAAAAATACAGCATGATAATGGTTTAACCCATTACCTTCTGAATGTCATAAATGGACTTTTCAAGCTTCCATTTATGGAACTGGCTATTATCAAATCTGCGGGTATCAAGATGAAAATTAAAAGTTGTTCAACCAACAGTATAGAGCCTGGTCAGACTGCACAAAAGTGCAGGCTGGCCAGGCTCTATACTGGTGGCAAAGGCAAAATCACATTTGGTTCCAGCAGGATATACTAGGTTAAGAAACTACAGAAACAGGGTACCTTTATCATTGAGATCTTTACCAAAGAGTTTGAAGTCTACGGGAGAGTTGGAATGTGTCTTGATAAATGATTTAATGGTATCAAGGAATGTCAGCTTCTCATCATTCATGATATAATAGTCTGTTCTAGCAAGACCATGTCTGAAAAACATATACAATGTTGTGTTAATATTTCATAGACAATTGTCATTTCAATGTCTCATAAAATCCAGTTTAACATAAGCTCAACAGGAGATAAGAAACATAACATGTCTATTAAGCATGAAATCATAATTCAAAATGAAAACTTTTAGCTTATATGTGCTCCTAAACACAATAGAACTGAAATCATCAAGAGAAAGTAACAATTACTCTAAACCAGTTCAGAAACATAAATCTCTAAGTAAAAGGGCAGAAATGCCTTTTGAGAATTCTTCATTTCAAATACATTATCCACCAAAGATTAAAATAACTGAAATCAGGCTTACATGTGAAGAGGCAGGAGGTAATTACCTAGACTAAAATATCCAAGACAAATCTAGTATTTTCTGAAAACTGGCATGAAATTAATAACTTACTTTGCAGCACCAACAAGAAGTTCTCTGTCATGTTTGCCGTTTTTCCACCATGACGGGAGATCAAGGGACTTCTGGCACAACTTGATTCGTTGGTCCATCTTTGGATGAACGATGATTTCCTCACGGATCTTGCTCAGCAAGTCTATACGAGCTATACACCTATTGGCACGCTCTTCAGTGATTGGTTCAATGTAAACAGGAGTTGGGGGATATGCTGGAAGAGATAACAAATTCCAATCTAAATATACAATCTAAAGGTATTTCTATTAAAATGGGCTAAAATGTTTAAGCAGACAAATTTGAAAAATTGGGACAAAATAAAGAATATCTATCTATATGTGACTAAAACTCTTCATGTTAATGAATGTCATTATTTCACACATGGTCACAAATAAATATATTATACTATGTGAAAATTTCTGCTACTTTTCAATCAAAATGTTATGTGCTTATCCCTAAAACATACAAAAAGCTTCACTATATGCAAATGTTCAAACCGAATTATATCTGTCACTTCTGTTATTTATTTACTATCACACAATGTAATATAGCTTTCTACTATACCTTCTTCTTTGATTTTACGGCACACTCGGAGACACATATGATAAAATGATATGAAATATTCAGTAAGCTGCTCGTCAGTCTTCTTATCCAGGCGAGCCATAATTCGGAACTTGTCCCAGATATAACGACCCTTGTGACGATCAAACTCGATGCCGTACGTCGAGACAATTCTGTAGAAATCTGTCTCCTCTCTACGTGTCCACTTCATCTGAGTCTGTCGTCTCCTTGCTTCTCTTTCTCGGAAGACTGCATCCAGCTTCTCTCTCTTTTCCATTTTCTATAATACAAAATACATGTAATTTGAAAGGTATATTAGCTCATTTCCTTAATGCATGAACTTTATACCAAACTAATTTAGTTTACGTCAACTTATTAGTGAAGTAGAGACTTTTTGGAAGATACTAAAAACTAGATACAGATGCCCCCACATTCAAAACATGTCAGTCTATGGATAGACAACCTGATGGACAGAGAAGGAAATCTCTATATCCCCCACCCACTTCAAATGCTGACATTAAAAACCTAAACAAAAATCATTGAAACACTATACATGACCAGTCTTCCCAAGCAAATCCTGGTTACATTAATTTAAATCAAAGCTAGTTTCTTAATCCTAAAATAATGATTGAGTTGATAATGGTCAATACTTTCAGACAGTACATTTTGTTAAAATGACTCAGATACTGAAACTTTACCTGTTTTTTTTTAAAGTAATGTGATTTCAAAGAAAATTTAACAACAGACAATTCTCAATTCAAAGGTGGGCAACATAACACAACATTAGCCAGTAAAAATTTCATATACAATTTCATCTGTATACATACCTTAGCTTGTTGCTCTTTCTTCAGCTGTTGTTTCTTGAAGTCTCTCTGATATGAGGTAATTATACGTCTCAAACGAGTGTTCATCTCGGATACAGTTGGGAAAGGTAATTTTCCATCTTCTGTCTCCTGACCGTCTTTAGCCACCGTCGCAGGTGTCATACGTTTCGGCGTGGAAGCTGCGTCAGAAGCGCACAATAGAGATTCATCGTCCTCATCATCTTTCAATATACTCGACTCATCCATGTCATCACTGTCAACCAAAATATAATATCAATCAACACCAATTAACATGCTCATTCAGTTCATATAACATCATATATGTAATCTAAACAAAACATTTCTAGAAATCTATATGAAAATATTTTTTTTCATTATTGCTTTGTCAGCTATATTGCTATCTTTCTTTATATTCCTCAGGGATATGAGAACATTTTGTACTCATAAAGCGGCTGGGACAATTAAGTCTACCAGCTACACACTCTCAGTATTAGCATGGTACCTCATCATTGGAATATAAACAATTTCTTTACATACTGCCATCTTGTTAATTCACTAACTAGCTCTAAGAAGCGGAGAAATGAAATCTTTTAACTAAATGCAAGTAATAAGGTCTATTAATTATACTGTTTTATATTTATGTTTTCAACATTCCTCAGGGATAATGAGAACGTTCTGTACTCAAAGAGCGGCTGGGACAATTAAGTCTACCAGCGACACACTCTCAGTATTAGCATGGTACCTCATCATTGGAATAAAAACAATTCTTTACATACTGCCATCTCGTTAATAGGCTTGTTAACATAGAGATATGAAATAAACCAACTCTCCAATTCATTTCACAGTTTAAATTTTCAACATTCCTCAGGGATAATGAGAATATTTTGTACTCAAAGAGAGGCTGGGACAATTAAGTCTACCAGCGACACACTCTCAGTATTAGCATGGTACCTCATCACTGGAATGCCGATTTCCGATATCAGAAAATTTTCATAAAATTTAGTAATAAACATGTATAAAAACTTATCAATAACATGAGAGCAATCTGTAAATTACACTTACACATCATTATCGTCATCATCTTTCATTTCTGCCGCAAGGGCAGCATTGTCAGGGGGTCCACATCTCTCGAGGAAGACCAGCATGGGATCCTGTCTCATCAAGTTATACTTCTCATACCCGTGCTTGTATACTCCAACAAGAAGAGACTTGTCAGAAAGTTCGTCCCACCAGAATGCCGGCGGTTCACTGTCGGCAATAGGTGCCGATAATGATATATCCCTGTAATAAAACAATTAGTTTTCTAATCAGAAATAGCCAAAAATTATCCCTGACCTGGTTTTAAACAACACATAACCCATCTTAATATGTCATATGCTGCGGTTCAGATCTGAATACTGTTTTAAAGTTATCCGCCCATTGCCAAGCTCCTAGATAAAATTTCTGGCATGGGTTAAACGAACAGAAACACCAGTCGAATACGCAAAAATAGTGTCATAAATCTATCATATGCTAGCAAAAAAGAAATGGTCATATTTCGTGTTCAAGCAAAGATCAAGCATAAATAATACAAGAGCGATCAGTAATCACATGTGTCGCCTCATGATGGCCAATTTCATGTTGGGACAAATTTTGTGACAGACGGACAGACAGACGGACAGTGCACAACTAGACTTGGTACTGATCATTCCTGTAAAGTTTGGATAAAATTGCACCAGTAGTTTATGAGGAGTAGTCCGGACAAGCTTTTGCGTATCTGGCAACACAAAGAAAAAAACACCTTTTTATCAAAGGGCCATAACTCGGCCAAAAATCATTCAACCGGAAAACCCGTGCAATATGCGCAAGGACTTGAGCTACAGATCAATCCTGTAAAGTTTCATTGAAATTGCATTAGTGGTATAAGAGAAGTAGTCCGGACAAACTTTAAAATTAAAAATTATTAAAGGGCCATAACTCTGACAAAAATCATTGAACCGGAAAATGCTGACAATATGCACAACTAGACTTGGTACTGATCATTCCTGTAAAGTTTGGATGAAATTGCACCAGTAGTTTATGAGGAGTAGTCCGGACAAGCTTTTGTGTATCTGGCAACACACAGAAAAAAACACCTTTTTGTCAAAGGGCCATAACTCGGCCAAAAATCATTCAACCGGAAAACCCGTGCAATATGCGCAAGGACTTGAGCTACAGATCAATCCTGTGAAGTTTCATTGAAATTGCATTAGTGGTATAAGAGAAGTAGTCCGGACAAACTTTAAAATTAAAAATTATTAAAGGGCCATAACTCTGACAAAAATCATTGAACTGGAAAATGCTGACAATATGCACAACTAGACTTGGTACTGATCATTCCTGTAAAGTTTGCATGAAATTGCACCAGTAGTTTATGAGCAGTAGTCCGGACAAGTTTTGTGACGGACGGACGGACAGACAGACAGACGACAGACGACGGAGAAGTGATCCCTATATGTCGCCACTACTCCGTAGAGGCGACACAATAAGGAGCAAACTTATCAGTAAAATAATGATGTATTCAACATACCTGACATGTTTTCCCTGATCAATCTGGTCCACAGCATCACCCAATACTTCATGCTTCAGGTAAAACAAAGTTCGAACCCTCAGTAATACCCTGAATAGCAAAAATAAACTCATACATTATAACAAATACAAAGACATTCCACAGAAAACTTTGGACATCTAATACATGTTTATACATTTTATCACATTCATTGGGTGTTATACATGTCACTGTCCTCACTCTAAGAACCCAAAGGATCATGTTACAAAAGGAAAGTAATAAATCTAAGCAAAATCTTTTTATAAACTAATTTTTAGGAATTTAAATCAAGAAGGGATAAAGGCAGTGTACTTAATTTATACCAATTTATTTTAGTTTGATGTGTCGGATGCTATGAGCTTATTGAAACACTTAAAATCAATTCCTGGAACCGACCAGTACTATGGAATGAGTGTAAAGATTCTTGCTCAGAGAACAACTTGTCCTTTGTTGGGTTTGAACCCACAGAGCCAGTAATCCTTAGATAACTAGTCCAACATGTTAACCACTCGGGCCACACTGCCACTCTTAAGGCAATACATTTGTATATCATTTAAACATGCATACTGTTACAAAAAAATTTACATCTTTTCATATTCTATGGTCTTTAAAAATAACAATCAGAACCTTCATGTGTTCTAAAAGTCAACATTTCTATATAAAGCCTAAAACTTCCACTGATGTTCAAAGTTCAAACTTCTCCATAACTAAACACCTTTATACAAAAACAAAATAAAACTTACTTATTGGAATGTCTATGTATATGTCTTTTATAGGCATTTTTATTGTAAACAATATCTCTGTCCATTTTGATCCCTGCCTTTTCTATCTCCTCATTAGCATCAAAATGTACCTCCTGATCCCGAGCTTTCTTTCCTTTCCTTCCTCGTGGTACAGGGGCAGATAATCCTTTAAAATAAACATATCAATGTCTATAATAAACATAGTTAACAAAAATCTTGTATAGTTTTGCCTTTGCAGAAATTCATCTAGGACATCAACAAGAGCTGTCGGTAGGACAGCATGCTCGACTATTCTTAGTGCTTGATAGTAAAAAAATGCCTGATACAGTTACCTCCTCCTGTTTACAGGTTGGGGTCATGATGGTGAACAAGTGTGCAAAGTTTCAAAGCCATATGTCAGTGGACTTTGAAAATATTTGAACTATTACAAAAACTTTAACGTAAATTGTAAGTCGAAAAAGGGGCATAATTCTGTCAAAATGCTTGATAGAGTTACCTCCTCCTGTTTACAGGTTGGGGTCATGATGTTGAACAAGTGTGCAAAGTTTCAAAGCCATATGTCAATGGACTTTAAAAATATTTGAACTATTACAAAAACTTTAACGTAAATTCTAAGTCGAAAAAGGGGCATAATTCTGTCAAAATGCTTAATAGAGTTACCTCCTGCTGTCTACAGGTTGGGGTCATGATGTTGAACAAGTGTGCAAAGTTTCAAAGCCATATGTCAATGGACTTTCAAAATATTTGAACTATTACAAAAACTTTAACGTAAATTCTAAGTCGAAAAAGGGGCATAATTCTGTCAAAATGCTTGATAGAGTTACCTCCTCCTGTCTACAGGTTGGGGTCATGATGGTGAACAAGTGTGCAAAGTTTCAAAGCCATATGTCAATGGACTTTGCAAATATTTGAACTATTACAAAAACTTTAACGTAAATTCTAAGTCGAAAAAGGGGCATAATTCTGTCAAAATACTTGATAGAGTTACCTCCTCCTGTCTACAGGTTGGGGTCATGATGGTGAACAAGTGTGCAAAGTTTCAAAGCCATATGTCAATGGACTTTGAAAATATTTGAACTATTACAAAAACTTTAACGTAAATTGTAAGTCGAAAAAGGGGCATAATTCTGTCAAAATGCTTGATAGAGTTACCTCCTCCTGTCTACAGGTTGGGGTCATGATGGTGAACAAGTGTGCAAAGTTTCAAAGCCATATGTCAATGGACTTTGAAAATATTTGAACTATTACAAAAACTTTAACATAAGTGGTTACGCCGACGCCGACGCTCGGGTGACTGCAATAGCTCTACTTATTCTTATCGAATAGTCGAGCTAAAAGTGAAGGATTTGGTAAAAATACAACTGTACAAAAAACAATAGCTGTCGGTAGCACAGCTTGCTAATGACAGAATGTTTAACTATTCTCAGTACTTGATAGTAAGCCAAGAGCCTGGATAATGTAGAATTGTCTAAGTTTAAAAAGGACCATTATTCTGTCAAAATCTATGAGAGTTATCGGCCTTGGACAGTGACCTATTATGCCCTCAAGTGTGTGAAATTTCAACCCATTCCCTTCAGTAATTTTAGAGATACAAACTGACATGTAAAAACTTAACCAAAGTGTCCTGCCAACACTTTGTGAGTACAATAGCTTTCCCTATTCTTAGAAAAATAGTCCAACTAAAAATCTCATTATTCCCTAGTTGCAGAATTTTGTCTAATTTCAAACAATGAACAGAAGAATCAAGGCAAAAATGAAACTTCCTGAATGAAATGTAGATTGTTGCATGAGGTAAATATCAGATGATTTTTCACTACTGACAATAAGTTTATACACTTATATATGTTTACCAATGTACAAGAAACTAACCTGAATGGTTTTTAAGTCCACCCTCTTTTTCCTGTGATATGAGATCAGATATGAATTCTTTGATTCTTTCATCTCCTTTGTAATACTGTAGTCCATAAAGCAACTAAAACATACAAATTACAGTAATTTATCTCAATTCTAATTTAATCATACATTGGTTACTACGTGACAAACAATATAATATACCGTAACTGCTTGTTTTTTCTTTGACAATTTCATTAAAAGTAATAGTATTAAGTAAATACCTGCATAATGTCATGCTTACAATATAATATGCACAAGCAAGACTTCTTTTAAAAGCAATCACAAAGTATTGTATCTCGTTAGATATTCTAAATCTGTACTTTCTAATAAAACATAGAGGTGTATTTGTTTATTCAAATTAACATAAAATTTGAAGTTTGTGAATTTAACAAAATTACTGGAACATGATTTATGTTTTTATAACAAATAATACTTTTGTAAAAAGATGGCTGACAAGTGTCAAAAACTTACAATCGCCTTGGCAACATTCTCCACATCCTTCTCCTCCATTGGTCGCTTAAATCTTGAATGAGCCAAAATATCCGACCATCTACCCCAACTGAAAACAAATGACAACATACTAAAACACTGGAAATTCATAATTAAGATAAAGATATAAAACATATCATAACTTGGGTGAAATTGGGCAACAAATTTATTTAAACAATAGTAGATTTATCAAGAAAACAAGCAACATTGGCACTTTACTTGAGATTCCATCATTTTAATCAGTAACACTTGCAGCAAATGACTAGCATCAAAGTCAGATACCAATAAATGCAGTTAGGAAATAACAGACATATTTTGACTTACCCATAATGCAACAATCCTTTCTCAACTTTGAACAGTTCCGATCGACCATACCCGGTACCGGCAGGTTTGGCACGGTGCCGTTCCTTCTCAAAGTCTTCATCATCATCCCCTCTTCTTCCTCGTCGACCTTTCTTACCTACGTAAATATACAAATTGAAAGATAACAACTGTTTTATTGGGACTGATAATTCTATTAATAAGTCCATCTTATTTTTTAATTCAACTTATATTTTTACATTAATTCAACCAAGTTAATCAAGCATAAAATCCTCATAACATCTACAGTTATAGTAAAGTGTTATATAACCTGGAACTTTTGATCTTTCCATTTTGATCTTTCCATCAGTAGATATTTGAAGTCTTTCTTTCACACCAATGATATTAACAAAATCTTTACAAGGTATCAATGTATTTTCGATTCATAAACTTTTTTAAAAGTAGTTTTTCAATTTTATTTATTTTCCTGCGTAATTTTGAAATCTTGTAGAACAGATGTAGAAATATAAAACAGAAAACATTTACCTTTATTACTACCGTCCTCATCTGAGTCACTTTCAGAGCCGAGATCTGACATGTTGGCTAAGCTGTCATTGTTACCATAGCGAGCTGTTCGCTTACGTACACGAGGCTCGTCAACAATTAACTCTCGCTGTAAAACCAGAATATATATATAATCTTAATACACCTGCAGCATGTTTTTGCAAAATATATCCAACGTCAGTGTTTCTTACTTGACAATTTTAACATTTTCCAGAACTGGGAGAAGATATAATACACAGACACAGAAGTTAAATCAGCATAACTCTTATCATCATTGCAAAATAACTGTTTAAATGTTTGTTTATGCACTATAGTTTTTTTATAGCTTTTTATTTTATGTGATCTTTTTAAGTGAAATAATGCGTTCTATCCATAAAATTAAATTGATAACACTTGCAGCATACTAATCACTGTGCAAGTGATATAGCTTAGCCAGACCCTTTTTTTTTTCATTTTTCATTATTGTTTTTAAATCAAATGATATGTCATCTGTTTTTTAAAAAAAAAACCCATGTTAGCATGGTTATATTCAAATTCACCTTGCATCTTAAAATTCTTGTTTTAACTTAATCATTCTTTTAAATTCTCAAATTATTTCAAAATCTGTTTTAAAATAAAATAAAAACTTTTTTTGGCATACAGTATTATGTTGAGCACTTACAGTATCAAGCATTTCTGTATCAACATCAGCTTTCTTCGCCCATTTCTGCCAGAATTCAGGGTCATTGATATCAATATCATCTCTATTCGATGTCACTGAGAAACTTGCCTGAAAAAAAACAAAAAAACAGTTATTTACCCTATAAACTCTAAAAATTTACTAAAAATTATCTCCAAAATGCTTCAAGTTCTATGATTTTATGTACGTATATAGGATCAAGGATGAACCTATATAGACTTCAAGGAACACTGGAAGATTTACTATTTTGCCCCTTAACATGACTGTATATATCAAAATGAAATAATATCTTTTTGTTAAAATGGCCTTAAAACAATATTCAGTTAATCATTTCAAAAGCTTGTTATTAACAGTTTACCTTTGAGAAAGTAGAGCCTTTTCCTTCACTTTCTATCTGTATAACTTGAGTTCTGCCTTTCAAAATCTGCTCGATATCTTCCTCACAGAACTTGTCACCTGCGCTGTCGTCGTCCATTAAAGCACCATAGGCTCCTTTACGTAACAAATCCTCAATCTCACGCTTTGTCAATGCTTGTTGCTATAGTAACCAAAAAATACGATTAACTTAAATTTTCTCCAGTTATTTTATATACAATAATAGGGGCTACAAAATTAATTGTCGGTATTGCTCAGGTTGTCCCACAGCCTGTGCAGACAAGTAAAAATTTTCTAGACTTTAATATATAAATATCATAGACAAATTTAGAAATGCTTCAGATTAAAACGGACAAGCTAGTCAAAATCAGATTTTGCCGGGCCTGAATAAGCAACATGATCATTTTATGATCAGTCAAACAGTTTGACAAAACCCCCTCCCATTGAGATTTTACAGCAATGAAAAGTTCACATTATAGTCTTAAAACATCAGAAATAGTTAAGTTTATCTCCAACCTAATATTTAGTCAGAGTTGGATCTCTTATTTCATCATCTGATCCTTCAAAGCTATCACTTTTGTCCATTAATTCAACTTGTTAAATAATAATTTTAAATAGACCAAATTAAAACCAAAACATTTGTTCGCTCAATAAACTTTCACTTATTTGCCCAGATTATCTTTCTTTTCCCTTTACATTCATACAAAAGAACTGATTTTCATATTTAATTTATTTGTGTATTAATTTTTACATTCAAACACAACCAACCAAGATACAGTGTTAACTTCAAAAATGTCATTAAAATACAAGCATCAAAACAAAATCAGGAAAACTTTAAATAAAACTTACAGGGCTGAGTTTCTCGCCACCCATTGACTGCAGGACAGCTTTGTCTAGACCAAGTTTCATACTGGCTCTGTTAAACATCTCTCTCTCATACGAGTTACGCGTGATTAATCTATATACCTGTACCATCTTACTCTGTCCTATACGATGACATCGGGCCTGAGCCTGTTACAAAAACATTGTATTATATCATCAACTCACAAAAACAGATACATTCAAATAACTCAATATTCAGGGTATTACATATCAAAAATTAACATTAATATTTCTTTGAAAAAAAAAATTGATACACTTAACAAAGTAAATTTCCCATTTAATGCATAAATGTAGAAATAGACTTAACAAAGTTTCCCATTTAAAAAGTATGAATTAACAAAATGATTTTTCTGATATATAAAACAGTCCATCAGAAAGTATATATGGGTCTCAGTCAGTGAAAATAAAAAGAGTATCTCCAAAATGCTGTCAGAGTTGGATCTCTTATTTCATCATTCTGAGAAAAATATGTTATAAAGTCAAACAAAAACTGTAAAACAGTTAAAGTATAATGTATCTTCTCAAGCTTAAAATGGCTCATGCAAAAAAAACCAACAACAAATGGTACGAGGAAAAGTTAATCATACAATATTTACCTGTAAATCGTTCTGTGGATTCCAGTCAGAGTCGTATATAATGACAGTATCGGCAGCGGTCAAATTGATGCCCAGTCCTCCTGCCTTAGTACAGATGAGGAAAACGAACCTGTCTGAATCAGGCTTAGAGTACCTGTCAATGGCCTCTTGACGGAGATTTCCTCGGATACGCCCATCTAATCTCTCATATAGGTACCTGCAGACAAATAAACAACTTTCATTCATGAGCAAATGAACAATATATTCAGCAATAGGTAAACTTCAATGCAATACATTAAACATTGAAATATTACACAACAGCTAAACTCCAATGCAATACAATCAACATTTTTTTTTTTGACAAACATAACAAAAACATAAGCTGAAGATATTATTAGATAGCATTTGAAAAAGAACAAAACTCATGCATCACAAAGAAGTGATGTATTTTATCAGTCGTCTTGCAATACAGGACAATCATAGCAAGGTACAAGTACAAAGGTGCCCTTGTTTGTCATTTTTCTGGTTCCAAAATAACATAATTTATTACCGTCTTTACCAAATCTTTTTTAAAAATGACATTAAATTCTTGCTCTCCTATAGCAAAAGGTTAAAATATATCATTAATATCTTCAGCCTTACTTTTTATTAATGAGGTAGTCTTCAATGATATCTAGCACTCGGATCATCTGAGAGAAGATGAGAACTCTATGTCCGCCTTGTTTCAGTCTCGGCAACAGTTTGTCCAGCAATACAAACTTTCCCGATGCATGCACCAGGGCTTGGATATGTTCCGGCTCTCTGCCCTCCTTCATTCGTAGCTCAGATAAAATATTCTCCTCAGCACCTGTAAAAAATGTAGCCAATTTATTAATATTCAAAACTTATAACTCATCTCCACTATGATGTAACAAAATAAAAGTACATTATTTATCAGATAAAATTCATTTTCATTGTTGTTCTTCGGAATTTGTGTCACATCAAAACAACGAAGGCCAGATGGCGACTTTACTGAAGGAGGAAGACCAAGATGCATTATTTCAGGCACAAACAGGCATCTGAGTAGAACCACCAAAATTCTGTAAGCTAACTGGATAAAATGAAAGAATCCAAAGTCTCTGCCAGGATATGAACCTACAGCGGTGACAGGCAAGAAGTTTGAAGTCAACGGCCTTAACCACTCAGCTAGGGACACCTGTATTTTACTTCATTCAAAACTACAGATAAGTTTTGATATGTAAAAATGCTATAAGCTTACCATTGAGCAAGTACGGATGATTACAACATTTTCTTAATTCCATCATCGTATTTAGAAGACTAGGGACATTTGTAGAGTTAGCTCCCTTACATAGGTACGAGAAATTCTTCTCCAATATTGCACGATAATACTTCTTCTGTATGTTTGTTAACTCGACCTGTAATAATATAGGACATACCACATACATAAAAGTTACAAAAGCTATGATTTCTACAAATGAAGCAATACATCTTGATATTATTTTTAAGAAAGTTCAAACCTGCACCTTTTTGCACATTGTCTCATCATTATGAACATTTCTGCAAAATAGTATTATTTTCAGAATAACTACGACTATGGCTAATTTCTTAACAGATTTTTGTCTCATAACAATAAACAGCAAAGCAATCCCTGTAAAACCAGAAAAAATTTACAATATTTCCATGCATAAACATAATTTTTTAATGATAAACACTAAATTCATCTGAAATCAAGAAAATAAAATATTGCTCAAAACAAAAAAATGGGTCAAAGACAGAAAAGGCCGGGTTGCATTTGTACACCAAATATCATGAGGCTGTGATGTTACGAAAAAAAATTTCCATTGACCCATTAATGTAGAAAATTTAATTCAGTAGGTAAACAGGTAGTGGATTAGCTACACACCTAAAATCGAATCCCACAGTATGGGACCATGTGTCAATGCTGTATGCCAAATATCAAGAGGCTGTGATTAGTAGTTTCTGAAAAAAATGTTACGAAAATTTCCTACCATTGACCATTAATGTGAACAGGAAGTGGATGAGCCGCAGACTTGAAATCGAATCCCACAGTATGGGACCATGTGTCAATGCTGCATGCCAAATATCAAGAGGCTGTGATAAGTAGTTGCTGAGAAAACTGTTACCAAAATTTCCTACCATTGACCATTAATGTCGAAAAATCTAACTAATTTCACTAAGTGGATAAACAGGAAGTGAATGAGCGACAGACCTGAAATCAAATCCCACAGTATGGGACCATGTGTCAATGCTGTATGCCAAATATCAAGAGGCTGTGATAAGTAGTTGCTGAGAAAACTGTTACCAAAATTTCCTACCATTGACCATTAATGTCGAAAAATCTAACTAATTTCACTAAGTGGATAAACAGGAAGTGAATGAGCGACAGACCTGAAATCAAATCCCACAGTATGGGACCATGTGTCAATGCTGTATGCCAAATATCAAGAGGCTGTGATAAGAAGTTGCTGAGAAAACTGTTACGAAAATTTTTTCCCTGCCCGCCCGCCCGCCGCCCGACATTCACCATACTATAACCCGGGTTTGCACCTGTGCAACCCGGCCAAAAATGGTTAAATAATTCATTATTTCTCAAATCAGAAATTTATAATGATATCTCCAAGATACTGTCAGAGTTGGATCTCTTATTTCATCATTTTGAGTTATCTAAAACTATTTTATTCTCATATAAAGAATTAATTCTCAAATCAGAAAATATGAACTTTATCTCCAAGATACTGTCAGAGTTGGATCTCTTATTTCATCATTTTGTGAGAAAACAATTTATATATGTTTCATAAAAGTTATTAGAATAATTTTCTTCATTTTTATGTGTATAAGTTTAACATCACAATTCTCAAATCAGAAATTCTAAATGTTATCTCCAACATACAATCAGAGTTGGATCTCTTATTTCATCATTTTGTGAGAATAATTCATAAATTAATGCTTCATTAATTCCATTGAATAATTACATCGCATCATTTAGCACTACCCACATACTGCATAGACATTTTAATAATAAATATTTTATTCAACTATTCAAAGTACATGTACATTGTATATTCAAAGCAGAAATTTCTGAAGTCACCTCTCGCACACAGTTAGATCTCTTTATTTCATCATTTTCTGCTAACATACACTATTTTATCATAAATGGCGGATAATAATAATTTAGTACTATATAAGCAAATGACCATTCTCAAATCAGAAAATTATTTAGATTATCTCCAACTTAATGTCAGAGTTGGATCTCTTATTTCATCATTTTGAGAGAACAATATGTTTGTTCTTTCTATCTTTGGTTGTGTTCTATTTTAGCACCAATACCATAAAGGTCATATGGTAACATTCCATCTTTTATGGTGGAAGAAGACCTCAGGTGCCCTTCTGAACATTATTTCAGGCACAAAAGGACACCCGTTTAGAACCAATGACTTTCTTTAAGCTAGCCAGATAGTTTTTTCACAAGACAGAATCCAAAGTCTATAGCGGGATGCTTCAAACCTTAAGTAAAATCTTTGAAATATTCATTAATAAGAATACATACAAGGACATAATTCTCAAATCAGAAATTTTACGTGTTATATCTCCAATTTAATGTCAGAGTTGGATCTCTTATTTCATCATTTTGTGAGAACAACATGCTTTGTTCTATCAACAGAATCTTTGAAATGTTCATTAATTAGAATTAGAATAAAATACATTCAACATAATTCTCAAATCAGAAATTTCAAATGTTATCTCCAACTTGCTGTCAGAGTTGGATCTCTTATTTCATCATTTTGAGTTGTTCTTTCTATCTTTGGTTGTGTTTTATGTAGTACCAATGCTGTAAAGGTCATATGGCAACTTTCCAGCTTTTATGGTGGAGGAAGACTGTACATAATTCTCAAATCAGAAATTTATTTAGATTATCTCCAACTTAATGTCAGAGTTGGATCTCTTATTTCATCATTTTGAAACGGCTAGAAAATCTCCATTCAAACCTTTATGCTTCCCTAAATGATTATTTTGAGTGCATGCATATTTTGTTTAACAAATGAAGAAAACTTTCTGCTTAATTTCAAAATAATGAGGTACAGTTTATATTGCTTATCACATCAAGATGACCAATTTATGTATTTTAGGAAAAGAATTTTTACCTCAATAATTGTCTCCTCTTTCCTGGCAATATTTTTCTCCACATCTTCCTTCAGACGTCTCAACATCATTGGCTTGAGGATCTAATGGGTGAAGATAAATATCAACTTTGCAAACTTGTCATCAAGACTGTTACATGTTAAATGATCATGTTGGATTGATTATAATGTAAATGTGCATGTACACAAAATTTTCATGATAAAAAAATTGTCCATGTGTTCTTAAAAGCATTTTAAAAAGTTTATTATAGAATTTAAGAAATCATGGCATTATGTATATTAAAGAATTCTTTTATATATATAAATGGAATTTCTTATGCAAATAAGAATTTAAGACTTTACTTCAAGCAATGTAAATACATGAGATAAACAGAATATTGAAAATCATCTTTGAAATGTGCTAGCATTCACCAGATATCTTATATGCATGTGCTTTTACCCATATAGTGATGGGACCAATATTTACAATCTGTGCAGGCCTTATTTCCTGTTGATTGACCCCAACTTTTTAACAATATCCTCAGTATTTCAATTTAAAACATATATGCTGAAAAAGGGTTTATGACTTTTTCTTTTTTATTTTTATTCATAAGAATACAGACTTCCTACTTACAGCTTTCAGTTTATCCACTTGCTCTTCAGTCTCAAGTTTTCCAAATTCGGCAAGAAATGCATCTGATGATGAGAATTGACTAGGTTCAAGAAAGTTTAACAAACTGAACAACTCCTCAACATTGTTCTGCAGTGGAGTACCAGATAACAGCACCTTATGTTCCTGTAATAAATCACAGCAATTTCACTTAAAATTTTTCTACAGAAAGGTTGCATTTTTTACATCGCACCAACACAGTATAAGTCATATAGCGACTTTCCAGTTTTACTTGTGGAGGAAGAACTCGGGTGCCGTTCCGTGCATTATCTCAGTTATGAACAGGCACCCGTTTAGAACCACCAACATTCCATAAGCTAGTTGGATAGGTTTCTCACAAGAAAGAAAAAGTCCCACAGTGGTGAGGGGCAAGTGGCTTAAAGTCAAGAACCTTCACCACTCAGCCACAGACACCCCAAATTTAGACAAAGTTGTGTTGTAATAAATTCAAAACCTACAAAGACTTTAATCCACGTAGAGGTCATAATTTATTCAAATCATTCACCAACAATTAATACTAATTACAAGTGCAAATCAAATAAAACAGCACCTTATGTTCCTGAAATAAATTACAGCAGTTTAACTTAAAAGTTTTCTACAGGAAGGTTGGGTTTTGTACGTCACACCAACACAGCACAGGTCATATAGAAGCTTTACAGGTTTACTGGGAGGAGCCCCTTTTGTGCCTTATTTCAGGCACGAAAGGGCACCTGTGTAGAACCACCAACAAGTGACCCATTTTACCTTTCAAAATGGAACACAATGTTGAAAAACTTCTCAATAGAGATGAATAGATAATATGGTATACAAATCTATGATCAGTATTAAATGTACTTACAAAATCAAAGATTCTAAGACCCTTAATCAGACTGCAGTTTTTGTTCTTCAGACGATGAGCTTCATCTATAATAATACACCTCCAGTCAATGGATCGTAACAACTCCAGATCAGTCAAGATGATTTCATATGTCGTGATAAGGGCGTGAAATTTGTAACAATCGGTAATCTTTCCGCCTTCCTCGTCCCGATAGTACATCTCATACTCTTGTAACATGTACCGACTCGGTGACCTGTAATGTGTTATTATTAACATCAGTGTTTAGAACATAACTTAATCATCAAATTTCCAGATGGAATAGGCAATTGAAAAATTGACCCTCTAAAATTTAAGAATGTGAGGTTCTCTTGGCAATTCTAAGGCAATTGTGTTCTTTTTATGTACACTGCTTATTATCGGGCCTAATCTGTGGTTCAAACATAGGGGACCGGATTATGTTACTAAGTTATAAGTAACCCAAATATTGCAGCCTCAAGTTTTTTACTTCTATTGATTTATATTAGAACTTTTATTAACAAAACACTTCTGGCACTCTTTTTCTAAATCATCACTCAAAAGAATTTATTCATGAAGAATAATTGATCATTAGTACAACATAGTATAAGAAAGATCTACTCCATTCTGTCAAAGTCTCTGTATTTAAATATACACATTCACAGTAAATTCTACATTTTATATATCAGACAGCTGAAGCAGAAAAGACAGGATCATTATGATTATTACATTGTTTTAACTGTTTGCACTTAAAATTGAGTTCGGATTTCATATTAGAGCTTCTCCTTGTTAAACAATGAGAATCATTTGATATCCATGTTCATAAAAAGATGGGGGGATACGTTTTATGTGCAATACAAAAAGCTCTTATTTGTTTTGTTTGATAGGTACAACTCATTGCTGAATTGGCTGGTCTATACAGATAAACTACTTATTTTCACAACTTACGTTCCATGATATGTAATAGCATTTATATCTGTCCAAGTCTCAAACTCTCTCTGCCAATTAGCAATTGTTGACAACGGGGCCACAACAAGGAATGGACCTCTCATACCATACGAGAAGATCTCTTGAAGGAAAGTAATACTTTGAATGGTTTTTCCAAGACCCATTTCATCTGCTAATATACAGTTTTGCCTGGAAGTAAATTGACATGATATTAAGTACATTACATGCATACTACTAATCAGGGAAATACAGTTTTAAGTACGCCTAAATTAGATACTTATTTGAAACACAAATAATTTGAAACACTATTCTGTAGTAAATGCCAGATATCAAGTAAAAAAATATAACAAGAGCACAGCATGTGGTGTTAACCCTAATCTGTTAAAATTCTGAAAAGGGGCATAACTCCAAAAATATTACTTTCAGAATTATGCCCCTTGTCTAACAACTTCAAATTGTCATGATAAGCAAGTATTTAAGTTTCGTGTTGATAGCTACAAAACTTTTGAAAAATTGGATACATTAAAGTTTTTGCACGTCAACAACAACAAGAACGTCAATTACTCTGCAGCAATCATAAAAGCTTTGCTTTTTCTTTGAAACAGACAACTAAAATTCTACACTCTATTAAAACTTCATTCAAGACACTTTTTTAAATTCTTTTGTCAATTTCAAATTATTCCAATACTTCCTTAAGATAAAGAGAAATATTAATAGATAGTAATAACTTACTTTTTGTGCCAATTAAAGGTAAGCCAATTAACACCCTCTAATTGATATTCTCTCAGAGTATTACCATTCTTGTAGGTGTGTGTTTCCTTCAGTGCTTTCCATTCAGAAGACTTAGGTCTGTCAACATACTGAAATTTGATTATATAAAAGAACAACATAAATAATCATGGTATAAAAATGGCAAATTATGTTGAATTGTTTGCTCACATGAAAGAGTTCCTAGCAAAATTTAAACCCATTGGTTAAGTACAAGTAACAAGAGTTTCCAGGTCAGCAACTATATCCACTCTGCAATGAAGGCCACTGCAAATTTTTGTTACTTTAAACTAAATCTTGGGTATTTACTTGATTTCTATGTTATGAATCCTACTTGATCGAAATCAATATCCATTCTGGTAACAATTGATCATGACAGTTACTTTGTTATATATAATTATTTGCTAACATATACACTCCCTACCACCACCGCCACACATCACTAGGTAACAGGGCTGATACACTGTAAAAATTCAATTCACTTATGCAACAAAAGATTGCATGTTATTTCACTAAGAAAAAAAATTAATGTAAAACTGAAAATATGCACTTAAACCTAACAAGAATATTGCCTTTTTTTAAAATTTTCTTTAGAACAAAACTGTGCTCTTTTTTTTAATCAACCATTAGAAATATGAAGAAAAAATTTTAAGGGAAAGTTTTTTTGGCCAATACGAATGATATACACAAATTCTTACCCCTCTTTCATCTTCTGGTGGCAATTCTCTGTATATCTTAAACTGTTTCACCTTCTCAGGATCCACATCTTGTTGCAGTTCCCATGTACTGTCTTCATATGGCAGAGATCTCCATTTGACAAGATAATGAGTTACCGCCTCTTGGGTGTTAGGGTCTATGGTGTGCGACTCCTCCAGCACTCTATCTACCTCCACATAATCAGGATTGAAGAGTTCATCCTCCATGTTCTTCAAAAGATGACAAATGGTTAAAATAATATGGCTTTATATAGTTCATTTGTATTAAAATATATAATGATAATGAAAGTCTACTCCACATTATACAAGAGGAATTTCATAGATTAAGTTACCACAATTAATCTCAGATTACAATTTAAATGCCAAACTTTCCATATTGTATTGTATCAGATTAAATGTCAGTGTAAAATAGGCTATATATACTTTATTTCAATACCTTTCTATAAGCAAAGATAAATCAATGTTCATTTGTAGCCTCTCCTCTAGTAGAAATTGTGCTCTCTTTTTTCTTAACTTTAACACTCACCCTATTCAATTTAAATAACGATTTTGCCCTACTATGAATTCTAAATAGTTAACTAATTGATCAACAAACTTCAGTTCCAAAATATTAGAACTGACAAGGTAAACCGACTGCATGAAATGCACAGCCTGGCTCGACTCTTTAGAAGTGGCATCTATAGCACCACTAACTATACAACAGTAAACCCATTACCAAATAAATTTGTCCAAGTTCCATTTTTATAACTTTACATTTTCATTTTAACTTAAGAAATATCAAGGTGAAAAATTTAAGCTACTGTAGGCCAAAAGTATAAAGCCCGATTGCATGGATGTACTTGCCAGGCTCTAATCTAGTGGCATCTAAAGGTGAATTAATATCACCATCATTTATATAAGAATTAACCCTTAACCTGCTGAATTTCCTAAATTGACTTGTCAAGCTACAATTTTATGAACTGTCTTTTATCCATTTAGATATCAAGATTGAAATTTTAAGTAAGTCAGCCAACAGTATAGAGCCTGGTCAGACTGCACGGATGTGCAGGCTGGCCTGGCTCTATACTGGTGGCAAAGGCTCAACACTTTTGCTTCGATAAGTACACTTACAAATACATCATTGGAGGAAAGCTGCTTCATCTTGTAACGTTTTATTTTGCCCTGTATTCTTTTGTCTCGTATCTCAGCTTCTGTCCTCCACTCACAATGTAGATATGAACTGAAATATATCCGCAAATTGTGAATATTCCTAGATAATTCAACATTAATTAATATTTCTTTAATGCTTATATTAAAGGCCCATTATGCCCCACAAATGCTTTTACTTTTATTTCTCAAAAGCTTTTTTAATTTTGATGTACTTTTATAGTTACTCATTGGCCAATTATCCATACTATCTTTTTTATGTGTTGCTTTTTGGAAACACATACAGCTCAAGTGAATCAGTTTTCTGTATGGCTGTCAAAATACCACTTTGTTTACATTTTGCTACTTTTATGACAAATTATTTCACATTTATCCCTACTTTCTTCAGGTATTAAGCATCTAACATTCTGTAAAACCATTCTTTAAACATTATAAAATTCTCCCAGTTAAACTGTGTAAAACAATACAATATATCTATGACAATACACATCCCTATACCTGGCATATGCCTACCAATAGTACAAAAGGCCTTTTGCGCAAAACAAAAAGTACCAGAGGAAATCAATGAAGTTTATGAACAACTAGATTATTTATCAATATTTCCAATTATATATTCAATAATATACAAACATATAGATTAATATAGAAATAATCCAGACAAGGAAATGCTATATATGCAATAGATGACAGACAGTCTAACGGTCAACTGTAAGGAAATACCGCTATCACAGCGTAAAGTGCTCATTTTTCAGACAAATGCTATGTTTTCATCTATACAATAGTAGCAATTAGATTTATCAATAAATTTGTTGTCCTTTGTGATAATTTACAATACAAACATGAGAAATGGTGAAATTTGGATGGATTTTAAAACCTCCAAAATCTATATTTCTTTACCCTTGTTTTCCCTTTTTTTTTTAGTTGTCAAACACAATAGTACAAAAATTGACTTACAAGTTCTTATACTTGACAAAGAATTCTTCACATTCTTCCATGTCCGTCTCCTCCTGAAATCACAAATATCTTGTATATATCTTTCTAACACAACTACCTGTTTGTATCAGAGATTACCTAGTATCTATGCCTGCTTATAAGACGCACTGGCTTATAAGACGCACCCCCAACTTCAGTCCTCTCACAGGGGATTTTTATGTACACCCTCGTATAAGACGAGTTACATTTTTGCTGATAGACCTTAAACCAGCATTGCTTCTGCCATGCAAAAACAGTTGAAAATTCATCAATTTATCAATTGGAAGAAATTTGTAAATTTTCATGTGAATTCTATAAGATTCGATTATAAGACGGACTCACTAAAGTTGAGCTGGTTGAGGGAAGCTTTTGAGGAACTATCAAGAAAACTTAAGAATTTACACCAGATCTGTCAATTGCAATAAAAGCCTATATTGGGCCTCTATTCCATGCAAAAATAATCACTGATTCTATACATGTGCAAGTCCTAACCAGCTTTCTTTACAAGTTTCTTTCGACATTATTACCTAATAATGACAGAATGAATAATTTTTGACACACTACCTTTAAACTTACTGCAGAAAAATATTTCAAACTAAATTCTTAAATACAAGAATTAAAATATAGGCAAAATGCTCTTCCATTCAAAACATAAATTGCAAAAAAAAATGCAAAATACTGCAAAATTCCAAACTTGAGTGAACTGGTGAACATACGTTTCATGTTCTTATAACAAAAGACATATAAAACAAGCAATTATCATAGTATTGCAAGCAATCCATAAGTCCCCTACCGGTATGAGCCCAAGCAACATTCTGAAGGGCCATTGGCCATTCACTTATGTTCCTATTTTAAGTAAATTTGTTAAAAAAGTTATTTAAAAGTAATCACAGGAAACAGTTTTTATGTACAGACAGACAGACTGAAGGACACTCTAAAGTTATTTTTTAAACATCCCTGTTATCAAAATATAACATTTTTAAAATCCTATCATGATTGAAGAAGTTGGAGTAAAAATTACCAATTTCTCAAAAAAAAAGTCTAAGTCCAAAAGGGGCATAATTCTGGAAATAGTCTTGCTAGAGTATTGAACACTCACAAATGTTGAGTGATAATAAGAAACATTTATATAAAGTTTGAAGTAGATACATTCAAAAAAAGAAGTTATTAAAAAAAACAATGTTTTTTTCATGAAAATTTTAAGTTCAAGGGAGGTAATTCTGATAAATTTTGTGCTAGAGTTGTAAACCTTGTCACATATGATGTGGTTGATGACAAGCAACTTATATTTAAAGTTTGAAGAAAATACCTTAAGAAATAAAGAACTTATAGTGAAAAAACTTAAAAACTAGAATCAGAAATCTTGAAATTCAGTCTTTTTGTTGCCATAGCAACCAGAATTTTCAACATAGGAAGATAAGAAAAGGATGTGCATAATTTCCATACTGCCATCTACCCATATGTCAAGTTTCATAAACATATTTTCAGTACTTTTTGTGTTATCACTGGATCCAGGTTATGTGTAAAATTTGCCATATTTTCAGTCTATTTGTTGCCATAGCAACCAGAATTTTCATAATAGGAAGAAAAGAAAAGGATGTGCATAATCTCCATACTGCCATCTATCCATATATCAAGTTTCATAAAAATATTTTCAGTACTTTTTGCGTTATCGCGGGATCCAGGTTATGTGTAAAATTTGCCATATTTTCAGTCTATTTGTTGCCATAGCAACCAGAATTTTCAACATAGGAAGAAAAGAAAAAGACGTGCATAATCTCCATACTGCCATCTATCCATATATCAAGTTTCATTAAAATATTTTCAGTACTTTTTGCGTTATCGCGGGATCCAGTTTTGTGGACGGACGGACTGACGGACGGACAGACGGACGGACTGACTGACGGACGGACAGACGGACAGACAGACGGAGGGTAAACCTAAAGTCCCCTCCGGTAAACCGGTAGGGGACTAATTAATTACAAGGCATAAGAACGTAACATGAGAAAGATAAAATTTTCAAAGACATGCGTAATCAGATAATTACTGGTAAAAAAATAGGGCTTTTGGTTTAGCAAGACGTAATTTTCAAACAGAATTTCAAACTTATCCAGTCATCATCGGAATAAAAAGGTTCAAATAAAAAATTTTCTAAAACTTACATCTGGATCTGGTTTCCTTATTCTAGAGCCGAGGATTTTATCAACAATCACTGCATCTTCTTCAGCCGGGTTTTCCTGCAAATTATTAAATACATAAATTTATAATGACGATCCCATTTTTCAGCCTTTTTTCAACAGAAATTTTTCTCGCAAGATCATTTTAATAGTAAAATAAAATACGAGATCAATGATGATAAATGATTATGATATGAAGATGGCAATGCTAAGCTTTGATAAAGCATAGGTGAAAAGCAAAGGCCATAATTCATTCTATATCTTACATGCAAACATTCTAAAATAAAATTCTAAATTCAAACAAGTTGGAATCTTCAAAGAAAATAATAAACTTGATTTTTTTTAATATTTTTAACCATTGTCATAAAAAATTATGTAATAAATCTTTTTTTCATAAATGACGATACATTTATTCTCTTAATCATCTAGTCAGGTTGGATTTCTATATAAAGAATGGGATATAAAAGCCGTAATTACATTACCATAGAAACCCTCGTGAAACTAGAGCAGATAATCATTCAAACAATATATAATTCACAATATTCTTACATGCTACTAATTACTATTTATCAGAACAAAAAAGAAACATTTACAAAATACAGAATATGACATGCATTGAAATATAAGCAACACAGCAGTAAGGGCTTCAATTAAGCTCTAAAATTTGGAAGTCAGAGACTGCAAAATGTCTGAAACTGGAAGACAAATTATATAGGTAAAGAAGGAAAAGCAATGCATTTTGGAAGAAACAAGCCAAAATCAAGGAGTAAATGACTCCAAAACTTCCATGAAAGGAAGCTCAGACTTTTTAACCCCCAACTAGACTTAACCTGTTGTGGAACCCCAAAAAAATATAAGCCTTTGCCACCAGTATAGAGCCCAGCCAGCAGGCACTTCTGTGCTGTCTGACCAGGCTCTATACTGTTGGTAGCTAATTTTTTGCATCCGCGCAGTCTGATCAGGATCGATGCTGTTTGCTATCAGTTTCTCTACTTGTTATAAGGTTTGTAAGCGAACAGCATGGATCCTGATCAGACTGCGCGGATGCACAGGATGGTCTGAATCCATGCTGGTCGCAAACCCATTATGTTGGTTTTGTCATGGCGCGGCTCAAATATAAAAGCCCTGGTGTAACTTAAGCAAAGCTGTTAAGTAATATTAGATAAGATCCTCCTACAAAAGTAACATCAATTATGCTTTCATGCTGAATCCTTTAAAACCGTATATTAAGAATTATGCTGAAAAGTTAGCAGATTTTAGATGTTGCCTTTAAAACATTCATACAGTTATAACTAGATCATGGTTGCTTATAAATCAAACATTAAATGGCAAGCAGTAGTTTTACTAAGTATATTATATCAAGCATGCTGTATTTTTTAGGGCCGGGAATTATATTCGAACATTCGAATATTCGAAACACTACCGAATATTTGAACATTGAAAAACGAATACGAATATTCGAAAAAAAAGGAGAAATGTTTCATTTATTGTCATTACTTTCAAATTTCAATTCAGATCGTAAATTAAACCTTGCCCTTTCCTTCACCAGGTGTTCAAATGTTTGTATGACGCGTGTCAACAATTATCGCCAATTAACTGTGAAAACTTTGGGGTATAGTTGATCAAAAGGGCACCCGTTTCACAGTTTGCAATTTACCTTTTGAACAGCCTATAATGTAAATTTTTCCGATTTTAATTATCTAATTTATTGTTTTCTGTGTTAAAATCTTTCCGATTAATCAATAATTGTCTTAAATGTTGTGAATAAGAATAAATTGGCACGCATTATTCGGCGCGAACACGAAAGCATATGAAGTGTCTAAATTCTGTCAGAATATATTTATTCCGTAGACATTAGACTCCGTGTGATATTTACCTCATTATAGCTAAACTTATCTTAAGAATATTTTAAACTTTATCTAAAATTATAAATAAAAAATATTTAATACAAGTTAAGTTTCAATATCATTATGTGTCTTTGGGGATAAATGGCTACGATGATTCATATTACTGTCAGTCAAGTCACGTGAGTTACCTCCCGTTAATAAGACAGCGGTCGGGTTTACTGAACAAAAGGCAATCAAATTATGAATTTATTTCAAAAGTAAACATATATCTCGATTTACAATATATAAATTAAAAAAACTTCGACATAGCAATAAAGGTCTTTTTAATCGCCGATTATTCCAAGCATTTTAAAGTAGTATAGTATTCGACGCAATCAATTTCGGATACGTATACGTCAAAGAGAAATATTGGAACAAATGTTGTAAAAACGAATATTCGAATATATTCGAATATGGAAAACGAATATTCGAACATCGAATTCCTTATTCGTTCCCAGCCCTAGTATTTTTATATGAATGAAATTAAAGAGGGAAAGCACAACACTGTTTCACACAGTCTTCCATTTCATTCTCCCTTTCTGGGTATCATACAATGTATTGCAAATGGTACATTCTAAAATCATAACTTTTCTATGAGACTTTTCACAATTTAGAGTCAAATAAGACGATAATTTAGGTGCTCTTCTGAAGTCAAAAAGCCTTAAGAAGTCAAAAAGCTTTAAGACATTTAATATGAAAATGAAAAATCTTACAAAGATCATCATTCTGGGGTACTTAATTGGACAAATATGAAAAAGATAATAGAGAAATATACTCCAAATTAAATTGAAAATCAATATTTAATGCCATTCTTAGCCCATTTGATTTAAAAACTGCTAAAATGCTTTTCATTTGTAGGTCATTTTGCACACATAAAATGATTATTCTGTAACAATAAAATGGGCAATTGTTCTGAAATTTGCACATAAGTAATAGGTTTAGACATAAATATTCCAGCCCCGTCATGTCAAAAAAAAACTCCTAGGAGTCCTTTTATATTGTCAGTAAAAAACACATTCAAATTTATAGAAACCATGTTGTTAAATAATTATTTATATAACATATAAACAAAACTTCTAGCTAAGAATTAATAACTATATCTAAATATACATAACTCTACAGGTATTATACTACAGGTATACTATAAGTTAGAACAGCCAGGAAACAGTGAGTTAAAGCATTATGTTAATATGTAAATGAGGGGGAAAGGTGTACAGGTATACATGCAGTGTAATGATGAATGACTGATTGATGAACAGGTAATAATTATCAGATACCTTGCTTACAAAAGGAAAATATAAACCATTGTTAATAATTAATATATAGTTAACTATAAATTAGAGACAAAAAAGAAGTAAGTTATGTTTCCAAAAGAAGGAAAAAACCTTCATTTAAATATCTTAATCACCAAATACTATGTATTTAAAAAATAGGAAATTATGTTTATGTCGATGAAAAAAAGGCATTTTTTTATTTAATTATCTTTATCACTGAGTGGGCATTAAAAAAAAACCCAATAAAAACAAAAAAAGCCATGTTTTTATTATTACAAAATCTTTTAACTTATCAAATACAAAATGTATTTTCTTTTCAGTACAATTCTAAATTAATATTTAAATTCTTTTAAGCAAAAAAAGTAGAAAGAAAAGAATTTCAAACATAATACAATTCAAATCCTATACAGTACAGTAAATTTTCAATAATATCAAAACCAGTTTAAACCAGATAGATAAAGTAACAAAATTAATTACTAACAGAATATCTCATCATCACTACAATAAATAATCTATGGAGACTTTCTGACAAATATCTATAAAACAAAAACTTGTTTCCCTTGTAATTATTTATTACTAATAAAACACAAACATAAATCAATATCAGTTAATTTCATTTACATTTTCAGTGAGAACCATTTACTTTTACTGACAAACAAAATTATGGTAGTTCGAGTAAATTTGTAAACACATATTGAAATATAAATTTTTCCCTGTTCTACTGAACATTTAAAATTTCTAGCAATGGCAAGTTTTGATAATGCCAAATGCTGCCTGGAAACAAGTTTTTATTACCGGTTAGTATAAAACAACCATGCATACCACAAACAGTACCGGTTTTACCACGGCTCCTTCCGTGTTCTCCAGGGTTTGAGCCTCTAGCGTGTCCTCGTCCGAGAGATTCAGATCCACATCATCCATGTACTTTTTTCGTTTGACGTTTCGACCAGATCTTCTCTTAAACTATTCATGAATCAAAAATTTAAATGTCATAAAAGATACTGTTATAGGATCAAATATTTGTTCTCAAAATGAAACCCATAAATAATTCAGTGGATAGTTAAGATAAAATTATGCTTTGTGATAAACTATTCACTTCTACACTCCCTTCTTTTAAGCAATATATTTCCGTTTGTTTTTGTCCAGTTTAGTGTCAATGAACTACCATTACAGTCATACACTGTAACAACAGTGCAGTCTATGCAGTAAAAGCATATTTGTTTGGTTAGGGGGGATTTTATGGCGCACAAACACATTATAGGTCATATGGCGCCAAAACAGGGACGATAATTTTGGGTAACCTCAGGTATTACAAACTTCAAAGCAACACCAGGGGTCAAAACCAACTCACCTGCTTGAGATAAGAGATGCATAGACTCCAGACTGTTAGTCAAACCCATTTTTATGTAAGGATCCACATATATATCATTTGCAAAATATGTAGAGTAACTATTTATAAGCCATTTTCTGGTTAACCAAATCTTCAATGCAAGAATGTCCTTTGACTCTTAAGTCCATAAACTTACTAAACAAATCTGATGGGCTTCTTATTTGGCTGAATAAGCTTCATTTTACAAAATAGTTAAGTATCAAACAATTTATAATAATTTTAATTTTTTACCTCATCATTTTCTGGTGAAGGAGGTGGGGTAACTTTAATTTCAACATCTGAACCATCAGAAGAACCTCGTCGCTTTCGTTTCTTGTTCTTCAAGAATGTTGCTGGTGGCCTGGAAAGGGAAAGTTTTCCAGTTAAATTTGAGCATTTCTAATCAGATCTGACTATTAAAACTTCACTACAGCTTTATACAGTTGATGTACTGTCAGCATATTTTTTAATGTATTTGCACAAAGAAAACCATTTGTTGCGAGTGCACTTGAATTTTAGGGAGTAAAATTTTTGTTCATTGTTAATTTTAGGTATAAAAAGAAATACCGCTGTGTATTTATTTATCAACATTTTTATAAAATAGAACTGTGTTTAACACATAAAAACCACTTAAATGACATAAAAAATAAACATTTGAAGAGTCATCCAAATAATGTTTTCAAATGCAGCTGCTCCTTAATGCATAGAAAAGATAAACAATGTCAAACAAAGCATGAAAACCCCATAAAAAAACTTACTTTTTAGGTCTTTTTCTGTCTGTCCTGGGAGTTTTTTCTGATGGTTTCTTCTCACCCTTTTCTTTCTTTTTCTTTGGCTTCTTCTCTTTTTCTTCTTTGACATCAGAGTCAGTCTTTGCTTCAGTAGTTGAATCACCATCCATAGTTATATCACCAGCCACAGAGGGAATCAACTCACTTGTATTAGTTTCAACTTTCTCTGCCTTCTTCTTTTTAGACCTTGGAGTCTTTTCACCTTTTTCCCCTTTCTCTTTCCGTGGGGTATATTTCCGCTTCTTTTTAGCCTTTTTACCATCTGGTGTCTCCGGCTCAGGATTATCTAAATCACCTAAAGTTGAAGGCAATTCTGGTGGTTGGAGAACTCGAGGGATGGCTGAATTACCAGATTTCTGAGCTTTAGCTATTGCTTCTGCAATTATTTTATTAGCCTTCTCCTGCTGCAGACTAGAGTTTTCAGAACTATTTTCGTTGTTTGTTTGAGGCTGTATAGGCATGCTGCCCTGTACAAGCAATGGTGTGTTGCCAGTGCCTGCCTGGCTTGGTTTGATCAACATTTGTTGACTGGGTTGGGTGCTGCCATTCAATACAGGCTGAGGTAGAGAGGTCAGGGTGGGGACTTGGGTGGGTTGTACTGTCTGTGACTGAGACATAAGAGGCTGCTGAGGCTGCTGCTGTTGTGATGGATTAGGCATTCTCTGACCAGGTTGTTGCTGAATAAAACAAAATGTTATCATTATTTTCTGTTAATAGTAACAATGTTATCATTACTGAAATAACGTCCCTACAAGATAACACTGAAAACATTTCAATTTTGCTACATGAACTAAATATCAATGAAATGATAAATCAAAGCTGTGCAAAGATAAGCATAATCTTTAACAAGCTAAATTAAATGGCACATTATGCCTCAGAAACAAATATTTTTTAAGACAGGGCAATGTTAATTTTACTATTATTGTATATTTATATTATAATGAAAATGGATTTATAAAGAGCATGTTTCATGCAAATTGTCTGAAGAAAGAAACGCTGAAAGTGAAATTATTTGACCTAAAAGTTGAAAAATGTAAACAAAGTGATATTCTGAATTCCATTCAAAAACTAAATCACTATGCCTAAACTCAACAGATGTAAAAGATGGTTCAGGAAATTGGTCAGGTCATTGAGAAACTTTTTGAAAATTATAAAAGAACACTAAAAATAAAGACTTCTGAGGCACAATGGGCCTTTTAACTTTTAAATCAATATAAATGATCCAAAATTTACTAAAAAAAACACTCATACTTGTCTCCCCCCCCCCCTCCGACCTACACACAAAACACATGTATATACAATACATGTAAATAAATGCAATAAAATATAGAGAAACTATATTGCATTCTAATATCATAAAAAAAATTATCAGTGGAATAAAATAACCCACAGGCTATGTTTCTGTTTCTAATTAGGCAATAAAATATAGCAGATAAGCCAACTGTTTCTATTGAGGCAGGAAAAACAACATGAGCAGCCTAACAAATTATTCATGATAAAATGTTTTAATCTACAAGCTCTCCTATTCTATATTCAGTTCATTGTGTCAACTTACAATAAAAGTGAAATGATTCATATAAAAATCAATTTTTCTACATGCACATGAAATTCTATACAACAATATAACCCAATTCAATTAACCCCAACATATTTTCATCGACTGAAATATAACAAGAGCTTTCAGTTAGACAATGTGCTCCACTATCCTCAGTGTTTGAATGATAGTAAAACAAGAACTTTGATAATGTAAAATTTTTCTATTTTCATGATAAATTGTAGATCATTCTGCCAAAATTCATGTTGTAGTTATCAGCCTTGGGCAGTGACCTCCTATTATGCTCTCAAGTAAGTGTGTAATTTTAACCCATTCCTTTTAGTTGATATTTGGAGATACCCACTTGCCCCCAAAAACTGCATACGATAGTTCTTAGTTCTCGCTATTCTTCAAAAACAGTCAAGCTAAAAGCAGAACATATGACCAACATTGAGTTTGTTTACTGCATTTATTGCATAAAAACTACTAGTCTTCACTTTATAAGATCTTCATCGTGAAAACAAACTGAAATGTATCTACTACCAAAATGCTTCCAACTACATTTAAGTGATCAATCACAGAAAACATATTGTATTGCAAAATATCAATTTTATTTTTCATTTTAAAGTTAATGCTGAACTACAGTCATCACTTCTGTACTATATCAAGACCCTACAAGCATCCATTTTGGAGGGGGGGGACAATCAACTTTTTCAAAATCTATTCTGTATAAGTTATGAAAATTTATTAAAAACATTAAATTTAGCAAATAATTTCAGCTGAAATTTACAGATATAAAATTCACATATAACCAACACAGAATCTTCACACATCCTCCCTATAGTTTATCTGTTTAGTTTTTTAATGCTCCAAACACTTATGTTAATTAGTAAATTGAACTTGTAACCTAGCAACCTCACTTATTTTCCTACCAACAACCTTCAAAAACATGTTTATCCACCTCATCTAAAACCTCATAAATTTTTATTCCCCAGAAACTTTATCTGCAGCTTCTACCAATATAAATATTCTATTCCTAACAAAAAACATCTGATTAATTTCAGGTTTTCTTCATTTAAACATAAAAAACCTCACAAAAATCAATACTTTCTCTTTCTTTACCCCAGAACAATTTACTAAATGGCTCGAATACTGTAATTTGACAGCAGTTCAAAAAAAATCCCCCCTTTCCCAATATTGGAACAATCCATTGAAAAATATAAAGTTGAATTAACCAATACACTGCATAGTTAATTCATTGGAGAGTTTAACATCAGGATCCATATAGCTTTATCTGTTTTAAAAATAAATATCCAATATAAAAGCCAGTCCTTACTGAGCTGCTTTTTTCCAATAACATTGAAAACATCAATATTTTGTCAAGGCTTTAATTTCTATGGCATTCTCTTAGAAATATTTTTTTTTATCTGTTAAAGCATGAAAAAACCACTGCATGTTCTACAACGAAATAAATAACCAGAGTTATTCCACTTTCAACAATGGATTTGTAAAGTTCAGTAAAACAAAAATAAAAACTTTCAGAAAAAAGATTGAGTCATGCTAAGAAATTCAAATTCCATTCAATGCCATCTTTTTCTAACAACAATAGAAATGCTAAATCATTTCCAGTCCTTTTGTGTGCAATAACGATACTTTTAGTGTTACTGACAAATAAAAATATGTCATTAACTGAATGGGTGAAAAGGCTAACAATAACTGTATATTTTACCTGACTCCCTACAAAACCAAGCTTTAAATTCATGTGAATGGATTCAGTCGTTGCTGTAATTATCATTTTGTTAAATCCATGAATAAACTTTTACATCAATCGGAGAGATGAAAAATGTACACAACCTAACAGCTGCTGCCACTATAACAAAGCTATTTAAAACTTACAAAATCTAATTTTATCCCTTTAAAGTGCACGCCAATCCTTCAATCAACGCATCAATTTTTTTGTTAACACGCCATTAATCCCTGACATTACATAACATATATCCTGTGTACACAACACAAAAACTTAATTACCTCCTTATTACAAAACACAATAACAAATTTAACAAGGAAATTAAAACCATAAGGCATATTCACAACACTTGACAAAAAGAAAAACACTCTAAATTTTTATATTTCCTTTTTTTCTTAATACCGTAATTTAAAAAGAAAACGACACTTGGTATCAAATCTTCATCAGTACATTAAAAATCACACGAGATTGCCTATCATCATTTTTACATTCTCAACCATCATTTAATCCCCGTCAAATTGTACACAATATTTCCTCGTACATCTGTCGAGTGCAAACTATCTTTGTTCCCCACAGTCATAATTATATTGATTATTAAAATGTTACAAGATATATCAAATAGCTTCCATTGGCTTTGAGACGTGTGCAATTTATGCGTACTACCATAAAAAAAAACACTGTTATTGGTTTTTTGTAAAATCAGTATCATTAGATCTAGGCAAAGCAATAAATAAATTCCATCTCAGTAATTTCTATGAAGATTCTTATTTCCTGACAGGCTGAATACAAATGTTTCAAATGTTTTTTTTCAGTTTGAGTTATGATTTTGTGTGTGTGTGTTTTTTTAAACCGAGATAATAAAAGCCACACATGTAAAATGATGCATGACTCAACGTAGGAAGGTTGTTTCATACATACACAATGTAAAATCTTCTAATTTCTCACCCTTTAAACATCTTAAATGTAGAAATAAAACCATTTTCAGCTAATTGATAATGTAGCCTTTTACTAGGATTACTGATAAAAACATTTTTTACATTGTTCTGTTTCACTCTTACCCCCTCCCTACTTTAATAAATGAACTGGTCCTGCTTTAATTAAGAAAATGTTCTTTGTCAAGGGAATTTGACACCGAAATACTATAAACAGTATCAAGGGAAGTCAGTCTTAAAACATTACCTGGTGGATTTACCCTGCTTTAATTTTAGAACAGTCCATTCGAAGATAAAATGATTTTAATATAAAATACAACTGTTTCAATATGACATAGATGTCCCCTACATTCCACAGTTCCCTCAGAACACAATGTCCCCTCATTTCACAGTTCCCTCAGTACACAAATGTCCCCACATTCCAGTTCCCTCAGTCTACGGACAAACAGGTGGACTGACAAACTGGGGCAAATATATGTCACCCCACTTCGCTAAGAAGTGGAAAGCATAAAAACTACCAAAAGAGCCTGCAAAGAAGGCTAATCACTTTCTTCTGGATAAGGGTTAAGAGCAGTTTGGATTGGCATGGACGGACTCTATACTTAAAGCACAGGGCACTCTGGCTCCATTAACATCCCGAACATTCTGTTTTAACTCCATTTGACCTACATGTACCACAAGAACTCTCAGCATTATCTAAAAGCTTTAAAAAAAATACTATTTTATCAGTATTCTGCACTTTTATCTAACCTTTTTAAAAAGCATTTTTTTCTTCAACTATACATGCAGTTTGTAAATGAATACCAGTAATTCAACACATTTTAAAAGATAATGAATAACCTAATCTTTAAGGACCCTGTAAAATCCAAAAGATAAAAAATAACTTCACATCTCTATGATGTGTGGTGTTTTTTTTCTTCATACTATTAAAAAATAATAACAGCCATTTTTTCGGTTGTGTATGTTTTATCTTTAATCTTTCATTTGCCTCAACAGACTCTATTACATTAAATAGATAATCTGATTTTAGCAAGTAGATTTACAAAAGTGCAAATCAAGGCAATCCAAGTAATGCAAACTTGTAAATAAATGTGAATGATAAACAAAAATTTCTCTCTTTTTTTTTTTGAAAATCATTGCTTTGAAGAATGAAATCATGTCTCTGGCTGCCTATCCTTTGTAATGTTACACTGACTTAAATATTATTACACTAGCTTACTAGAAATTCATAGTAATACATGTATTATAGTGTTTAAAACTATCATTGCTTCACTTCAAAAATACCAAGATTCCCTTAAAAGTTATTCGGCCTGACCCTAAATTCTACTAGCATTATCAATATACATGCATGGTGAGCACTTTGTAACGTGATTTGACATCAATAATAATAATGATGTTGGTCTTACTTTAAGTCTTTGTCACCTTCTATAATGACTTGTTTGTTTACTTTTGCTTTCCAAGATGGTAGAGAAGACTAGAGTTTCCAAAGTGAACCTATCAATTCTCTTTTAGTTTTGGGTTATATAAACTGATCAGAGACTTGTTTATTGTGATAATTCACACTAAGCATCTCTCGCTGTTACTCTAAAATCGCCAACAAGAATTTTCTTGAAACTGAACCTCTTTTAATCTTTTTATCACTTAGCAACAGCCAAGAAACTTACCAAACACACATTGTTAAATTCGTTAATTAAAGTATCATATATGGCTCAATGACTTACACCAAAAGTGTTGATCTTTGGCAATAACGTTGTTTGACCATGAGCCATTGTTTGCCTTTTGAGTCTGCCTAGAATTGCCAACAATCACTTCTTTACCTTTCCGCAACATTTTTACATGTCATTTAAAACAAATCTCCCAAATGTTAAATAATGATTGCACTGTCCAGTTGATACAGAAATTTCCATGGGTTTGTGTAAGTCATGCCCATTTTTGTACAAAATTAAGCAGTGCCCTGTGTATTTTTGTCACTCATTAATAGGAATAATCTATACCCACCCTTTAATTAACCCTAGACATAGAATTTGGTATGTCAATGTTCCATTTTGTAATGCCAGTTTGAAACACTGAATTACATATATCATTCTGCATTGAAAATAAGAATAAGGAATTTTAACAATGGAATAAACGAAATCATGTACTTTAAATATCCCCATAAATAACTCTCTACAAATGTACCAATCAATCTACAACAATAACAGGAATGTCTCTGACTAGACACATGATTTTTTTATTGATTATAATTCAGCCATTAACTCTTATGTAAACTCCACAAAAGTGGCATGCAGTTTTTGTCTCCCTTTTTGAGACAGGTAACATTATTTCTAAAATACAGGAAAATTAATACCATCCAATACAGAAATAATTAATTAAACATGAACCAACAGCAATCAATACTACTGGATTAACATATATTCAAAATCTGAATTACTGACATTACCATTTTCTTTTACTTCAGGGAATTTGGAGGGGCTTAAAGAGGGGGGAAATTGTATTGTATAGGTGAAAATTTAGATTGTTTGTATTGTTCAGTTTTACAACGCACCAACAAAATTTATGTCATATGGCACCGAAACAGGAAAGATGATTTTGGTTAACCTTGGTTACAAAATTGAAGCAATACCAGCGTCAAAACCACCTGACCTGCTGGAGCTAAGAGATGCATAGTCTCCAGTAATTTGAACCCATTTAGTCGCCTCTTACGATCATGTTGGGATAAACAGTGGCTGCAATTCTGATGCCTCAACTCTTAAAGGCAGCTCCTCAGCCAAAAGGGGATTATTCTTGTAGAAAAACACAGACTTTCTGTTAAATAATGACACACATCATTATCAATGTAAACTACCTTTATAATAAGTCCTCTTATCTTGTAAAATGGGATCTTATTCAGAAAAGGGGTAAATATACTTTTTGTGAATTTCTGCCCTAAAAGCATTGAATTAAGTCCAACAGCACAATTTTGCTTTTCAATGAATATTACAAATTATTTTTTACTTGTGGGATAAATTCTTTACTGAAACCATTTTGGATCACATTTTCTGTGGTAAGTAATGAGCCCTTGTAAGGTAAGTTCAAAATAAATCTATCAACATGATTTAGTGTATCTTATTTGAAAGTTACATTGCTGCTAAAAAGTAATTTAAGTAAAGTTATTGCTAATGCTCAAAGCAAATGAAGTTGCAACATATCTGGAATAAGTATTATGCCATGCATTATTTTTTTTCCAAATAAGCAGTTATCACTTTTTATATGTGTTAAATAAATTGATTTTCAAGAATTTAACAAGAAAATCGAGTCTGTGACCTAACCCGACCAATAAATAAATATTTCCCCAAGTAATTAATACTTCATAACTAATATGAGATAGTACAAAAAGAAGGAGCTTTGCTACATTTACAACAATTACACACATACCTGTATAATGAAAATCTTCTGTTGGCTATTCTGGTTCCCTGGCCCGGCTTGAACCAATCGTACCATCTGACCCGGTTGTACGACTGGCGGTCTTTGATGAACTATTTGAGTGCCAGCCATTCCTGACTGAACCATCTGTGATCCATTTTGACCTATCTGTACTATTTGCTGGACAGACTGGGACCCAGGCTGAATAATCTGTGTACCTGTCTGAGGATTAGCCTGGGAACCAGACTGAGTCATTTGGTTTGCGGGTATATTGCTGGTTCCACTACTCATCTGAGGAAGTGAGGTCACGACTTGGGAAGTCTGAAATGATGAAATACATTCAATAAGGAAATGAAACAGAAGTAAAGATAAACATTTTAAGACAAATAAATTACTTGTGTTTAGGTAAAAAGGTAATAAATTGTTCCACAATGTCAATCTTCTCTGTGTTTGAAAAAAATAGTATCTATAAACATGAATTTCTCTAAATCATAAGAAAAATACCTTTTCATTAAAATGATAATGAAACTGTATTCCTTAAGCCAAAAACACTAAATTTCGTCTTCATATTTGAAATAAAAAGTTTGCTTACTATTGTAGACTGTGCCTGTTTTGGACTAGGCAGTGGCTGGGAGATCCCTTGTAGACCAGTTGGTGACTGAAACTGCTGTTGTTGTGGACTGGGTCTTGGAGATTGCTGTAACTGCTGAGATTTTAACATCTGAACCTTCTCCTGTAAGTCTAAGATCTTCTGCTGAGTCTGTGGTGTCTGGGGCATACTATACAACTGCTGTATCTGCTGGTTTAGACTCTGTATATCCATGCTAGTGTTCGAAGGGGAGGTAACTGAACTACTCGGAGATACAACTTTCTTCACTGGACTACACTGACTTTGATTTTGTAAGTTGTTCGTATTTGTATTAACAGACACATGCATGTTAGAATTTGGTCCATTTGTCTGATTTACAGTCTGTGACTGTATCTGATTCATGTTCTGATTATTAAACTGACCGAAATTATGTTTGTCATTAAGTTCTGCACTTGGCTGGAACATGTTTGTATTATTCTGTTGTGACTGTGGGTGATTAGGTGAAGGCTCCATAGAGTTGAAGCCACCTTGATGCGATGAGGTAGATCCTGTAGGCGAGAGCATCCCTGATGTCAAGGAAGGAGACTGTGGTGGTGGGGTTGGACGAGGGGAAAGCATTGGCACATTTGCTCTAGGCTGAGACATGGTATTCATGTTGTTCATACTATTAAATGGCAGTCGTTGCTGAACATTTGGCAGGGTTGGACTAGTCTGTGGAAATCTTAATATATTCTGCTGTTGTTGCTGAGGGGTATTTACGCAATTATCTGTCATGCTTTGTTGTTGCATCGGCTGTTGATACTGATACTGCTGCTGCTGTTGCTGCTGAGGAAACTGCTGAGTGGTCTGTTGTGGATGTATATACTGCTGAGGCTGCTGTATTATCATAGGATCATTTGACATACTCGTCGGTGTATTAGCATGTGGCATATTCATAGTGTTAAAATTCTGATTGCCATGAGAATACATCTGCTGGGACATTCCCATAGAGTTTGGTTGACTAGCATTCACAGTAGACATTCTATTTACCTGTATACCAGGCGAGGACATTCTCTGCATATACAATGTCTGATTCTGTCCAGGCTGGGCAGCAGAAAATGGAACCTGCATTCTAATTCCCTGTATATTAGCCTTAGACTGGTGCTGTGGTATGTACTGCTGTTGAGGCTGTTGTTTCGACTGGGCTTGCTGCTGTTGAGGATTGAACATCTGCGTGTTCTGGTTCCATCCTTGCATCTGAGCCATCTTTATCTGCTGCTGTTGTGCTGGGTTCGGCAGTCTCGGTCCCGGCTGAGCGGCAGCAGCATTGTACTGGTACATCACCTGTCCTTGACGCATCATACCAGAGGGAGGGCTTCCAAACTGATTTGTATGGGTTGGTGACATCATTGGATTTGGGTTTATGTGTCCCTGTTTTTGACTAGGTGTAGATACCATATTGGGATTATAAACAGTCTGCTGGCTATTATACTGATTGAAATTTTGTTGATTAAACTGTTGAGGGGCTTGCTGCTGAGTTTGCTGAAACTGCATACTGTTGTAACCAGCCCCTTGTTGCTGCTGTTGCTGCATTCCACCTATATTATAGTTAGAGTGGGGATGACCAGCTTGCATCATGCCTTGTGGTACTTGACCAGAGTTTTGAGACATCATACCAGCCATTTGTTGTTGTTGAGGTACATTTGGGACTGACTCGTCTATAACATTAAACATAAAATTACATTTCATATGAAAGGTTTGACAAAATTTTACTAAATTCATGAAAATAACACATAACATAAAGCCACCCTGTAATAGATTTATAGAGAAAGAGTAAGAATTCATTTCCAAAACCCTTTTTCAATGCATTATGAATCATTATCTCACATTATTCCAAAGTAATGTAAGTTATTGGCATAAATTTTTCACTTACTTGTCCCACTGGCTAACTCTTCCAGAAACCCAGGATCTGAATCAAACAAGCTGCCTAAATTGTCGGCCATTCTGTTATTACTTTCTGTCCTTCTCAAAGGCACAAAGCCATGCTTTCAGCATTAAAATACAGGACACAGCTACAACTGTCCTGAAAAGAGCAAATAATAAAGTTACAACTTTTCAGACAGTACTGCAGAATTTAAGGAAATTCTACCAACAATACATTAACAATAACAATAAACATAATTAAATTTGTCTCTCACAAAATATATTACAACAATCTGTGATAATTTATTTATTGATTTGTTAGGGTTTCAAGTGACACTGACATTGAATAGGTGATATGAGATTCCAGCTTTTCTGGCAGAGGAAAACCTCAGATGCCACTTTGTGCACTAATTAGACTCTACACTGTTGGTAGCTAAATCTTTATATTGAAATCCCTCAAATTTTAAATGGACTGTTCCGAATTCAAAGCTAAGCAAATCCATTACAGAAAATTCAGCTTTTTGAGGGTTAATGATTCAAAGTGGGTAACCACAGTGTGAGTTTTTCTTAATTCCATAAATTGCCTTATCCATAGTTTGTCATAAATTGCCTTATCCATAGTATATCTCTTTGGAAAACTTATTATAGCTTAGTTTTGGACACAATTCGTCAAGCTAACTTCCTTTAAGACAAAAATAAAATCTCATCTTTACATGTACATTAGGATGTTAAGGGAACAACACTTGAGAGTGGTTATTATCAATCACTCATAGTTCAAGAAAACAAATCACACTTCTGTAAAATGCAATGCTTATTTTCACAAATTTCATCATTACATGGTACCAAACGCATTCACAATTTAGGGGGATAATGTACAGTATTTTCAAAGAGAAATGTTAAGTTTGACCTACACTGAAATTAATGCTCATATCCATTACACTAACATGTAAATACATTGTAACTTATAAATGACACTATTTTTTTTTCAAAATTATTGTTGCTATAAAACACCACCAACAATGTATGCATAAATTAAAATAAAGGAATGAAAATCTTTCCATATTCAAGAGCTTTCCATTTTGGTACAACAAGGAAGGTAAAATAAGTTACAAGTGATAAGTAAAGAAGTGCTATTATAAGCATTTTCACATGTTAATATTTTTTTTTTCAAAATTATATATCACTAATAAGCTACCATATGGCCTGCCTTACAAAGTACATTTGCCTCACCTGTTACTATTTTTAGAAAGTATGGGTGCACCTATGACATTCTATAGGATTTTTGTTTAAAGACAACAATATTCATGTGAAGTTTCACCTTCTATTTTAGAAATTGCATATTTCAGGTTATTATTCTCAGGAACTGAAAATTTCACACATTTTCTCACATTGGTGAATAGACTTGGTATCAGGCAGGTTAAACTTTGAAAACCGTATAAAATGTCTAAGAATGATGAGAATGAATACTCAAATACTATAGCTGGTGCATACAGTGTTAAAAAGAGCAGGGTTTTTTCTAACTAAATTGGGAAAGGTGGCTGGCACTCGACTTATATTAGGAAAAATTTGTGGCAATTGAGACATATGAGAAGTTGAAAAACTCCCTTTTTAGTTTTACATGACCTGTCACCTTCAAGTTTTATTTATGAGTATGATCATATAACCTGTTACTTCTTTTAAGAAACATGTCAAAATATTTAATTTTTCTCATAAAATGAAACAGTTTGATTTTTTTGGCAGCTGTTAACAATAATTAAGTTTTTGGCTACAGCGGCCAAAGTGAACAAAATGGCATGACAGGGAATTTCAATTCAGTTACAAATATTACTTTTGTAATGTCTTGATTTGAAAAAACAGTTAATGATAATCAAATATAAAACAATTCACCCTTTAAAGATTACTTCATGATAAGGAACAATGGTCACAATTTACCCTTCAAATTTTACTTTTTGATAAGGAACAATAGTATCAAAATGAAAATTACAAAAGACAATAATTTTATTACCAATTCCAAGTGACAAATCTATACTTTAACCACGTGATCCTGCCACAAGTTTTAAACCTTATTGCAGACATTCTCACCAATGTATTTTCATTTACCGGTAGGCCTTTTATATTTATCTAGCTTTTATTAATGTCAAACCACTTGCAGAGACATTGACATGTAATATTTCAAAGCAGTGATGACAATAGATATATAGAAAAGAAAACAACACGCATATGGCATAAAATATGTACAAACAATACACATCATTCATAATTTCATAGAATCACAAGTATTTTACTAAAATCATTAAAACTAGTATGAAAGCAGGGCTGTCGTCGATGGTCCGGACCAATATTTTGGCAAAAAAAGTCTGGTTCTTAGCGGAAAAACAACAACAAAATAACAAAAAACATCAAAAACAAAAACATGCATTGCTGATTAGCAATTTGACACTTTACTGGCCCCTTATGCAAGGCGCATTAATTAATATACAAACATGACGCTAAACAACTGGATACTGTTAATTGACCAGCTACATGAACGGGTATTACGAAGTCAAGTGTGAAGTTGTCTTAAATGTCATTAATGGATATCGAGATGGGTTCGTATATATATAATTATGATAATTATCAGATAAAAATGAAGAATAATAACAACATTAATTATTGTTTATTTTCCATTTGTCAAATATTAATTATTCATATTATTTTGTATGTACAACTGTCTGTCCGTTATGCGATCAGTAGTCAACCTCTTACAATTTAAATTTACGATGCACAGATCTTTGTAAAAAAATCAGTGACATATGCCGAAATAATATGTGCTAGTAACAGACTGTAAACTGTGCCACTTACATGGGAAAATGCTCACAAGAACATCCTAGAATAAAAAAAATTCTGGGGGAGCATGCCCCCATACCCCCTCTAAAACCGCCGAATTGGCCGCACAAACCACAAAGTTGTGATGATGGGCCCGAGAGTAGATATATTATACTTGATAATCATATTGTCTTAAATCATTTGTTTTCCAAAATTGATATATATATATTTATTGCCAGTTGGCTGTGGGGTTCTATCTTTCAATTCTTTCCACTGTTTAATAGATGAATTTCTGAAATTTGCTGAATATAAATAGTTGATAACGTACCGCAATGATGATTATAACATACATTTACCATTTGCATTGTACAATAATTTACAGGTTGATATGGATGACCAGGTTTTTAGTTGTTTTTTCTTAAAAAATTGTGAAATAATGGCACATGGAAACATTTCTGTTTCATTTTAATTGAAATTCTCTATATTTCACTACAACTCTATTGTCTAGCACAGTAACGGTGACAAACAGGCAACCAACTTAAAATTTCAATCATTAACAAAGAAAAAAATTGGTCATTTTCATAAATTCATTCATGCGGAACGAGTGCCCTCACGGAGTCAAACTTCTTGGCCCAATCAAAACATTGAAAACTGTGTTTGTTTCCATCCGAAACACGTGCAACTCGCATTGAAAGTCTATCATATTGGATATAAAGTCAAAACGAACAGTATTTTCAAAGATGCCACCATCCTATGACCATATTTTCTCAAATGCAAAATGTGCATTATGCAAAAAGTGTGATTTGATCGCCATTTCGGTCGATTTTTTGGACAAAATTATCAAAACAGAAGCTCAATCAAAACTGGGTGAAACTCTTACAGACTCGGCATTTTTTGTCATATAACAATAATATAATGTCTCATTTTTGTATTCACAACAATAAACAAAAGAAAATAAAAAGTTTTACCTGTTAAATAAGTTAAATAATTTGGTAATTTTCAAAGAATGACTTTGTAGATCACACCGCTAATTCTCAACATCATGTATCGACAATTACCGCATTTGAAAGCTTATTTTTGATTGGTCAATATGGGGACGCCGTAACAGAATTAAATGTAGGGTTTAACCTATAATATCATAAAGTTCCACTGATATTAGCTGCTTAACACCATAAGAAATATTTTTTGATATCAAAGCGTAATGAAAAGACAAAGAACAACATAAAACAATTAATTATTCTTACAAAATTAAAAAATACAAGCATTCACTTTTGTCCAATCAGAGTGTGTTTAACAAAATTCATTTTTTATTGAATATTTCAGTGCTAATCATGCACTCTGGCCAATCAGAGTCGGGGTCATGAACAAATGCCCGTATGTAATTACTAAATTGAGAGCGGCGTTACTAAAAATAGCAAAATCTTAACTGAGATCTAAACAACAACAACAAGTTGAACAAAGGCATTTTACAATAAATATGCTATCATTTTAAACAGTAATTAATAACTTTTTGCTACTGGCACAACTTCTTTAGTCACAGTGTCAGTTCATCAAGCTCTGTTTATAGATTTTCCTGGGATTTCCATCGCACTAAGTAGGTATTTTTCGGATTTCCCCTGTTACTAAGCAAAGATAGTAGGTCATTCCCGGTGGATCCCGGAAGTTATCAGAGCAGAGCACGGGTAACTCGGATATATTTTTAAACGGCGTAGCAATAGAGGATGCATGTAAATGAGTCATTTTTAAAATAAACGACACCGGTATATATTATCATTTAGCATAAAGATCTACAGTACAAGTACTGAGAAAAAGTATGAGTAGATCTAGATAAGTCCCACATTAGATCTAGATCTATATTTTTTTTGCAAGTGTGGAGGAATATAGAGATCCAAATAATATCCAAGCGCGCTATAATTTGCACGTTTTCTCTGGCAACTTCTCTCGCGAGAATAGGCAAATAAATTATTGCGAACTCTAATAACTAATGAGAGGCTGAGCTATATCTCGTTCTATATACTCTTACTTATATATTTATTTGAGGTTACACACAAGGTGGTGAATGCACATCGGAGGGAGCTCAAATTGAACATCATATGAATTTCAAGAAGATCAATAATACGGGGGTGGGGTGAGGATGGGACTTCATATGGATCACGAAATTGTGTATTTTAATTTCCGCAAGTCCCGTGGTGTTACTATCACCCCTAAGGTATGTGAAAGTGAAAGAAAGTCAATAACAGGGTAAGTTTCCGACATTTTTAGAAATTTCAAAGCCTTTTAAGGAAAATCAAAATTTAATCCTAACCTCTTGACTTGTCTCTATATCAACAAATTCCTGTATCGAATATCTACGGTGGCATACAGAGGGCATAGGAAATCTTTCGTGAGCACACGATAGATATTGCGTGGTCATGCATCGCTATTGCTTGTACTTGAGCACGCTATATTATTACGCGGCCACGCAATAGTTGGATTCGCGCGCACATAATACATACGCATGACCACATATTACCTATCGCATGGTCTCGCGTGAGCACGAAATAGATGTCGCGTGACCATGTAATACCAGAGACATTATTTACACCTCTGGTAATACTATTGCGTGCACGCGATAATCGATAAAGCTGCCGTGTGCGAACATAATAGTACATGTAAATAAAAATATTTCAAATATCCCCTTTTTGTCACCGTAGATATTTGCAGTCTTTCTGGCGTCATGGGTTCATAATCTGACGTCAGGTAGACGTCAGAATCTGACCATTATCTAACCAGTTTCTGACCATTTTTCGAACTAAATCTGACCTAATTCTTACCAGTTTCTGACCTCCATCCAACTATATTCCGACCTAAATCTGGCCATTTTCCGATCAGTTTCTGACCTCAATCTGACCATTTTCTGATCTCATTCTGGCTGCAGACAAGACATTAAAACAGAAAAAATACTACTGCATAATTATGATTGCTTTGAACGTTTCCATACTCTTTTAATTTGGAGGTTTAAACTGATGTAAAAAAAATGAATGCTTTGGGACAATTTGTAGTGTCAAGGTACAGAGCAGACATAAAATAAAACAAATAGTCTTTGGCCATGGCCTTGATGTAAGCTTTGTATATATTATGCGCTGACGTTTCTCGCTGTGGCAAATTGTTGTCAAGTTTTTTAGCTCACCAGAGCTAGCTCAGGGTGAGCTTTTAGGATCGTTGAATGTCCGTCGTCTGCAGTCCGTCCATATTTGTTCCTTGTCACTCTAGCGGACACATTTTGCCTCAATCATCATCAAACTTTGCCAGGACGCTTGTCTAGATACTTGCTCGGATAAGTTGGAACATGGTGCATCTCGGATGAATAGCTAGGTCAAAGGAGCTAAAAATTGAAAAATCTTGTTAACACTCTAGTAGCTACTGTTTTGATCCAAATATCCTGGAAATTTTGTTTTGTTGATTTCTATGTCAAGTTTGAATATGGGTCACCTAGGGTGACAAACTAGGTCACACCGCCCAAAAATGAAAAAAACATTGTTAATACTCTAGTGGTCACATTTTTGACTCAGTTGTCATCAAACTTGGTCAGGATGCTTGTCTAGATAATTGCTCGGATGAGTTTAAACATGGGTAATCTCTGATGAAAAACTAGGTAACAGGAGCTAAAAATAGAAAAATCTTGTTAACTCTCTAGTGGCTACTGTTGTTATCCAAATATCCTGGAAATTGGTCTGCAAGTTTGTTTTGATGATTTCTAGGTCAAGTTGAAATATGCGTCACCTGGAATCAAAAACTAGGTCACACTGTCCAAATACGGAAAAACTTTGTTACCACACTAGTGGTCACATTTTTGACTCAATTGTCATCAAACTTTGTCAGGATGCTTGTCTAAGTAAATTGCGCTGATGAGTTCGATTGGTCAGGTGAGCGATCTAGGGCCATCTTGGCCCTCTTGTTTAAGTTTCCTTCAAATGGTTTTGGAGTTTTATAACGGGCTCCAAATTCCTTTCAGAGAGACACTAGCGTCATCGTTCAAGAGTATCAAGCGCACAGTATCAGTACAATATACAAGTATATATCTATGTTTATAATTTAATAATTCAAACATTATCTTTGCATGATGTGTAATAAGACGTCATCAAAATAATGTTCGCTTATATTATAGAAGGCATTATATTAGCTGGTTTATGTATCAACTGGCACGTAATACGTTTTAAATGAACATGGACTTCCTGCCATAGTTTCAATCAATACCTTTATGTCTTTTATCTTTTTTATGAATAAAATATATTAGTTAAGTGCGACTTGGGAAAATATATCTAAAAAAAAAAATTCGAATATCGACTTAATTAACACCATGATACACAAAATGATTACTAGTAAATATCGAATAATTTATGGAAGTGACCTATATTATTATGTTGATGAATTTGATGTCATGCACCTATGGATCTCTTCAGCACATATGGGCCCCAGGTCGAACATTGACCGGCGATTTCTTTGTTTGAGCCAGATCTCAAGGGTTTATTTGATTGTTTACTGTAGTCAGATTTCGTAAATACTTTCTGTTTTAGTTTAAACAATATTTTATTCACAAATTAATACATGGTAGTACATTACAAATAGTATTGAGTTTGTTATACATATTATGATTAACATATTATGAAAAGAAAAAAGGAACGAACACAATATATTTCTTATACATGTTGGAATCGGATATGAAAACAAGTATTATGTTGATTCATCTCCTAAGGTGTTGTAAAAAGAATGGCTGTGATTCGAAAAGTAATGTAATGTGTTAGGATATAGATTTCATAATAATTATTTACTTATTACTTTCTGTTGTGAGTTCGTTTGTGTCATTTCTTGATAGCATTGTATGTTTTAGATACATCAGAATCCACGATTGAAAGAATATCTGAACAATTTAAAGACTTCATAAAATGCAAATACAAAATTGTTAATTAATAAAGTGGAAAGTTAAGCGGTCTATGCTCAGTTTTAAAATCCATATATAGAGTCTACCCAAACAACCCTGTGTTGTAGATTCATTTTCGCGCATAGACCTCACTGATAAGTAGCTTTCCGTGATCAGCTTGGTTAGCAATCGCAACCGATTGCTTTGTACGTTGTTTTCCGAAATTTACTCATTCTTGAATAAGCTGTAATCCCTTGTTGTCTTGAAAGTTTGAGACCCTTCTGGTAAAGTATCATTGATCAGCGTCGAGGTCAAGATACGTATTTAGAGTAATTACACAATGCTCTCCTTATTTTTGACATATTAAGTGACATTCGATATTTGCCAATTTTGGTGTTACGTTCTGTCAGAGACAAATCACAAAGAGCTAAATTAAGTACATGTAATGATACATAATATAATCTAAATGTTATTTGGTCTTTCAACTATTTCTCATACGAGTTTTCTACATAATATAATAGGAATACTTCTCTTTCTCTGTTGCGCTTTTTTCCTAATCCTTATTATTTCAGTTGTAAATAAAACAACATTTCTGAAAATTGAAAAACGGTTTGTTAAAGAGTCATTTTTAAAGGGAAAATGTAAGATATACGATCTAGTATTAATAATTATATATTTTGTTAATCTACAGAACGTGAGAAGACCACATGGCACGTGCAGACGTCTATGTACATGTTGTCTGATACAGTATCCAGACGAACGCTTCCGGTTCGATAACATGATGATATATTATGTATTTAGTAAATTGTTGAAATTTTGAATTTAATTTAAATTTTCCACACATTATGTTCACCCTTGATGTTCTACCTATTGAAACGGCGAAGTCCTATCAGCGGTCAGGGATTTAATACCGATTGTAGTAAAGAAGTGTGTGTGTGTGAGTGCGTGCGTGCGTGTGCGTGCGTTCTAGGCTTAATGTGGGTCCACCCGCCCTTTTTTAGTACGGACCCAGGACATGTCATCATTCATGTCCTTAAAGGTTATTATCTGCCAAAAGATGACCTATAACTTTTGACTTCAGTAATTCACTGAATGATACTAAATATGTATGCAAGTCAATGTGATGTTTACTATTTTGATGCACGGGAGGCCAATGAGACCCTTACATGCACCATAGAGAAAAATAAGATGTTGCTGATCATATCTTTTTGACGAGCTGGACTGACTGATAAGGTTTTGCAACTCGGACTGGTACCTAGCTGACACATGTATTCCGTACGCATATTGACGACATGCACGAGCATTCTTTCCAGTTTTTCACAGACGAATTTTGAATGAAACTTAAGCTGTAAAGAAGTAATATGATGTTAATATTATATATTGCTGGGTACAATACTGAATTCTATTGGACGAGTACACAACTGTACGCTCGATATCGTAGTCAACAATGTAAAACGACATCCTTGTTTCACACACTAACTTTTCATGGAGGAAACATTGAATTAAATAAAACACTCAAAATGAATGTTTTGTATTATATTAAACGTAACTCTAGTTATTTCGTGTAGATGTGTTAATGGGATATATTTTGTAAGGTGTGGATATTATAACAGATACCAAACGCTTGTCATTCGAAAGAAGACAGAATTGATTTCATCCCCGATCGACTGTGACTTACATTGATCATTCCACTAGCCTCTTTAATTTGTCATTATGATTTAACACAGGGCACCGCTCATTGTATATTGCTAATTTTCCGTTGTATCTTTCAGTATTTGAAAAGTGAGTGTATGTACCTTGTTCCAGGCAACAAAAATCACTTGATCAACCTCCCTGATCTATTCTACTCCTAATATCTTCTAACATGTATTGTTATACATGTATACAGTATAACATGTATTTAGAACACATTAAGTGCTCAGTGAACTCAGAACGGAAAGGGGACTAATGGCAGCGGTGGCCTAATGGTTAAGGTGTCTGTCTCTCAATCAAGGGATCATGGGTTCGAGTCCTGCTCGGATAACAACCTTGTCATACTTTGGCAAACTATTAACTCCGAGATATTTTTGTTCTGGGTCAGACTCTCGCTTCTCGCTTACAGAGATGAGATATTGCCCATACACAAAAGAGCACAATATCGTCAAAGCGCATGTAGTACAATTAGTTGGACTAGGTAACGACCATTCCTTATATGACGCCAGTACTGGTTAGTTCTACAGGAAGTGGGGTCGAATATAATAAATATAACTTGCAAGTACTTGTTTCGCAGTCGAGCTAAAAACAAATATGTTTTAAACTAAGACAGGGAAATACACATGTACATCAAGGCAAAAAGTGTTACTGTACTTTACAGTAATAAAGATATCAAAATTTACATCTTTGGTATTCTTTGGCACAAATGTTTCGTCATACCACAAGTTATTCATTTCCCTGGTAACATTTGCATCAAAGAATGAACAAATCTTGGAGGTATTCCAAGAGACTTGTCAAAGAGAAAAAGTTACAAACGTTGAAAATTTGAAGAAACAAGTAAACAATGCAGGAACATTTATGAGTTTTTGAGGGTGCCATAGTTACTCAATACAAATGTTATGAAAGACGGGAGTAAACAGATGTACATGTAATATTTTTTGAAATATAACGAAAATCTATTTTTCTTTATGCTCTTCCTTAGTTTTAAAGGCGCAAATCCAATTAAAAGTTTCTTGGCACTTACAAGTTCATTGATGATTTCGCTGAACACGTTGCAAATGTGGAGCTTAAGCAGACACGCATTCCTCAGAACACCAGAAGAACGCAAAATAATGGTCATAATGTTTACTTATTTAAAAAAAAAACCTGTTACCAAAACAGATTTACAATAACTTTTGAACAATTTAGAGCCAATTAGGGGGAAAATTTAATCGTGGACGAGAGTAAACTCAACAAACGCTTCGGAACTTTAATCCAGCGATTAACTTTGACCGGTGACCTTAGAATCAACTTGCCATGGGCAATGTTCCTACCAAGTCTCACAAACATATGCTTATTACTATTTCTTAAGTTTGTTATCGGACAAGGATTCCACACCGTCACCCTATCAATTTCTTACAACTTTCGGCTTATTCCTTGCTGTATACCAGGCGTCACTGGACCCGGCATTATAATCAACTGGTCATGTGCAATGTTTCACTACCTTTGGCTTATTCTTCAAGTTACTGAGCAATACTATGCCACTGTGACCTTGATCTCAAAATCAAAAGGGGTAATCTACTACGGACAAAGTCTCTACCAAGTTTCACAAACCTGTGCTTCTTTCTTCTAGACTGAGCGATTAAACTGCAACTAATATTAATCGTAGGAACTCGAGAACGGGACCGCAGATTGCGGCGTATATTTTCGACCGTGTAACGGTTTTTAAAAACGTTTCTGCTACATCTAAATATCTTTTAGTATTATCAGAGTATATGGCCTCAAATAATATATTATCAATTGAACCCAATAGGTCTCTTTTAAAACTTGTCAAATTTTACGGTATTAGATGGACGGACATACAATTTATATACCTTAATACGACCGATAACCTTTGTGCATGCAAGTAGAACTTTCAAAGTCAAAGAAGGTACACAGTGCGACAAAATACACCACCGTTTTGTAGGTTCAGTATGAACTATTAGTATACTGTAACATTACAAGCTCTTTATTCTCTATTTAGTACACTGAAGAAAACATGCAAGCAAGTTGGACACTGATGCTTCTTGAGAAGTAGGAATTTAATGCTGCTCTATGCTGGAATAAACCACGGCGTATATACAAGGTTGACGGTCCGGATTAGACCCCCTGTATATTTGAGAGTAAAACTTGTATATAATATATTTTCTTAGATATGACTTCACAAAGTTCAATCCTGGGTTATCATTTTATTTTCAGCAAAGTAACATGAACATTACAAACTACTTTGGATAAACAGAAAACTCAAATCATATAAAATCAACTTTTAATGACATGATTTCACGATACATAAATGTTTAAAACAATGAATAAAATGAAATGAAAATGCTTAGAAAAATGACCCTCTTACACTACATTATTCTGTATTTCAGAGTCAAGAGTAATTTAGACACACTCAACATCATCTTACAGGTAGTGTCACATCAATAACTTCTTATAATTCAGTACAAAAATCGTTATCTAATAATGCATAATATGAAAATGATAAAAAGATTTGGGCAGCAAACAATGCTAGGTGAAACTGCCATAGTAACATTTATTTAAGATTTGGAACTGCTTAAACAAAATTAAGCTATAGTTCAAAAACAAGGCTGCATAAGATCTATATGAGGGGCATAATGCTATTCTAATTAGAAAACATTCGAGATGTTTACCCCACCCACCCCGGCAAACCCTTATATCCCCACATTTCACAGTCTGAATTCCAAGCTGCAAATTTTGTCCCTCTTATTTAACACACTCTCAAAAGATTTGCTGCCTTTTCTGTACAATTGTCTTTTTTTATTACACATGGAATACATATTAACAACATCTAGTTGTGATTGTGAACAGCTCAGAATCTTGGTCCTGAAACAAATATATGTATATAAATTTACCAGGAGTTGCAACCAATATTCATATCTGCACAATAATTAAAATCAATTTTGTTTCATCTGACAATCTCTTTTACACAATAATTCAAAATATCAAAGGATTTTTATAATGATATAACATGGCATTATAACAGTATTATGAATACACTGACAATATTGAATCCTATAATTAAGCCACATGTTTTTTTTATTCATTCACTTTGTACGCCTTGCATGATTATCAGACAACTGCTAACTTAGAATAAATGAATGAACAATTCTACACCTAGTTTTCTAGGTTGTAATGTATAACAATATCACAATTATAGAACAATACCAGATAGCCAAGTATTAAAATCTTAAAAGTTTAACTAAATATTTAATGTTTCGAGTTTTATACCTTGTCCTCTCATCATTCCTGGGGGCGGTCCTCTCATGCCTGGGGGCGGACCTCCACCACGCCCACCCATCATACCTCCTCTCATCATACCTGAAATGTTATCATGTTGATAAAAGAATTTCCATTTCTTGAAATAACAAACAATAGCCGATTTTTCTTTAATAACAGGTTTAAATGCTTGTTTATACATTTTTAAAATAATTCAGATTCTACCAAACTAGAAATGTGTCATCATGCCACGGATGCCCCCGCATGCAGCCAAAATTTCAGATGGTGCATTAATTTTTTTTTTTCATTTTAAGTTCAAAGCCCTTAAAACTTTTCAATGTTAACACAAACCATTTCCATACAACGTTCAAGGCACTGAAATTATTCAGTCTTAACCTTTAGAAAAAGCATATTGCATATTTGTAGCCAAAATAATGGCTAAAAGAATGAGTGCTGAAACTGAAAGTTCAAAATTTTTCCAACATTCAGGAAAGATAAGTTTGTCTAAAATCATTGAACCATGACCAAATTCCAACTTAAACTGCTTATTCCTAAGATGTATCTATATTATTTTCAAAGTGAAAGGGACATAACTCTGCCAAAAATCCATCAAACCATGACCAAATTCCAACTTGACCTGCCCATTCCTTTGACATATCCATATGTCAAATTAAAATTGAATATGTAACACTGTTAGGTAGATAATGAACAGAAACTGTAAATTTCATATTATTTTCAAAGTGAAAGGGGCATAACTCTGCCAAAAATCATTGAACCATGACCAAATTTGAACTTGACCTGGGCATTCCAAAAACATATCCATATGTCAAATTTGAGTTGAATGTGTTGTACCATTGGGGAGATAATAAACGGAAACTGAAAATTTCATATTACTTTCAAAGTGAAAGGGGCATAACTCTGCCAAAAATCATTGAACCATGACCAAATTTGAACTTGACCTGCGCATTCCATTGACGCATCCATATGTCACGTTTGAGTTGAATGTGTTGTACCTTGAGGGAGATAATGAACGGAAACTGAAAATTTCATATTATTTTCAAAGTAAAAGGGGCATAACTCTGCCAAAAATCATCGAACCACAACCAAATTTGAACTTGACCTGCGCATTCCTTTGACGCATCAATATGTCACGTTTGAGTTGAATGTGTTGTACCTTGAGGGAGATAATGAACGGAAACTGAAAATTTAATATTATTTTCAAAGTGAAAGGGGCATAACTCTGCCAAAAATCATCGAACCATGACCAAATTCGAACTTGACCTGTATTTTCTCATGACATATCCATATGTCAAGTTTGAGTTGATTGTGTTGTACCGTTGGGGAGATAATGAACGGAAACTGAAAATTTCATATTATTTTCAAAGTAAAAGGGGCATAACTCTGCCAAAAATCATCGAACCATAACCAAATTCGAACTTGACCTGTATTTTCTCATAACATATCCATATGTCAAGTTTGAGTTGAATGTGTCCAACCGTTCTTGAGATAATGAACGGAAACTGAAATTTCATATTATTTTCAAAGTAAAAGGGGCATAACTCTGCCAAAAATCATCGAACCATGACCAAATTTGAACTTGACCTGTATTTTCTCATGACATATCCATATGTCAAATTTGAGTTGAATGTGCCCAACCGTTCTTAAGATAATGAACGGAAACTGATGATGACGGAATGACAGAATGACGGAAGGACGGAAGGACGGAAGGATGGAAGGACGGAAGGACGGAAGGACGGAATGACGGAACAGGGTAACACTATATGCCCCGGCCATTACATGGCGGGGGCATAATAAATCAAAGCACATCATCACTAGTGAAATTTTGTAGTCAACACATTTGTCCATTTTCCTGAAAATTGCACCTAACATCAACTTTAAGCTCATTTTTGTTTTTGTTTAATAAATTATAGCAATGAATGTGTATGCTCAGGCATCTATAAACTTCAACTCATTGCATGACACATTGAGGTGTTACTCTGGAAAAACATGGCTAATTAATTCCATATTATGGACATTGATATAGTGATGACTATGTTTTTAAAACATGGAGGAGATATATACAACACCTGCCAGATAATATATACATGAAATAATTGTTTTCCTTAGATTCAAAGGTGATACTAATACAGAATTAAAGTAACAACAAAACGGTGTTTGTTGCTAAAGATGAAAACTGGAATTCAATGCAAACTAAGAAAAAATAACACAATAAAAATCAATAAAAAAAACCAACAGAAAATATTTTAACAGAATGAACACTACAGACACAATCAGATCTTAATGATCAGGGCTCCAGCTAATTTTTTATGCAATTAGTTTTCAACTTCTTAATTTCTTAAGCAGTTAATTTTTTTTCTACCAGATTTCAAATTTAATTTTTTTTTTTGAATTTTGAGAGGCTCAGTTTTCCATGACAGAAGTAACATTTCTGTAATGTTTACTGTTAAGTCCACTATGATTAAAAGTTTCTTTTTACTAAAAACAATGATATTTGCAATCATCTTCGATGCAATTCCATGCTCAATTTTTTCATTTGACTTCTCCATTCTCTTTACAAAATTTAGCATGGAAGAAAATATGCTGTCATTTTTTTTTCCGCTAGTCCTCATTTCTTTCCAAAGTCTGACATTTTTACTTTTTTTTTACAAGGGGATGACACTAAAGCACATTTAATTGATGCGGTTAGTACTGCATTAGCGGTGTTACAGTACATTATCAGTTTGACAAAATATACTGCAGTACTGTAAACATTTATCATTTTTTATGACTGAAAAACTTTTTTCATATTCTGCAATAAGTATCAATTTTGGAATCTTATTCATTTTTTTTGAAAATCATTTTGTTTTCATTTTCGTTTTTAGAGGCTGAGGCATATCACTTTTCAGTAGATAAAGCCCTTTGATTTTGGGAAGAATTCAACAATACTCGACGATTCCTGCTTTATGCATTATGTTCTGGCATAAACCGCTGTTGTTTACTTTATATTAAATGCAGGTAATTCCCAAATAGAAAAAAATCTTTCAATTTCATTTAATCATCAAATTATTAAACAATCACTTCATGACTTATATCTAGTAATATATATGATAAAGGAGATTTTAAAAACAGAGAAGAATGTTATATTGCAGGGCCTTGCATCTCAATAGTCTGATTGCATCTGTTGTGTTGAAATAGGTTTACCTGCTGGCCTGAAAACCATGCCTAAATCAAACAACAAATATTTAAATATAACTGTTTGAGGAAAATGGTATGCTTCAAAAGGTTACTCACCAACATTATACCAACAATCCAGTAAAACTTATCCTTTATAACTTTCATGCTGAATTAGTGATATGAATATTCAACAATGTATTATGAAACATTCGATTTTGTTTACTATAAAGAAATAAAATATTCCTTGAAGTTTGAAATAACCCTTTATTTACCTCCTTGTGGATTCATCATTTGTTGTGAAGGTCCACCAACTCCTCTCACTGGACCTTGAAGGCCTGGGGCAGCCCCGCCAGGACCACTTTGTACACCTCTTCCTGCAGCACGACCTGCCCCAGACCCTGGTGCGGCTCCTGATAATGGCACTCTTGACATACCCTCCTACAATAATAAATAAATAATTATCTGCTTCATGTTGGCAAATTTTCACTTATCAAATTATAAAATAATTAAGTCATTTCTACACATACCTGGTTAGTTATTTAAATAAGACTGAAACATTCAATTTTTTCTCATGCCTTAAATACCTAATAACTAGTATGTGAACTTCACATTTCAGATTTTTATCATTATGCAAACTTTTTATATTTCATATACCCATTTGAATCATGATATTCACAATAAAGCAAACATTTACACACACAACAGCAATGTTCTAGGGACGGCAATAACAGGGTTCTCACTAGGACTTTAAAACATGGAGTCCATGGACTCCCAACCCTGAAAAAGTTGGAGTCCAAAAGCGCGTCGCAATTAATATGTTTACAGATTAGTCATTCAATGCTCACAATAGCATTGCTGATATTTTGAATCTTCAAGAGACTTCCAAAGTTTATAGTTATTCAAAAGAAACTCTGAACTACATAGTATAATTATTGTTTTGTTGTTAGTATTTATTATGAAATTATTTCATTATAATGCATCAACACATGGAAATCGTTTTTTTGTGTTTTTTTTTCACTTTTATACCAAATCAAATTTTATTCTGGTTAAATAAGTCCACTCTAAAGACAAAAAAAATTATATTTGTAAAAAAAAACGTAAATGTATAGGCAGCGTTTAGCGGAATGAATAGGAAAATCGTGTACAGCTTCACACAGTGTGTAAGAGATTCATCCGATCGACAATTATTTTAGCAAATATCTTCAAAAGGGGGCAAATTGAAGATCAATATTTAAAGATTTAATGTTGATTAAATAATAAAGGAACAATTCATTCGCATGTTTGGTTTGGAAACCGAGAATTTTTGCGAAATTTTAGGGTTTCTGGCGAACGTGAAATCGCCGATGTTCGGGATCATTTTCGGATAGAATCTAAATATCAAAGAAAAGCGTATGTGTATTTTGGTTTGTTGTCCTGGCATTTCGGCACAATATCTTAAATTCTTAATACTCTTATAGAAAGTTTTTGCAAGAATGAAACTAAAGCAAAATTGTGCCTAGAAAATGCCAAAAATATTCGACAATCATTCAAAATTACACTCATTTGTTATTTGAGAAAACAGTCTTTAAACTTGCGGCGTAAATAGTCGATAATTTTATCCTTTTGTCGGTAAAATTTGCTAATTTCCAATCAACTGTTGATCAAAGATATAAAATTATCACCTCGTGTTATATCTGGTAATTACATGTACTGTACAGCGCGTGTTTAACTATTGCGTGATAATGATCGGAAGCGCTATCGCTGATTGGCTTATCGCTTCACGGGTCGATGTGCATAGGACCGCCTACCTATAGACTGACACGCGCTGACGCATTTGTGTATTTGTGGTTGTAAACAATCGGTAATTTTATGCGTCCCCAGGCAAAATTGAGCGTACGTGGAATCCTTGCTCTGAAATATTTGCGTCCAGCTGTGATAAACATGCGTACCGGGACGCCGAAATAAGCGTCCCCGAGAACCCTGAATAAACACAAATTTTCTTAGATTCACTTACTTCAGACGGTGGTGGCCCTTCGACTGTCATTGAGACTAAGTGTTCCCCTCTCAACAAGACCAAACCCAAGCTTCTTTTCTCCTCTCTTTCCCCAGATTTGGCAGTCTTTGGCTTAACCTTTCTGAACTCATCGCAGTCCCCAAGTATAAGATTCATATGTTTGTCAAAAGCTGAAAAAATTGATAAAAATTCTTTTAATATTGAATAAAGATAATAAGATTTCAACTGAATATCATATCATATGATTCAATAAAATATCAAACTCAATTTGCATTAAATTTAAACAATAACTTATTTTAAAATAATTAGATAAATAAAAACAATATTTTTTTATTCGGAGTATTTGTCATTAAAAATTAACTGGATCTACACAGCAGCAAAAACTTTTAAAATGAAAAAATACGATGACTTTTAAACTTAAAGAATGTGCGAGCCAAAGTATATTCTGACACATAGCTTACCTTTGAAAGTTCCAACAAATGTTCTACCGTCTTGTAATGTACAGCGCATCCGGTAGTTGATGTGCTGCAGCATCTTGGAACTCTTCCCAACAACCTGAAACATATAACTGAACATCTTATAACCTTCAAATTTTACCCATGCTGGTAATTTCATGCATGGAGGGTGCCAGATGTGTCACATGCTATACAATGACTTGTTTAAGATGACGTAATTTCGCTATTATGAATAAAGTTGTAATTCCATACGCTGTTGTAAGAAAATTATAGTTACTGGTGTTATAACATGAATTACCATGGAAAATTGTATTACTAAGGTAAAAAATTTAAAATATGATGGAATAGAGTAGAATATGCAAGAAAAAATATCTAATATGTTTACAGTTTGTATCAGAATATCAGTCCCTCAAGAACCTGCCAATGTCATTGTTCCTGGGATAGAACTAAGAAGACCCTGATTCCTTCCAACAGAGCCAAGAATCATCCTTCAGGTCTAATTGATATAGAATTAAGTTTAGTGGACCCTAGTCCAATATATTAGACGTTACAGGCTTGTTATAGTTTGTGTCGGTCAAGCCTGACGTCTAATAGTTATTGCTCAAAAACGCATAGCATCATAAAAAATTCAAAAAATGTCTATTGTCTTGCCTTTCAAGCTTTATTCAAAAGCTTATCTTCTTTTCTTTCAATTTCATGCTCAATCATACACAAAAACTCTCAAACAGTGTACTTATCAATTTAAAATAAAATATAAACATCAATCTATTTTTGTCTATCAGCCATACTGGTTTAGCAAGGTGCTTTACAGATTGATTCCAAATTTTTGAACGGAAAAATATATTCGAACACACTGACATGTGCATGGGCAATTATTTTGTTAAAAAAATATTCCGTTAGATTGTTCTGACTCAGTTAAACGCTTGCATTTGAATTAGCCAATCAGATTTCGCGCACTTTATGGCCGCCATTTGTTTATCGGCTGTAAAAAGAATTGAAATACATGAGAGGATATAATCATGATTTTTCGGATGTGACAGTTAAATTATTTTGACAAAAGGTATTTATTTTTTAGTTTTGTTCATAAATAGGTCAAAACTAATGTAAATACACGCTGTCTTCATTGTTTTTCGTTCCGCCCGATTTTCTGGCGGAACATGCTATGGGTTTTTGAGCAATTTCGATATGACGTTGCTTTGCCCAGAAGCAAAAATATCTCAAAGCGACGTCATATTTATAGGACTAAGTGGACCCCTGAACTAATAACTTGACTTATTTACTTTAAAGAAAAAAAATGGATGAGGGGTGAAGTGTCTTACTGATTTTGGGGGGTGAAGTGTCTTAAGGGGTGAAGTGTCTTCAAAATTTGAGGGGTGAAGTGTCTTGCTACCAACTAATCAAGTGTGCATGCATACTATGTTGCTTAGTGCTAAATGTATATCGTGCTGTGTGTTATATAAATATGCAATGGGTAATGGTTAGAGGGTATTGCTTCTAATAAAAGGAGAGTGGGTGTTGTGCTCCTAATAAAGCAAGCATGCATTGTTTATCTTCTCAGATTCACTAAACTAAAAGTGCCCATTAGATATTATCATGATTTTTCTGAAATAGTTATTAATTCATTTTGGATAAGGTTACCAGCCATTTACCCCAAACAGAACATATCTAAGTAATTCAATTTCAAAATAGTTTGCTGTTAATTTTTTGGGTTGAAATGCCCGGGGACGAAACGTCAGAAAATTTCTTTATACTGAAAATTTCAACTTTTCTGGTACAGAAATGCAATGACGCACTGTATGCAATGTTAAGATAACACAACTTGACAAGAGGTCGTGCGTAAATGAGTAGCAGCATACATATACAAAAGAACAACATATAAAACTTCGGAAATAGAAATCTTGTTTAACATCCTTTAAACGCCGGTACAATTTTCTTCAACAGAGAAACTTATACGATAAATCAGTGTCAAAAATACTGCAGTAACGTGAAACTATAAAGAATGGGTGCTGATATGAATATATACTTGCCATCTTTTATGATTTACTGACGGCAGATTCCGTCGATTCAAATATTAGTCCACCGAAATCTTTGGTGGCGGTACGTCTTATTTTCGTTTCAGCAAAGCGCCACCTGTAAACAATACATGGTTAAAACTCGTAACCACACGGAACTCAATTGTCCGGAACTGAAGAAAAAGAAGCACAGTGACATATAGGTTAACTGTTTCATGATACAATAAACGTTTACAACTTAGATTTCTTTAATTGGATGAAAGAAAACGTTATTACCTATAAAATGACCCACATTAACAGCAGTAATACAGCCATATCAAATCAAAATTTATTTATTGTCAGTATAACATATAAACATATCAGGACAATGTATCTCGTGCGCACCACTTAATTATCTCGTGCGCACGACTTAGTAACTCGGGGACACGATATAGTATCTCGTTCGCACCACTGAATTATCTCGTAAGCACGACTTAGTAATTCGTGACCACGACATAGTGTTTCGTGCGCACGAGATAAACACACACACGTACGCATGTCACCTTTGTGCCACCGTAGAAAATACTCTAGCTTGACTGTTATTTGTTTTGTTTTCCTAGTCCACGCAGGTCTTAAAAAGTCACGTGGTATATTATTAAGAAAACAAACTGCACACAGAAACTTTTTAAAAATTCAATTGGAATTGGAAAGGCTGTCGTCAAGGGGTTCGACGAAAAAAAGCTTTCAACTTTCTATTTTTAGCTACTATTTACATATTTACAACTTTTGTATGATATATAAAGTGAACTGATACTGAATATAAGATCTAAGATTTATTCAGTTTCCGGCGTGAGCGAAACTTAATACCTATTCTATAAATGTTTTGTCGGTTTATTATGTAAATTTTTAATGTAAAATGAAACGACTTGTTCACATACGTACATGTACATTTATACATGTTAATATTATTCGATTACCACCATCTGTACAAATAAATTCTTCTTTTTTCGGATTAAACCCGAGTCAGATGTAGACATGCAATGTAAGTACACTATATAGACTAAATCTCATAATTACCCAGTTATTATTATTATTATCATCATTATTATCATTATTATCATTATTATTATTATTATTATTATTATTATTAAAGATGATGACGGTAATGTTGATGATGCTGATTAGAACGATAAAGAAAAAAAATGAATGAACTAAACATAAAATTTAACTCACTTAAAGTGGAAATAAGTGTACAAAAGAATAAACAAATTTTGAAAAATGGACCGCTGTAACTGTACTGAATAAAATGTCAATTCGATCATAATAAAGCTTTAAAAGGTATTGCATAGGAAATGGGACATAAAATGACTTATATCTCAGATTTACTTTAATATAATCATTATAATTAATGAAGTTCAAGAGGAAAAAGCAAAGGACTGACAGGACCATAGCTCCGAAACTAAAACCTTTATTGTATATTATTATTACAGCTTCTGATGAACGAGTAACAGCAGGCAGACGAGCAGCAAGGTTTAAAATTCTAGGATTTGCCGCCATATTTTGTGTTGCCGGAATTGGCTCAATCGTGGCTAGCGTTCTTGTTATGATAAAAGATAATGATATGGATGAAAAAGAAAAGAGAAAAGTTGAAATTGTGCAATATGGTGGAATTTGTGGGGGAGTTTTGGTAGGTATACATATTACACAGATCTCTACTGTATCATTCGTAACGTATAATTCAGTCTTAGGTACAAATGTGTATGCCCTAATTCATAAGACCGTAACTGAACAAAGAATATTTTTGTTTGTTTTTACTTCAGAGTACAATAGAGTATTCATCAGTTTTATCGTGTTTACGGATATCATTAAGCTGCTCATAACTAACTTTTCTTCCCTATGAAAAAAGAGAGAGAGAAAAGGCCGAACTGGGGGCAGATCTATCTTTAAGTCACTTATTCTTTAATCAATGTATCAATTTTCTTTAAAACTTTTCCTTTCAGGCGATGTGCAATGCTTTCCTCTTCACTTATGTCTTGATGAAAATACCTAATACGGACGGACTCAAACAGATGGTAATTATTCCATTACTGAAATTTACAATAATTCCTTACTTATTGTTGCGTTATTTAAATTCAATGTTGTATTGTGCACTATTAAATACATTGTAGTGTTAACATCTAAAAAATGCATAGTGGTAAAACGATATCTATTTGGTAAGTTTTTGAATATGCATGTAGATTATGTAACATACAGTGTAAATGTTGATTAATTGTGAGATAACATTTGCATCAAGATACTTTATTTTACAAGTAAACATCATAATCATACCAATCATAATATAGTAGGCATCATCTACCAAACATCATGCGAGTAAGCATCATAATTCTACAATCATAGACGTAAGCATCGTAATTCTATAAAAACATACACGCAAGCATAATAATTCTTCCAATTGTACGAAAAAGAAAAGAACAATTGGAAAGATAGTATTCACATATGCGTATTTAATTCTTCTTTAACAATTGCCTTTTACATTTCAGATGACAAAACAATGCTATGTTATAATAGCTTTATTGCTTCCGTATGTCGGTGGTACGGTTGGTATATATTTAGTTGCAAAACCATTCGAAGATGAAAAGTTACAAACCTTGTGCTATATAATCGCCGGAGGATTTGCAATCGTTGTTTTTTCAACGATTTCTTATTTACGTTTTATGTGGACATTTGCGCGAGCTTTTGGTGTGCAGTTGTGCAAAGGGATGGAAGACGCTTCACATAAACAATCCGGACGGAACGACAATACGGTGTACACAGTTGGGATGAGTTAGGGCTAACTTCTTGTTTCCTCATGTTATACCGGTACTAGTTATTTCAAAGAAGCTGAGTCGAGTGTGATATATATAAATTTTCCAAGATTTTGTTAGGAAATAAAGAATAAAGAATAAATTTCACATATCTTGTTCTTGCAAATTCGTATTGTATCTCCCAAACTGGAATATTTCCCGAGTTTTAACGCATGGGATTTCCCTTTTCACTTTCCTGATTGATAAATCTTTACTATTTTTAATAGTTTCAAAAAGATTGCTGCTTTTTGCTACGAGATTTTTTTTAGAAAACATGTATTTACGTATTACCAAGCATATAAATAATAAAAACAAATATGGAATTAAGACTTATAAGAAAAGAAAACATAAATATAATAATGCGTTATTTTTGTTCTACTGTTACCTTGAAAGGCATATTGACTAATTATCCCTCTTATCGGAGGGAGGACATACATGTACATAAAATAAAAGAAACAAACGCATATTCATCATACATGTAATCACTAACCAGTGTTTATTGGCAGTTTAACACTGGTGTTTTTTCTTCATGTTCTTTGTGTGTCGTGACAAAATCACGAAGTATGTTAGAATTTTGTTTTTGGAAATTTACCGCCAATTTACATCACGCACTCCCACAGCAAAACGATATAAATTCATTTATTTAGTGAAACAATAAAATATTCGTCGCTGAAGTTTCTGTCTTGTAATACAAGTGTCACTATGAGAATGCTAAGGAAAGTCAAACAAGTATTCATGATACAGAAGTTGATATGTACAATTTTTCTCAAATTAATTATGTACAGTAATATATATATATATCCGTATTGGTGAATAAATCAACAATGATTAAATAAAAGCCAATAATCTACATTCCAATCTATAAAGATGAAATGTATCTCCTAACTGCGTTTCAAAAAGAACAACATTTGTTTTTATCATAGTATTAAACAAACATGTACATTTTAAATTAGTATCTTTTCCATAAATTTATCAAATTATGTAAGCAAAATTGGTTGTTCTAAATGTAACTTTCTCTGAAACTATGTTCATATGTCACTGTTCGTTATATTGTTATTTTGGAAACACACGTTGCTCTAATGGGCAGGTTGACTTAATGAATATGAGAAATAAAAGCTTGAGTTTTATAATCTGCTAATATATATAACCATTAACCACACTTCCCATACACAGAACAAATGTTTCATCATTTAACAACACTAACTCTTGTGCAAATCAGAAGTAAACACACTGCATGCTGGAAGTGAAGGTTTCTTATTTCACTATTATATGTCAAAATTATTTTGTAGGACTCAATCGCTTGCCTTAACATCTCACCCATGTCCAATAAATTCACGATCCTTGCAAAAGAAGATTTTTTAAAACGGTACGGTATGGTACAGAAAATATTCCGTCTTTCGAGTGCATTCGGAATATTCGCCGATTATCATAAGGCACGAGAAGTTGCGTTTGGTACGAAGCCTGTCTATTTTCATATTTTGTGTTTTTCGGGTTTCACGTCAGAATTTGATATAATTCATTACAAAATGAGTCATTTTTGGGCAAACTGATCGTCATACTAAATTGTCCGATCAGAATAGCCCGTGTTAAAATCAACTTTTAACACGCAGTCGCTTCACACTATTCCCCTATCTGAACCGGTAGGCCTATTTCTGGCTTCCATAAGGCATAACTTTATATTTCGCTTTATTTTGACGTTGTGCGACAGTAACAGGTCTAGCAGTACTTTAAAACCTGTTCGTTGAAGTCTTTTTAGCTGCATTTTTTAAGAAACCCGGCATGTTATTGTTAGACATTGGAAATGGTTCTGTTTGTTTTTTGCAATCTCATGGATTAGGCTCCTATGTATATTTCAGAAGTAAAACTTAGTTATATATATAATACACTAAAGAAAACGGAATGAATCTTATATAATATGAAATTAGGTGTTACCTATGGCGTGGAAAGCTCCTCTTATGAATTATGATTTTAGAATAACATGTTTAGTGTACATGTAAACCAGATCTTTCTTGAAGGTATTTTGTACCAGAAACAACACAAATAAATTGGTGGTGTTCAACCTATCATCGGAGCGCTCGGAATATTCCGAAAATCTCCAAACATAAAGGGGGACCACTGCACATGCATCAGCCTTTGGAAAATCCCGTCCGCCATTTTTGTTAATCTCTAATCACAATTGTTGTTTTAACGTTATTTTTAATGTGCTTATAAAAGCTATCAAAAAGGATATGTTAAAGTAACTTTTTATATTTATAATTCTTATCGATGAAATGCAGGTTTATTTTCTGATTTTGTTTTCTTTCACCGGAAGTGTTACTTGGCATGCGTCTGGTAGCAATAGTCTGAATTATGTAGACGCTCATTAAAAGCGCTCTGATATCTATATTTAGCTCAAGAGGATTTCAAAATGGGGGCGCCCAGTTAACTAAGATGGATTTTTTGACAGCTCTATATATATTTTTTTAAAATTTTCATTTAGTTTGAATTTGATTTCAGTTGAATTGATATGCGTCGTACATGTTATCTAAGAGCGCTACAGCCCTCGCGGGGCCTTTGGCCCAGCTTGGACTTTCCGCGTATTATATTTCTGGTAAAAATGCTCCTGCACATAATACATGAAAGATGCTCCTGCACATAATACATGAAAGAAGGTGTTGCAGTATAAATAGACATAACATAAATTTCTATACTGCTTAACAATTACCCAGCTGGCTCTGGTTGAATCTACCCATGACAAGTGCAGACCAAGATCAGACAGCACAGCTGTGCCTTCTAATCATAATCGACACTGTTTGCTATTCTGGCTGTATTTTCTTAGAAATTTTCCTAAAATTGATCGATGGTTTCGTCCAGATTAAAAGATGGGCAAGTCCATTTAAGATATTTACTGTGGTAAGGGTTAATTCAAGACCTTACATCTGTTTTCTTATAAATTTACAACTCTGGGTGATTGCTGTTTTAAAGAATTGAATATGGCTCCTTTTTTTCAGAACATAAGCAAGACATAATAAATTGAAATTGACAAGATGAACAGGGGCAAGAAAAAGACCCAAGGAGGAAAGATTACAGTGGTGAATTGATTTATTACCTCAAAACTACTATTGATTTATTTGTTGAAATAAATAATTTAACATACAAATTTTATCCAGTTATTGAAAATCATTTGAACAACAAAGTTTATACAATATAGAATCATCTGAAATGACAAACATTTTATTTACTACAAAATTTTGTTACAGTGGTATGATTTTGTGAGTTATCTCTATGTTATAGGCGTCTACACTGGCATCCCTCACAAAGATGGAGAAACAAGTCAAAGAACAAAAGCTGAAAGAGGCTGAAGAAAAAGCAAAGGAGCCTGTTGAGAAACAGAAACTTGCTGATTTTACCAAATTTTATAAGGTACATACCAGGCATTTAAGCATGAGATATGCAATTATTTTTTATATGGGATTTAATCATAAATATTGTTTTCTCTATTTTAAGGCTGACAAGAGTTCATTTCTGTATGCCTTCTGGTTAGCAAAATAGGTAGAGCATTTGATTGTGAATTGGGAAACCCAGGTTTGATTCCCAGACATGGCAGGTCACTATTGTTGTGATTGATTATGAAATCCTTTTTACAGTCATTTGCACTGAACTTCTGCTCTGGCTTGTACAGAAGTTATCAGTTCTTTGTGAAAATAAAGGCTCTAGTACTTGTAAACTGCTATTCAGCCTGCCCAGGAACGATACAGTGGCTGAACTGTGCTCTGTTGAATTCAAAGTGGCTTAAACTTCAAAAACCACCATAATTTCTATATTGTGCATATGATATGAAGAGAATATAGATTTTTTCTGTTTTAAGTACAACTAATGGACCAAAAATAAGTCACCAAGTCACATATGGATCAAGTATAATTGTTTGTGTGAATTTTTCACTTTCATCAGTCTTTAAATGAGTAATTTGATTTGATGCACTCATTAAGTTGCAATGATTAAACACATCATGTAAATGTTTTATAGGAAATAGAGTTGGTACCAGAAAATGAGTGGAATGCATTCTTCAAGAAGATTACCAGTCCCCCTCCACTCACATTTAGACTGGTAGAGAGTTATAAACTGTGTCCATCCCATGTTGATACAGTACCAGGTGTACCAAGGTAAGTTTGCAAAACTGACCTCGGAATATAGGATTTAAGTGCAAAACTTACCTCATAATATAGGATTAAAGTGCAAAACTGACCTCAGAATATAATAATTAAGTGCAAAACTGACCTCAGAATGTAATATTTAAGTGCAAAACTCACCTCAAAATAAAGGATTTAAGTGCAAAACTGACCTCAGAATATAGAATTTAAGTGCAAAACTGACCTCAGAATATAGGATTTAAATGCGTAAAGTAATAACAGACAATGACAATTTTGATATACCCCGGTACAGTAAATATTTCAAAACCTTTACATTTGCATTGTTTTCATAAAAAGGCTTCTATTAAGTTCCAAAATTTGAAAGTCAGAGACTGCAAAATCTTTACCATTGGAAGTCACATTATAATAGGTAAAGAAGGAAAAGCATTACATTTTGGAAGTTACATGACTATATTGAGAAGTATGGTAAATGACACCCAAACTTCCACTACAGGTAGCCCTGACATATGCTATAGTTTGATTCAGTTTAAGCTAAACGTGTCTGTGTTATTTAACATACACAGATTATATATGAAAACAAAGTAAATAAAAACATTCCTTAACAAATAGTCAACTGCTCAAAATGGTGTAAAGATGGTTTTCACCATACTTCTTATTGTAAATTTACAGGCATTATTCTTTCTATCAAGAAATTTGATTATCAAGATATAAAAAATTATTTTAATGATTGCAGGCCAATCTGTATTGTTAATAAACTAATTAAGTGTATTGGTGATGTTAATTTGTTACAATCTAATAGCAACTGATGGATATTACCTTTAAAAAAAAATATTTAAAAATGCAAAGACAATAACATTTGACTGTTTAACTGTAAAGCAGCGTATTTAATACTTTTGAAAGATATACACGTAGAGTTTTGTAGATAAATCATTTTGACCTGGTAAAGAAAATAATGATTTGTTTGACGATTATTGTATTTTTGGTATTTTCAGTCAAGCCAGAGTATTGTCCCGATACGTTCAGAAGAAATACGCAGATACGATTAACAAGTTAACTCTCGGCAACAAGGTTCCTATCAAACTTGAAATACTACCATGGTAATGAAATTTCTTACAAATGAAATTGTTATAAAGTAAATTGTGTATATTTTTAGCAGGACTATTTTGAAGAATAGGGAGAGCTATTGTACTCATCCAGGCGTCTGTAACACACTTTGGTTAAGTTTTTGTCTGCAAGTTGGTATCTTCAAAACAGCTAAAGCGAATAAGTTGAATCTTCACTCACATATTTGGCAGCATAATAAGAGGTCACTCTCCAAGGCCTATAACTCAAGCATGAATTTCGACAGAATTATGGTTGACAGATAACAAACCAAAAAAAGATCCAATTTAATACAAAAATCAATGAACTGTTTGTTTATTAGACGATAAATTGCAGTTGATTTGAACTAGTTTGGGTATGAATATACTGTAGTTGCGCTTTTGTTGTTCTTCTATAGAAACCGTAAGATGGCGACTGGAAAGTGTGTATTCAATAAAAAATGGCTAATAAACTATCCATGGGTTGAAGAAAACTTACTTTATCATTAGTTACAAATGATATATTATATGTGCAACAAATTTTGCTTGAAAAATGGGAAAACTTGTTTTAAAAAGTGCTTGAATTTTGGCATTGGATGTCAGTATGAACCCTGACTCATAATTATGTCATATACAGTATTTTAATAAATATAATTTTCTGTTTTGTTAATGCCTACATTGTCCATGCTCTTGTTTAACTGTCAAGTACTGAGAATGGTTGAGTCCACTGTCCTACTGATAGCTCTCGTTTTTGTTGCCAATTTTATTGCTGGCAATTGATAATAGTCCTCTGCTACATTTTCTGTCAGGTATCCTAAAGAACTTGGTTGGACTTTGAATGTACCCTATGGAGAGACAGACAAATATCTTGGTCTGAAAGAATATGATGCTTTTATTCGCAGTGAAAAAAATCAGGTTAGAATATCTTAAGTCATATACCCTATAGTGCCTTTATTCTTCAGAAATGAATCAGTAAGTAACATAATAAAAAGTGCATTCTGAATGTAGTTATATAATATATGGACCAACTTGTCCAACGGAAAATTATTATGGTTACTAGTATTTGATTTGTAAAGTTGGCAGGTTGGCGAAAGCTGCCCTCTATGCATAACTTTTTCAATTTGAAGAACTTGAAATCAAACTTCAAAAATCAATCAGAATTATTGCTATAAAGTGCCCTTGGTGTATATTGTCTGGATTTATCACAGATTCAAAATTTATCATCATTTCATCCGAATTATTTGTTAATGGATAGTTCCAAAACTAGAAATTAAAAAAAGAAATTCATTGTTAAATAACTGTGTATAATTAGTCATTTTATTTAATAATTTAGTTTTTCAACACATTTTTTAGAGATTGTCTGTTGAATAAACTTAATGATTTTAAAGAAAAAGATTCATTTATTGTTAAATCTTTTATACTGAACTCTCATTGAATCAAAAATTACTTGTAAACAATACTTTTTGCACTATGTCACAGCATTATGATTGCAAAGTCAAAATGAAACAACTCTATACACTGAATTTTTTTTTGTACAATGTTTGATTTTGTTACAGAGGACATTACAAGGGCTAGAGTCATGGAGTATGTTCCCGCACATTTTGCTGGATGTTAAACCTCAATTTCGTGTGTTAGACATGTGCGCTGCACCGGGTTATATAGCCAGTCAAGTTGCTGAAGCTATGAACTCGGAACCACTTCAAAGTCAAAGTAAGAGCATTGCGCTAATTGACCTTGTGTATTTAAGTTATTTTTAACATTATTGTGACATCATCACTTTTATTACCATAGCAGCCAGCTATATATACCTACTTTTATGCAGTACGTTGAATCAGTCACAGATTTTCTTATCATAAATATCTCATGACGAACACATTTATTATTTTATAAGTCTAGTTTGCTCGAACAATTTATTTAGATGACACATGTAGCTGAATGTAGTCATTCTTTTTATTCATTTTTTTCCTTTAAAAAAAAGAGGAAACAAATAAACAAACTGTAAAAAAATCAATCAATATTGTTCTTTTGAATAGATGGACTTTTGATCTTGAATGACTTGTTTAAAGCCAAGGACAAGATGCATTACTCGTGGACACAAGGTGTTAAAGTGGTTTATTCATTCTTTGATGCTAAAACATATCCTGATTTTTTTACTTCTGACAAGGTAAGTAAGCATCTTCTCTTGCTTTGTGGAGCTTGCTTTCGTACTCAAGAGATTATTTCAAGATAAGCCTGGGGCTAATTTTTTCAGTGTGAAAGTACTCACAAGATACAGCTAAACTTTGTTTGAGGGCATTTGTGGCCGAGTGGATAAGGTCATTGACTTCAAACCACTTGCCCCTCGCCGCTGTGGGTTTGAATCCCGACAGGAACTTTGGATTCTTTTATGTGAGGAAGCTATCCAACTAGCTTACGGAACATAGGTGGTTCTACTCAGGTGCCTGTTCGTGCCTGAAATAATTCACGGAAGGGCACTTGAGGTTTACCTCCACCAGTAAAGCGTCGCTAAATGACCTATACTGTGTTTGTGTGACGTAAAACCAAATCAAACAAACTTTGTTTGCTTGAACTTGCCGACCAGTCCATTTTTCATTCGACCAATGTAAGCAGGAAAACCTTCAGGCCTATGTTATATGTAAAATATGATGATGTAATTTATGATAATACTTCAACCATGGTTGGCTCGAGCTTCTGATCTCTCGAACAAATTTGCACAGGCCCTCAGAATTGGAAGGAACGAAGTTTGACTGTATAAGTTTACAGACTGTAGGCTGTTAAAGCTTGGTCTGAAACTATGTGTAGGCTGACTTTTTAGGGGAGTTACGGGGGATACAACCCAAGATGTTTTTACTCTGGGTTGATAAAGGTGTATTTTGATGTATGTAGTACAATAAATATTTTCAAAGGATTATTAGATGTTGCAGGTAGTTAGATAAATTATCATTTTGACAAATAAATTTTTTTTTCTTTTTTCTCACTGTCTTGGGATATAGGAGGATATGCCCGTGATTGTCAGATTGGTGTTATTGATATTAAGGCCGTTGACTTCAAACCACTTGCCCCCTCACCGCTGTGGGTTCTAATCCTGTCAGGGACTTTGGATTCTTTCATGTGAGGAAGCTAGCCAGCTAGCTAACGGAACGTCAGTGGTTTTACTCAGGTGCCTGTTTGTGCCTGAATAATGCTCGGAAGGGCACCTGAGGTCTTCCTCCACCAGTAAAGCTGGAACGTCACCATATGACCTATACTGTGTCGGTGTGCAATCAAACAAACAAACAAACTCTCTTAATTATTTTTTGGAAAACAATTTATCATATTTTATCCATTGATATTTTTACTACATGTATATCATTTTTCCTGAAATATTTTATTTTCATAATAAAGTTTTGCTTTAGAATGATTTTTTCATATTTTGATTATCATATTTTGTATTGTAGCAGGTCATTCAAAATCAGCTGAAATTTGACAGGATAATATGTGATGTGAAATGCAGGTAAGCATTACATTCTCAACTTCTGTAAAGACTTTATTAATGTAGGAAGCTGTTTAATGAAGTCATAAAATGATTATCAAATTGACATTATATTCAATCAAATATGAATGGTGGGTGTATAGGTCAAAGTCAAGATGACTTAATTTTGCCATAATTGTTTTAAATTTTACAGTCTAGTTCATGTTTACAATCAATAACAGAATGATGTGATTCACAGAAAAGTGAAGTATCCTTCAGGATGTATGGTTAATGTTCATTTGATAAAAGAAATGGGGCAGTCTTTTTACATTTAAAGGGAGACACAGGCAAAATTTTCATTTTCTTAGTTTTGAATATTTCATTAATTATTCTGTAAATGCCCTCAAAATGAATATATTAGACAGTCAAAGGAACAAAACTTTTCTCCATATAAAGAATAAAATGGTGGTTTCCTAACTTGACCCGCGTGGGTCAGGTTAGAGCGCTAGCATTTCACAATAGTTGTCAAAGTGAACTCTGGAAACGTTAAAGAACATGTCAAATGAATGACTTAGGCTTGTTTCAATCATACAATATCCACAATATCTGTTATTGTAACTTCAAGGGTTTGTTCAAGTCACCTGACTTGTTTTAAAACTATTTGTTGATTCTATTGGCGTCTAAATTTTGTTCAGCATATATAGATATATTTACGCTTAAAACCCAAAATATATAGAATTTAAACAGAAATTCAAGCTGAAACTTCATGAAAAGTCATTTTAGCGTGATTTGAGTACATAAGATCATTTTAATATTTTTGTCATTATTTTGCCTGAATATCCCTTTAAGACAGTTTTAACATTTCTTATGATCAATTATCGGTCAATGACCATGTTAATAATTATGTCACTTTAAAAAAAGTTCATAAAACCACACAATAACTGCATACACATGTATATAAAACTCACTTTTATAAATTTTGAAAAATTTAAAAATTTAAAAAATATAATTTCAATTGTTGTGATGGTGATATATAATAGAATATATTTTCTTATAGTGTTGATGGAACAATGAGGAAGAACGTAAGTGTCCAGGAGACGTGGACACCCAGGGCAGCTTTAACCTTTCATAAGTGAGTGTTGTATTCTTTATTAATTTACTTCACTATTTCAAGAATATTATGGCTGTCCTACTTTAACCTTTGTATTTGTTTGACTATTATATATGTATTGCATGCAATGTATCTCTTTAGTCACAGAAAATAATGTCTTAAAAGTTAGGATAGTAAATTGGATATTATTATTATTTCATGCCTTGCCCTTGTCACATGGATGTCCGCTCTATAAATCCTATACCCCTTACCACAACATGGCTCACATGTCAGTCTGAACAATGCAATATGCAGAACCCATGCGACCCTTGTGCCAACTTAAAGTCAACTTGGATTTTAGATTTAAGAGAACCAATTATCAGAAATTCTGTGTCTGCTTTATAAATTTCTGTACCCTTTAAAAGACTCTTCAAACTTGGCTCAAATGTCCATCTGAACAATGCAATGTGCAGAGCCTATGCCACACTTGTGCCAGCTAAGGCTTGCTTTTAAATTTTAAATGTCAGAAAGCCTATTATTTGAAATTTCATTCCACTCTATAAATACTATAACATTCATATAATGTTCATCTTGGCAAAACAGTGTGCATGACTCAAAGTTAAAATAGTAAAATTAAACAGGTAGCAGTTAAGAATCTTCGAAACTGCATGGAAGTGATCTGTGGCCTGACATAGGTTGGACATATACAGTGGGTTTATGTGATATACAAAATCTTATTCAAAAATCAAAACTTACTTCATTTTTCCAGTGATCAAAAGGCAATATTAAGAAGAGCTCTTGAACTGGTCAAGGTTAAAGGTCGTGTACTGTACTCTACAACTTCCTTAAATCCAATTGAAAATGAGGCTGTAGTCATGGCAATGATCAAAGAAGCTCAAGGTATGTATATATCCATAAATTTGTTAAAACGTTTTTTATTTGATGATGAAATCAGAAAAGTGGTATTTGAAAGTAAACAGTAAGAACTACTTTCATATGAGAACTTCTGTGACCCGGTGTCGCATGATAATCACACGGAATGTATTTACTATAAGCAGGTTTAGTTATTGCTAGCCTTTTGTAACTTACTTGTAAACATAAACGGCTTGAATTTTTGTCATGAAATTAAGACCGATTCATGAGTCGAAGTCCTGGTGAGTTGAAGTTTTTACACAAGTCCCTTCAACCTCAACTTACTGAAGTTCTACTGTACTAATATAATTCATGCTTAGATACGGACAGATATTGCAAGATATCTATGGATATTTATACTTGCAATGAAAGAGCTTTAGAATCCTTTGGTGACACTGTTATAAAAGCTAAAATTAATTACATTTGTTGAAACAAAATGGCAGTTAAGCTTTGTCAAATTTGGTTTTGGTAACTTTGGTTTTGGTTTGTACTTGTTGCCTCAGATAATCAATTGCTTCCAGTAGGCTTAAGTTTAAGAACATTTGATTGTTGGTCGATGAAATGATTGTGAAATCTGCATTGCAGATGTATGCTTATTATGATATAAAATTTTCAGGTACAGTAGAACTGTTTGATGCAAGGAAATTAGTGAAAGATTTCAAAATTCGACCTGGAATGACCACATGGAAGGTAAGTGCATTGATTTTATGAAGAGTTTCGAAAAAATATGTAGACAAAAATACAATTTCAATTGTATGTGTGTACTATGCATTGTATGACCATAATTTGAATAAATGAATAACAGGTGTTTTAGAAATCTTTGTTGAAGGATCTATGATCATCATTAGGTGACATGTTGGGACGATATGATGATAATTGCAATAATAGGTGTGACGTGTTTATGATTTAAAATATTGTTATGTGCAATCTTTCAACAGTATCTTATTGACTGTGATCAGGACATAGAAATTAGAGTATTGAAGTAGCTCATTAAAATGCCATATGGTATATAAGAAGAATGCATTCCTGCTTTTTTTTGGTGCAGATTTTATTTTCAGTACAAAACAAAGGAACAAAAATGAAAATAGCATCTTATTGTTGTATTCATTTGCAAATAATTGGGTCAATAGTCATTAATGTTTTAAGTGAAAATTTAGACCTGTTAATATGGATACTCTGTGTATTCCATTTTTGTAAAAAAAAATAAACATTGTGATGAAACTTGGCAGATTTTATATACCGTATCTTGTAAATGTCATTTAGATCAATTTATGTCAAACAAAATATAACAGAAATGAATGTTGAGCATTTTTTGAAGACTCAGACTTGAAATGTTAATGATTATTTGGCCTGGTATTGTTTTCAAATCATTAAAGGGTATAAAGCTATTCTAGGCTGTCTGTATTCAAAACAATATAGAGTCCAATATAGATTTCTGTATTGGACTGTTAAGTTTTTATTGGCCTTTTCATGCATTGTCATTGATAAAAGTCGGTAAACCACAAAAGTATCCATATTAATTCTACTAAGAGTGTTGCATGCATCTTGCAACATCAAAAACATAACAATATAAAAATGCATTTCCTAAATATAATTTGGATATCACTAGTTAAAACTTTATACTCTTTGATATATGTTAAGATTTGAATATAGATTTCAGTTATTGAAAAAGAGATCAACAAATTGCTGATGGCCAATTTAATGATGTATATAACATAATCTTTTATTAGGTAAAATGCAGCTGGAAATTCAAAGACTGGGAGTCATCAAAATGTGTTTAAAAGCAGTTTAACTGTTTTACATACTCCTCTCAGGACATAGTTTGTCCGTATGTGTGCCCAATATGACCTTCATTTTGTCCAAACTTGATATCCATTTGATTGCCATTTTAAAATGCTGTGCCAACAATGTGGTGCCAATATTTGCCCTGGTTTTGAGCCATTACAGCTGGTCCTGATGAACTTTTCGTTTGATATACCATTATAATTTTTCCCAAGCCATTCTGATGCCCTGCCATTCCAAGACTCTCATAAAGTATAATAAAAATATTGGCCTGATGTACTTAAGTCAGGGGTTATGAACCCCCCCTGCCAACCCCCCCCCCCACCCAAAAAAAATAACAAAATTCCTTCACAACTGCAGCAATAGAAATAATCTTAAGCAGATTTTTTATCTAATGTATGGAAACAAAGCATCTTAACAACAACATGTCTATTCGTGTTCATTTCTTTTATTTTTCCACATGATTTGTTGGACAGCATTTCTCCCCCAAATGTCCTTGTCATTTTGTATTTCACCCTCCATCGTCCCTAGAAAATTAATATAGCCCAGTATGTATGGATAGAAACAAACAGGCAATAGGATGGCAGATCTAACAGCAGAACAAGGTGAGAATAGAGTGATTAAAATCCCACAAAACCTGTTGAATATTCTTGGAAGAAATGCTTATTATTCGAGGGTGTTTAAAGGTGTTCATATAAAGTTAAAGTAAGCTAGATTTTCGGAGAATAAGACAGGTGTACCTTCTTGTGAAAGCTTCTGAAGTAGACATGGATTATTTAGACCATTTAAAATTGTATCACAAGTTAATAAAGTTTGTCAAATAAGCTCTGGGGAGCATTAGATTGATGGAACACTGATTTACAAGCTCTATGTGAGACTTACAAAACTTCAAACCATAAATTTTTTCTTGTGTAAAATAATTGTGGATGCCAAATTACTGTGCAGCTCTAGGCCATTCAGACTGTAATTTAGCAAATATAGGTAGCCCTATTCAACATTGTGTTATTAATAAGATAAGGTCATCATGATTGAATATTGCAGACTGACTCTTAAGAATGATAGTGTCTCTGCATTTGTTACTTAAACAAACCTGCAAGTTTAGGGGGAAGCTTTTAAAATGGTGAATGACAAGTATCCATTATCTATAAGGATTGTCAACCATACAACAAGTGACTTAATTTACTTACTACGTAGAACTGTTCAGCATAAGTCCACTTGTACCAACTATTTTTAGGTCTAGTTTTCAGCGATGTAGGACCAGTAATTTGTCAATGTTGCCATTCAACGCCCCAAAAGAAAACAAGATCACAAGGGTCACAACCCTTTTTATATGGGCCACTTCAACTGAAAGTGGAAAAAATCAGTATTGCAACTGCTGACAGACCAATAGATATACTGTACAGTATATTGTGGGTATATATTACCCTTGAATGGTCTTTCCTTTGTGTTGCTTACCAATTTACCTTTGCCCCATTTTTTCCCCTACAAACCAACAAATGGCTGAACACTAAACATTATAGAATTGATTTTAATATGGTTTTATCTCAGGTAGAACAGCTCAAAAAGCTTAAAATCTGCCCTCAAAGTTAAAGTCCCATCAATAGATAATGACCAATATCATATAATCTTTTGAAGAGCCTGTATCAAGCACCCTTATTTAAGCCATGTTAGCCCCTTTGATGGCCCACCACAGCTAAAAGAAGAACTTTTCAACATTATTTAGTTGGTGGATTGCTGTATAGAAATAAGTATATGAGTGGCTTCTTATCATGAATATACATTTCTTGCATATCCGACTGGTTTTTAGTCCCCTACCGGTTTAACCGGAGGGGACTTTAGGTTTACCGTCCGTCTGTCCGTCCGTCTGTCTGTCCGTCCGTCCGTCTGTCTGTCAGTCCGAGCCAACATTTGATTATTATGAGCTTCATTCCGTAGTTAAATAAAGAACATAAACTCATAAAATTTAAAATTAAGAGCTATTTTTTGTTTTTATGAGCTTATTTTGCTTATGGACGTTGGTCCAGGTGGTGTTTATGAGCTCATTTGCCTCATAAACATCAAATTTTGGTAAGTCCGTCAGTCCGTCCGTCCACAAAACTGGATCCCGCGATAACGCAAAAAGTACTGAAAATATTTTTATAAATCTTGATATATGGATAGATGGCAGTATGGAGATTATGCACGTCTTTTTTTTTTCTTCCTATGTTGAAAATTCTGGTTGCTATGGCAACAAATAGTCTGAAAATATGGCAAATTTTAACACATAAACTGGATCCAGTGATAACTCAAAAAGTACTGAAAATATTTTTATGAAACTTGAAATATGGGTAGATGGCAGTCTGGAGATTATGCACATCTTTTTCTTTTCTTCCTATGTTGAAAATTCTGGTTGCTATGGCAACAAATAGCCTGAATTTCAAAAAATTTCAGCTTTTTCACTATAAGTTCTTTATTTCTTAAGGTGTTTACTTCAAACTTTAAATATAAGTTTCTAGTCATCAACCACATCATATGTGACAAGGTTTACAACTCTAGCACAAAAATTATCAGTATTACCTCCCTTGAACTTAGAATTTTGATGGAAAAAAAATGTTGTCTTTTTTAAATAACTTCTTTATTTCCTAATGTATCTACTTCAAACTTCATATATATGTTTCTTTTTATCACTCAACATTTTTGAGAAGGTTAAATACTCTAGCAAGACTATTTCCAGAATTATGTCCCCCTTGAACTTAGATTTTTTTTGAGAAATTGGTATTTTTCACTCCAACTTCTTCATTCCTTATAGGATTTACTTTAAAATCCCACATCGTAATAATATGACAAGGTTGTATAAACATAATTTCCTTACTAGGCAGGGAAACTTAACACATTACTGTGATATAGACAAACTTAGAACTCAAAAGATTTAAGTTCATTCATGTCATTCATTCACTGGTAAAATTGACTGGCCAATGGCCCATCAGAAAGTTGCTGGGGTTCTAACCGGTAGGGGACTTATGGATTGCTTGCAATACTATGATAATTGCTTGTTACCATTTGTTTTACCCATGCCAGGAAATTTCATCTGGCATGGACTGTGCCAGATGAGAGGCATGCTATGCAATGGCGTCACTGGTCTTGCCAATATATTATTTGTACTGATGGGTCTTCACCAAACTTTATCTTTACCAGCATGGTCCTTTCATAAATCTTTAAATGATGCATTCAGTTTATATTCTTTTTATGTTCACCATAGCTTCCATCTTATTTTGAAACATTTTTGGTTAGCTCTTTTATTATAGATAAATAAGAATGAAATTTCTGTAAATGTTAAAAAGTATTTTTCACCCGATCTTAAATGTGCAGCTGTTCTCAGCAAATTGCTTATTTATATTACATATTTTGTATTGTATGAACAATTCATATCATAGAAAGTTGATACCTTCAGGTGATGACAGAGGATGGAATTTTCCTCGAGAAACTTACTGACGCAAATGAAGCATTCACACAAGAATTTCCAGAAAGTGTTTTCCCACCACCAATCAAAGAAGTTATGGCTTACCATATGGAGAGATGGTAATTTGATATGTTAAACTTTATGAAAAATAAGTTTAGAGTTAATTTATTTTTCAGTTAAACCATTTAACCTGTAAAGCAGCATGCCTCCTGATTCATTCAAATTTCATGAATATTTTTCATGGTATAAAAATGTTTTAATAAGTAAAATATTGTCATTTGAACCAAGGAAGTAATTTACACATTGAAAATATTGCAATTAGAATCTATGAAAATTACCAAGATAGGTCAAAATATGCAAAAAATAGCCCTTATTTAGTTAGTCTCACAGTAGAAATATGGTGTATAATATTGCAACATCAGTCATTAATTGCATATTACATGTTAATTTTTCTTGAATTGTGAACATTTTAACCTTTCCCTAAAATCTTATTACATTTTCCACAAGGTTGATATTCGTGAAATATTTTGGCTCATCTGGAGGCATACAGCTTAAACCTGTAGTAATTGTTTTGTCCTGCTATGCCGTTGTAATTTAAAGGGATTTCAATAACAAAATACAAAAATTTAGCTGTCAACAGTATAGTGCCTAGACTGTGCAGATGTGCATCAAGCCTGGCTCGATACTTGTGGCAACGACTAATCCCTCTCAAGTTTCATCAGGATATGTACAGTTTAAGACAGACAGAGCTGATGACATACAGCAGTTTGACCTGGGAAGAGTTAGTGAGGTCATCCTTAAGTGATGCCAGAAAACAGACAGTATCTGTGCGACTAAAAACCACCACAAACCAACTGCTTAGTAAAATTTCAAGAAAAGCACAATACTACTAAATACCAGGAAATGAAGGGTTTTGTGATGTAAAGAATGAATTTTTGTTCATTTGTAAAGGAAAATGCTGTTCAAGAATAAATGTTTTACAAATTTTTAAAGGAAAATTTTCTGTTTTCAGTGTGAGAGTTTTACCCCATGACAATGACACAGCCGGTTTCTTCTGCGCTGTTCTTGTTAAGTCATCAGAACTACCTTGGATTAGAGGTATATTTCAGATTTGTATTTCTGAAAACTGGTATCATTTGGTTCTCTTAAGTCAGTATATAGGCATAATTGTTATTGTTCAATAGGTTTTGTTCCTTAATTGGTATAAATGCACTTTTGACATTGCTGTTTATACCCTTGTTATATGGATTATCGCATATAATTAATTGACTGAGAATCTGTATATTATATGGATACTCCTCTTCCTGGACTACTCAACTGCTTGATAACTGTAGACTATATGGCTAGAGATTCTTAGAATCATAAGATGATCTTACATGTTGTGTTAACTTTGTGAGCCAGTGGTTCCAAATTTTCAATCTAAAACATTCCTCAAGACTAGATTTGATTGATGTCACTTTGCCATTCAATAAGGAACTATACTTTCAAATGATGATGTATTTGTAATCACTTTGATGTTATCATATGATTTGTTGAATCTCTATCAATACTCATGTATATTTGGTCATTGTCAAACTGAGTGTATGTGTAGAGAAAAGGATAGTGTCACTTTTGGATTTCTATAAACAGATTTTCAATTATTTTATATTTTGTTTTACTGAAATGTTTAATCATCACACATATTCAATATGGTACAAACTTGGGAGAGGAACACTCTTTAGGAGACACTGAATTTGATTGTTGCTTAAAGGTGCCATTCTGGAGAGGTTAAATTCATTGGCAAGTCTTAGTTTGTGAAAAATTGATACTATTGTTGTATAGAAGTTATTGGCCTATAGAGGACCACTCTACCGAAGGAAACACTGTATTTTTGATCTTCATTTTCAGCTAAGATCATAGAAGAGATGAAAAACCAGAGATCACAACCAGAGCCGCCCGAGGCACCAAAAGAACGGCAGTACGGTTACAAGATTAAACTGAAATGTCAGGTGGCACCTACCGAGATTGAATGGACAACCGAAACAACTGATGCCAGACTTAACACCACCAGTAAAGTTAGAATTGAAAAGTTTGATCTGCTACGACAGGAAATGGATCCATCGTAAGTGATGTTTACTTTTGGAATTCAGCTTTTGTTAGAGCACTTGCAAAAATCATGATCACAAAATAGGAAAATATCGCTATTTTTGCTGATTCTTACATTTTTCATTCATTAATGTATATTAATCAATGAGAAGAGATTATTTAGATGCTTTAAAGTGCATTTTGTTTGGTGAAAAGACAGGATTTTAGCATTTGATCATTCAAGTGCCTTGTCTGGTATATACCGCAATACGGTATTTAGTGTGGTGCTCAAAAACATGTTTCAGTCTCTCTCTTACTTTTCTTGTTTGTTAACAATCTTATTCTTATGTTGGAACATTACTTAGAAATTAAATGAGAAGATTTTTAGCTGGACTATGGGATAAGAAAAAGTAGAGCTATTGTAGTCACCGGAGCGTCGGCGTAACCACTTATGTTAAAGTTTTTGTAATACCTCAAATATTTTCAAAGTCCATTGACATATGGCTTTGAAACTTTACACAGTTGTTCACCATCATGACCCCAACCTGTAGACAGGAGGAGGTAACTATATCAAGCATTTTGACAGAATTATGCCCCTTTTTCGACTTAGAATTTACATTAAAGTTTTTGTAATACCTCAAATATTTTCAAAGTCCATTGACATATGGCTTTGAAACTTTGCACACTTGTTAATTATCATGACCCCAATCTGTAGACAGGAGGAGGTAACTGTATCAAGCATTTTGACAGAACTATGCCACTTTTTAGCTCGACTATTCGCAGAATAATCGAGCTAATGCAGTCACCCATTTGTCGGCGTCGGCGTCCCTGTGGTTAAGTTTTTGTATGTAAGCTGGTATCTCCATAACTACTGAAGGGAATGGATTGAAACTTCACACACTTGTTCTCTGTGATTATCTAAGATGATTGGCACAAGTCCCATAACTCTGAATTGTTTTATTTCATAATTATGCCCCTTTTTCGACTTAGAAAATCTTGGTTAAGTTTTTGTATGTAAGCTGGTATCTCCATAACTACTGAAGGGAATGGATTGAAACTTCACACACTTGTTCTCTGTGATTATCTAAGATGATTGGCACAAGTCCCATAACTCTGATTTGCTTTTTTTCAAAATTATGCCCCTTTTTCGACTTAGAAATTCTTGGTTAAGTTTTTGTATGTAAGCTGGTATCTCCATAACTACTGAAGGGAATGGATTGAAACTTCACACACTTGTTCTCTGTGATTTTCTAAGATGATTGGCACAAGTCCCATAACTCTGGTTTGCTTTTTTTCATAATTATGCCCCTTTTTCGACTTAGAAATTCTTAGTTAAGTTTGTGTATGTAAGCTGTTATCTCCATAACTACTGAAGGGAATTGATTGAAACTTCACACACTTGTTCTCTGTGTTTATCTAAGACAATTGGCACAAGTACCATAACTCTGATTTGCTTTTTTACATAATTATGCCTCTTTTTCGACTCAGTAATTCTTGGTTAAGTTTTTGCGTGTAAGCTGGTATCTCCATAACTACTGAAGGGAATGGATTGAAACTTCACACACTTGAACTCTGTGATTATCTAAGATAATTGGCACAAGTCCCATAACTCTGATTTGCTTTTTTACATAATTATGCCCCTTTTTTGACTTAGAAATTCTTGGTTAAGTTTTTGCATGTAAGATGGTATCTCCATAACTACTGAAGGGAATGGATTGAAACTTCACACACTTGTTCTCTCTGATTATCTTAGATGATTGGCACAAGTCCCATAACTCGGATTTGCTTTTCAACATAATTATGCCCCTTTTTCGACTTAGAAATTTTTGGTTAAGTTTTTGCGTGTAAGCTGGTATCTCCATAACTACTGAAGGGAATGGATTGAAACTTCACACACTTGGTCTCTGTGATTATCTAAGGTGATTGGTACAAGTCCCATAACTCTGAATTGTTTTATTTCATAATTATGCCCCTTTTTCGACTTAGAAAATCTTGGTTAAGTTTTTGTATGTAAGCTTGTATCTCCATAACTACTGAAGGGAATGTATTGAAACTTGAAGAGTTTGTACCTTTTCGGACAATTTTATGTATTCATATAGGTAAGCATTATTATACTCAATGAAACACCCTTGTGACAAATTTTAGAATAGTCGAGCTTTACTGTCCTCCGACAGTTCTTGTTTGACTTAGAATTTACGTTAATGTTTTTGTAATACCTCAAATTTTCAAAGTCCATTGACATATGGCTTTGAAACAAGTTGAAATTTTATACTCCTTTGAGAGCATAATAGGACTCTCTCCAAGGCCTATATTTAAAGAAAAATTTTGCCCTTTTGTTAACTTTGAAAATTATACATTATCAAGGCTTTTCTACTATCAAGCACGAAGAAAAGTTGAGCGCTGCTGTCCTACTGACAGCTCTTGTTTAATTAATTTTTTTTGTAGTTATAATTGATCTACATGTACAGTCAAATCTGCTTTAAAGACCACCTTGTATGTAAAGGACACCTTTCACCACTATTAATTCATTGAATATAACAGAGTAACCGCCAATTAAAGACCACTTGTCTACAAAGCCATGTTTAGTCTCTACCTTGGATGACCTTTGTTCACATGTTTGACTGTATGTATTAAAGAAACATGCCCTCAGATGTGTGCTCATCATAAATACAATAATAGAGAAGTTTTTATTTGTTTTGTTTATGAGTTATTTTGGGTGATGATTTCAGGTGTAAACCTAAACAGTTGATACCTGAAGTAGAGCATAACTTCATGTTCTGTGAGAAAACCACAGAGGAATGGTTGAAAATCAAGTAAGTGTTTTAGATATCATAAGTACTATCTTCACATGATTGAGCTTTAGTAGCCATTATAATGGATGTACAGATAAATGTAAGTGCATGTGAAAAAGATCTACATGTACTTTATATTCACTGATTGAAAACCATAGTTGGTGCAGAGAGCTTAGTGCAAAAATACTTGCCTTATAGAGTTACGTTGTACCCAAACCTAAATTTGGGACTTGACCAAAAACTAACAGAGGAAGATGGTAATAAAAATGTTGTTTAGATTAGTAGCCTGTTAAACAGGCTATGATATCAACAGAAAATAAACCTCACATTGAAATACAAAAGTTATACAAAATAATGTTTGATTTTATATGTATTTCATGCAGGGGCGTCCTTGGCCAAGTGGTTAAGGTCATTGACTTCAAACCACTTGCCCCTCACTGCTGTGGGTTCGAATCCTGACAGTGACTTTGGATTCTTTCATGTGAAGAAGCTATCCAGCTAGCTTACGGAACATCGGTGGTTCTACTGAAATAATGCACGGAAGGGCACCTGAGGTCTTCCTCCACCAGTAAAGCTGGAACGTCACGATATGACCTATACTGTGTCGATGTGATGTAAACCCCCACCCCTCCCCCCCAAAAAATAATAAAAATTATATGTATTTCATAATTTGATTACATTGATTAACATGCAAAGAGGTAACTAAAGGGTCATTAGAAATACATTGATCTTAAGAATATGGTGCTTTTGAATTATAAATATTGATCTTTTTATCTTGACTTGAAGGAGAATCAGGAGAGCTATTGTACTTGTCCAGGGTCGGGATTGCAGTGACTTTTTTCCAATGAAGCTCTTTAGAGTTAAATATCCCTATTGACCTTAATGTAGAAAGAGATAAAATAAAATAAAATCTCTTTTTATTATGATTATATTTTATGTTTTCTTTTCAGGGAATTCTTTAAAATCTCCGATGATTTTGATCCAACAAATCTGGTGATGCGACATAATAAAACAACATTCTTTCAGACTTGTCCAATGGTTAAGACACTTGTTAGATATAACAGGGAAAAAGCCGATAGCAATGTAAGAATTCTTATACAGTATTGTCTATTCTTTCATAGGCTTAGTTCAGAATAACTAAATGTACAAATAAAACATATTTTGGAACAAGTTCTTTTGATTGAAGAGTATTGAATGATTAAATTCAAATTGAAACATGTAACATTGAAATAGCTATTTTGATTGTTTTATGAGACCTTTACATATCACCAGCAAGATAACAAAGTCTATGCCACCATATGATTCCAAACCAACATACACAGCTTCAGACCAGGCCATTCAGATTCAGATTTAGAATTTTGATATTGAAATCTCTACAAATGGACTATTGAACAAATTCAAAGGAAGACTAGTCCATTTCAAAAGTGAAGCAAAATCAACACTATACAAATGTAATGTAGGTAATCAATGTAATGCAGGTAATCAATGTAATGTAGGTAATCAATGTAATGTAGGTAATTAATGTCAGGCAGGTAATCAATGAAATGTAGGTAATCATTGTCATGTAGGTAATTAATGTCAGGCAGGTAATCAATGTCAGGTAGGTAATCAATGTAATGTAGGTAATCAATGTAATGAAGGTAATCATTGTAATGTATGTAATCAATGTCAGGCAGGTAATCAATGTCAGGTAGGTAATCAATGTAATGTAGGTAATCAATGTTATGTATGTAATCAATGTCAGGCAGGTAATCAATGTCAGGTAGGTAATCAATGTAATGTAGGTAATCAATGTAATGTAGGTAATCAATGTAATGTAGGTAATATTATGTAGCTATAGCCCTACCAACAACAGTTAGAAGACATGTAGTACAACAAACAAAACCACATCCTTTCCCCAGATATTTTTCCACTGGAATAACGAATTCTTCCCTGAAGTATAGCTAAAAATATCTTATGTAAAGAGTGAAAATGGCAATTTTACAGGTGGCCTGACGATCAAATTAAAAATGTTGCATGGTCAGTTTGATTGCTCCTATTGAGTAACACTTAAAAAAGTGTTAGAGCCCCAGACTAAATTCCGTATACCGATATATACCAGACAAGGCAATTGAATGATTAAATGCTAAAATCTTGTCTTTTCACCTGCCGAAATGCACTTAAAGAAGTCTGTTATAATTTATCTGTTCAGATCAAAATGTGTACAATCATGAATGAAAAATGTAAGGATAAGCGAAAAAAGTGATATCTATCTATTTTGTGATCATGATTTCTGCAAGCATCTAGAGGTACTGCTCCAACACTGTATTGAATTAAATCCCTTATGGCACTGATAGTAACCATGTTAATTTAATAACACTTCATTGGAATAAGTTGTTTTAAAGTATGTTCATCATAAGTTTTGTACTTGTACCAACCTCAAATTATAATAGATGTGATTCATCTCATGATTTGTTACTAGTTATTTTGCTTGTATTAAGAGTGGTTTATTGTGTTTTTGATACTTTCAGTTCAGTGCAGCAGTTGGTATGTGTATGTTTTATCCGATGCCAGAATTATGGAACACAGTGGATACATCTTTATCAGTCATGATGAGCCATGAGGTTTGTATATATATATTTTTTTGTACATGTAATAATAAAATGTGTAAGGGCTGTCTCAAAAAGTCATGGACAATGGCTGTAAAACAAAAAAAAAACACCCAAGCCTGATTTAAATTTTGCACAAGGGTACCTCCCATCAATTTAAAGTCAAAGAAAAAAACAACATTATTTCAAGAAAGTAAACATACATTATTATAAATAACATACCTTGGGTGTAAGTATGTGCCCCATGCCAAAAATTGTCATTTTACTAACATAACCTGTAACCTTAGAAACAGAGTAAGAAGTCAATAACCTAAGAAATCTGCCTTATGTTTTAATATTGGCATTAACCGTATAATTATCAAGAGCCCTCTTTCCATGGAAATTATAGTCATTATTACTTTGTCTAAGCTATAGTGATTTTTTGTTTAATTTGTAATTAGCTAGCATTTATTATTACTGACATTTTTAGCTCGACTATACGAAGTATATGGAGAGCTGTCCTACTCGCCCCGGCGTCGGCGTCGGCGTCGGCGTCCGCGTCCGCGTCCAGATTTTAGATTAAAGTTTTGGTGCAGTAAAATATTTTTCACTATAACTTTGTCATTTCTTAAGGTATCAACTTCAAACTTCAAATATATGTTCCTTATCATCAACCACATCTTATGTGACAAGGTTCATAACTCTAGCACCAATATTTTCAGATTTATCTCCCCTTGAACTTAGAATTTTCCTTAAAAAATACTATTTTTTACTGATACTTCTTTATTTCTTAAGGGATCAACCTCATACTTCAAATATATGTACCTTATCATCATCCCCATCTTATGTGACAAGGTTCATAACTCTAGCACCAATATTTTCAGATTTATCTCCCCTTGAACTTAGAATTTTCCTCAAAAAATACTATTTCTTACTGTTTCTTCTTTATTTCTTAAGGGATCAACCTCATACTTCAAATATATGTACCTTATCATCATCCCCATCTTATGTGACAAGGTTCATAACTCTAGCACCAATATTTTCAGATTTATCTCCCTTTGAACTTAGAATTTTCCATAAAAAATATTATTTTTTACTGTAACTTATTTATTTCTGAAGGGATCAACTTCATACTTCAATTATATTTACGTTATCATCATCCACATCTTATGTGACAAGGTTCATAACTCTAGCACCAATATTGCAAGAATTATCTCCCCATAAACTTAGATTTATTTACTAGAAAAATGTTATTTTTTATTTTAACTTTTTTATTTTTAAAGGTATCTACCTCAAACTTCAAACACTTGTTCCTTATCATCAATTACATTTTATGTGACAATGTTCATAACTCTTGAAGCAATATTTACAGATTTATCTCTCTTTGAACTTAGGATTTTCTTTAAGAAATATAATAACTTCTTTATTTTTTAAGGTATCTACTTCAAACTTCAAATATATATTTCTTATCATTACACAAATGTTGTGTGGCAAGGTCCATAACTCTAGCATGACTATTTCTAGAGTTATTCCCCTTGATCTTGGAATTTATGTTAACAAACGTTATTTTTTACTGTAACTTAATACATAATTATAAATAATTGATTTTTCTTTCATAGTTTTGTCCTCCTTACTGCGTCCAGTATTTCATTAGTCGAGCTTCGCTGTCTCCTGTGACAGCTCTTGTTATCTCAGATTCTTACTTTTGAGAAAACTATCCAGCAAGCTTACAGAAGGTTGGTGGTTCTTCTTGGGTGCTGCCTTATGCCTAAAAAATGCACAGCTTTGGTCTTTCTCAACCAGTAAACCTGGAAAGTCACCATAAGACCTTTACAGTGTTGGTATGATTTTTAAATCAAACAAAAGATTGTCATGGAATCCCAAGAAAGAGATATTGTGATATCTTTTACTTATACCACAGTGTTTTTTTTTTGACAGGGGTTGGCATTCCTGTATCCATTTATCTCGAAACAACTGGTGAACATAGACAGTGATGATCTTCTAAAACTGGCATTCTATGACAAAGTAAAGTTTACTGATCTAAGTGCTAAAGCGCAGGCCGACCTACAGGAAGCAGGTGAGTTGGCATTGACTTATAAGTTTATAAAATTGTTTTGCGTTAAACTCGTTCTACAGCATCTGGCTTCTTTTTCATTGAAAAGTTTATCTTCGAAATAGATCCCCACAGTGTTAGGATTTTTATATGAATTTTTGAATTTGAACAGAAGGCAAATGAAGACCTAGTAAACTGAAATCATATGTAGGTTAGAGTGTTAATATACTTGAAAGCTGTTGAGAAAGTCCAATACATGTATTTGTCATAGCAAAAAAAATGTGACTATATTTACACCCTGGTATGCATTTGAATTGTTCAATGGTCCAAAGTTCTATGCTGATTTTAACTTGCGTATAGTGTTAGTTACTGCAAACTTTATCATTCAGATTACATGCATGAGCTGTGGATATAGTTTGACAAAAAATTGGAAATAATATTGATAATTTTAATATTGAGCTTTGTAAGCTTAGATGCCAGTGATAAGGGCATTGTGGTAGTTGTGTTGGTTTGGTAGTCACGGCAGTAAGCCACATTGAATTTACCAGATCACAGTTCAGCCACCCCATTGTTCCTGGGCTGGCTGTCAAGCAGTTGACCGGTACTAGTTGCCTTCACTTTTGCAAGGAACTGATTAACTACAGTACATACCAGAGCAGAGGTACAGTGCGGATGACCATAGAAAAATTTTCATGATCAATCACATCAAAAGTGACCTGTACTATCCAGGAATCAAAATAGGATCGCCATATTCACATTCTAACGCCTTACTTATTGAGTTAACTAGACGGCTCATTAAAGTTGTACTAATAGTAAACTGCTTATATAGAGGAGAGGTAGTTGATATCTGCTTGCAGAAAACATTTATATAATGGTACGACCCTTAATGAATATGCTGAAAGAATTGTTTTTAGAAATGAAAGAAAAGCAAGTAAGCAAAATTTTGTTTAATGATTAATATATTGTCATATTACCAAATTTAGTTATTTACCTCCAAGTGCTTACAGAGCTCTTATTATATTAAGTGTGACAGAAGTATTTCTTATATCAAGTCATTGTTGAAAATATCTTTAAATCAAAGAATGTGTCTGTTTATTTCAGAGCAGGGATGTGTTTTGTTTGTGTACAGGCCAAAATACATGTAAGATAAAAGTCAAATATTCTTTATAATAATATTACTGAAAGGAGAGCGCTGTTTTTCTTGCATATCAGACTGGTGTTTCCTGTTGAAAATATTTAATCTGGCATGGGGGAACCAGACGAGTCGCGTGCTATACAATGGTGTCATTTTAGCGCATTCTATTAATGAATTGCTTTAAAATGGTATCAGCATATTTAAGAAATGTAAACCCAAATTTTTTAAGAAAATTGACATTCCAATTTTACCTGATATGATTTCCAATTGGGCCTAAAATCGGGGAAGAAAATTGATTGTTTTAGGGAAGAAAATGAAATGAAATTTTATTTCCCCCAAATTAAAAACTTTGGGGTTTTTTATGGGGGGGGGGTAAAAAAGAATTTAAAAAAAATTGGGTAGAATTATGCAAAAGAAAAAATTTTTATCTGAACATTTGGGGGGGGCCGGTTCAGATGCAGAATACCCTTCCCCTCGGGGGTACCTCCACCCCATTGGGGGAAACCTCTGCCAAACCCCTGGTTACGGCGGATTCCGCCCTCAGGACGGATATTCGCAATCGCCAAAAAAAACTGCAACCCATATGTCAATGTTTCTTAATAATAATTAAATGTTTTAAATTTTTTTTTAAATTTTTAAAAAAATTAAAATTAAATTTTTTTAAACCCAAAATTTTAATGTTTTTTTAAAAATTGTTTTTGGGAAAGGGGGTTTAATGTTTTTTTTTAAAAAATGCGGGATTCCTTTATTTACTACGGAGCATTTCTACCAAAAACGGGGGAAAATATAAAAATTTGTCGGGGGGAAAGGGGTTAATATTTTGGTTTTTCCCATTAAAAAGGAAATGGCAGGCCCATGGGGAGGGGAAAAAAAAACCCCCCTTAAAGGTTTGGGGGCCGGGCCCCATGGAAACGAGAAAAAATTTACGGTAACAAAAACCTCAAATTTTAATTTTAATTGGGAAAAAAGGGAATTTGGGGAAAAAATAAAATTTCTTTTTTTGGGGTCTTTACGTTTGAAAAATTTAACCCCAGGAATCTTATAAATTTTTATCATTCCCAGTGACATTGGCGCCCAACGAGGGACTGTGACTGTGTATAGCTCAGAGTTTAATTCGCATTGCTCTGAAACCCTGAGAAATTTGAAGATGAATTTCAATATAGCTGTTTAGAACTACTGTTCACTATTTAGGGAAGAAGATGTGTAAGCGGTCAGATAGCTCAGTCAGTAGAGCCAGGGTATGGTATTCTGAGTGTCCAAGATTAAAGCTGGTCAGGCTGCACATTTTTTTCACCCTGTATGTTTCTCTGCGTAATATTCAAAAGAAAAATTTCAGGTTCAAGATTTTAGAAGACTACATTTAAGACCATATTGAAAGTACATTTAAGAACATACTATTTGACCATGCCCTTCCTGCGATCTTTTACTGAAAGGTACTAGCTGTCGGACATCATTTAGCCTGTTTGAGCAACATAAAGTCTTAACCTTTTTAACACAATTACTAGACTGACTTACCTTTGTCACTAATATATAACCAAGTCAAGATGTTCATCTGAGTAATTTGAAAATTCTGTTGGTAACATGAATTTAGTGTTGACATCAAAACCCCTCACATTGATCCTTACCACACTCAGTGTCTTAATGAACTTGTCCATATTTCAATCTGGACAAAACCATTCATCATTTATAGGGAAATTTTCAAAATATGTACTGTCTGAATAGCCAACAGTGCAGATAGCACAGATGTGTCTGCACTGGTCGGGTGGAGAGAATCATTTGCCACAAGCAGACTGAGGGTTAATAATAGACAATTTCTTATTCAAATCAAGTTAAGTCCATTATAGAAATATAGGGTAGTCAGGATTAATGTTATTCTTAGGAAAGAGAAAACATGAAGAAAGAAATCATATTTGCAACATATATTTGTACAAAATATAATGAAAGAAAAATTGTTTGCATTTTTAGCTTGACTTTTTAAAGAACATGGAGAGTTATTGTACTCACCAAGGCATCTGCATCACACTTTGGTTATGTTTTTTGTCTGCAAGTTGTTATTATATCTCTAAAACTATTAAAGAGAATGGTTAGAAACTTCACACACTTATTTGTGAGCATAATAGGATGTCAATATCCAAGGTCCATAACTCTAACATGGACTTTGACAGAATCATGGCCCTTTTTGAACTTAGATATGAATTAATTTTTTCTTTCGTTTTCAGGACGTAAGATTCAGGAGGAGAAGCTTCTTGCAGCTTTAGAGAAAGATAAAAGAGGAAAGGAAGAGAAAATGGAAACATAGATGGGGTTCCCGAACAACATTTTTTTTTTTTTTAAAAATAGAGCAATTTCATAGATTTGTCTTATGCACATTTTCTACATTAAAAATTCAGAAATCAAATTTCTGCTCATTGTTTCATGGATATTTCTTTGAGGGATATTATTTAAAAAATCTCCTGCATGAATATTGAAGTTTTATATGATGTTCATCAATACAGTAAGAAGAAATATTACAAATTTTCTGTGAATGTTGTAGGAGTTTAATGTTTTTGTGTAACTTTTCGCTAATTATTGAGTAAGCCAGGGTTTGAATGTTAATGAAGTATGGATTTAAAAATTTACAAATTGTATTAGATAAGGTTCAGAAAATACATGATTATTGATGTTATCACCTGATGTGGCTCATCGTTTATATAATTGAGCCGCGTCACGACAAAACCAACATAATGCGTTTGCGACTAGCATGGATCCAGACCAGTCTGATCAGGATCCATGCTATTTGCTTACCAACTCAATTACAAGTAGAGAAACTGATAGCGAACAGCATGGATCCTGATCAGACTGCGGGGATGCGCAGGCTGGTCTGGATCCATGCTGGTTGCAAACGCACTGTGTTGGTTTTGTCATGACACGGCTCATTTTTTATGTTGTTTTATATTTGTCACAATAAATATGAAAATGGCCAATCAAATTAAGATATTGTCGTTATTCTGTATTTTTTGGATTTATGATAACATGTAATGCAAAAAATCTTCAATATATATTTGATTACTGTGATGTATATGTGAATTATACAACTTGCCAAATAAATTTGAACAGGTAAGAGGAAATTTTGCAATCATTTTTTCACATCATACATTATGAAAGGATTTCATGCAAAATTGGTGTTCCAAGGTCAATTGACCAGTTGAAGGTCAAGACCTCCTTTGATGGTCAGGCCTCTCTTGTTTCTAAGAAAATCAATGTGTTAATTCTTTGAAATACATTATTATTTAAGGTGAATGAAATTAGCAAAATAATCTTTATTTTAAAACTTTATTATTGACATGTTGTCATGTTATTGTAGCCATAATCATGATAAGAACATTATCATTATTTCATTATGTTTTCTCATCTTTTAATCATCCAAGAAGTTGTATTGTACTGGTATTTCTTTAAGAAATGAATAAAATATGTTTTGAAAAAATGAAATATTTTGTTTTTTATATTGTGTCTGGTATTTGGAGGGTAAACTGGTAACTGTGGTACTATTTCCCTATTGAATGATGCATATGGAGTGTCGTACACTCTGTAAAATTAAAATAATCCGTTCAGTTTTGTTTAGTATTTACACAGTATGTGGAGTATTGTAACTATAAATTAGGTTACGCATCATTTCCTTGATTATATGCCAATGGAGCATGATCTGTCTTTTTTGTTTTCAAAAATAGGTAAGTTGTTGTGCATGCCATTTTGTTAATTCATTTTTATACCCCCACACAACAAAGTTGTAAGGGGGGTATACTGGAATCAGGTTGTCCGTCCGTCCGGCCGTCCGTCAGTTTTTTCTTGTCCGCCCAATCACTTATATTCCTTTGACCTTTAGTCTTCATATTTGGCATGGAGGTTAGTCATGATTAGTAGATGACCCCTATTGATTTTGAGGTCACCAGGTCAAAGGTCAAGGTCACAGGGGCCTTGACTTCAAAAAGATTGTCCGCCCAATAACTTAAGATTCCTTTGACCTACAGTCTTCATATTTGGCATTGAGGTTAGTCATGATTAGTAGATGACCCCTATCGATTTTGAGGTCACCAGGTCAAAGGTCAAGGTCACAGGGGCCTTGACTTCAAAAAGCTAGTCCGCCCAATAACTTAAGATTCCTTTGACCTACAGTCTTTATATTTGGCATGGAGGTTAATCATGATTAGTAGATGACCCCTATTGATTTTGAGGTCACCAGGTCAAGGTCACAGGGGCCTTGACTTCAAAAAGCTTGTCCGCCCAATAACTTAAGATTCCTTTGACCTACAGTCTTCATATTTGGCATGGAGGTTAGTCATGATTAGTAGATGACCCCTATTGATTTTGAGGTCACCAGGTCAAAGGTCAAGGTCACAGGGGCCTTGACTTCATAAAGCTTGTCCGTCCAATAGCTTTAGATCCCTTTGACCAACAGTCTTCATATTTGGCATGGAGGTTAGTCATGATTAGTAGATGACCCCTATTGATTTTGAGGTCACCAGGTCAAAGGTCATGGTCACAGGGGCCTTGACTATAAAAAGCTTGTCTGCCCAATAACTTTAGATGCCTTTGACCCACAGTCTTCATATTTGGAATGGAGGTTAGTCATGATTAGTAGATGACCCCTTTTGATTTTGAGGTCACTGGATCAAGGTCAAGGTCAGATGGACCTTGACAAAAAAAGCTTTTCTTCTCAATTGCTAAAGAATGCCTGTCCGCAGTGTATTGATTTTGACATTTTCACATTTGAATCATGTAGAATACATAACTTAGCAATGCACTGGCTTAGTAACCTCAGATTTGGCAGGGAGGTTGGCCTTGAGCTCTAAATGGCCACTGTTGATTCTGACAAAGTGGTATGTGGGGGTATTCACGCCATGATAGTTGCAGTTCTAGTTAGCTGAGGTTTGGTTATGACCTTTACCTAAAGCATAACAACATACTGTACTGCTGGATTTTACACCGTGGTAAATATCACGATATTTAATAATATATTGAGGGGTGGTGGATGTGTTACTTCACCAGTAAAACTGGAAAGTTGCCATGTTATCATTAGGGTGTCTGTGTGACTTGATAATATTGTCACAATATCATTGGTGTAGGCCGAGTGGTTAAGGTTGTATACTTAAAACCACTTGCCTCTCGGCGTTGTTGGTTTGATCTGCGCAAGTGCCCTTGAATTCTTTCATGTGAAAAAGGTATCCAGCTAGCTTACTGAATGTTGGTGGTTCTACTCGGGTGCCTGTTTGTGCCTAAAATAATGCACAAAGGGGCACCCGAGGTCTTCCTCCAGCAGTAAAGCTGAAAAGTTGCCATATGACCTATACTTTGTTGGTGCGACCCAACCAAAAAACAAACAAAAAATGAAACAATAAAAAAAGAAGGAAAAATTATGGAATCGTAAATTGTTGTACATTTTTCCTGGAAGTACAAAGCTCTAGTAAAAAGAAAAGTAAATCCATCTCCATGTCCATTAACATGAGTATATTGCAAATCCATTGGTTACTATCTGGTATCTGTCCTTATTTGGTCAATGGCTTTGAGAGAATGTAAAAATAGTCGTAGTTGTTCAGTATTGTATACCTGTTATATGACTTACTATCAAAAGATACTGAGCATCAATTAAACAACACTAGATTGATTTCTGTTCAAGGTTGCAATTTCTTCTAACTTCTGATTAATTTCTGTTAAAACAAAATTATTTACTACTCGCAACATTTTGCTGTTCTTTGATTTTACTAGTCAGCCTAGGATTTTGATGAGTTATTGCCCCTGAACTAGTAGCAAAGGCAGAAAATGTCTGCTCAGAGTGTCAACTTCAAAAAGATTTGGAATATTTAAAACAACATTTGCTAGGAGTTGCACCTGAGTCTGTACATATGAGCAATTTGACCAGACCTACTCAGTCTTAATATTCTGATAACAGTACAAAATACAAAGTGAGACAACTTATTTAAACTGATCATGGTATGAGATGATATCTGGTAGCTGAAAAAATGCCATGTTTAAGTTTTTGAGAGCAATGCAAAATGTAAGACAAAATTGTTCAGTTTTCTAAAAGGTATGAAAGATTTATAAACTGCATAATGAAATATTTACGAGATAGTATGCCAAGATACACATCCTGACATGTAAATATTTACACATGCAGAATTTATCTTGTAACTAGGTCAGTTAATAGTGTTCATAAAAGGATATGTGTGTGACTATGCAAACTCTGCTTTAAATTGTTATCAGTTAGAAGTCTACTATCAACAATACTGAATGTCAATACAGTCGGGCTCCTTTAAAATGGCACAGTTTAACCTTAGTGAGTAATCCATTGTAAAGTAATGAAACTGCTTTGATGATTGTATGTGTTTATACCATTTTAAAGTAATGTTTCTAAATAAGAATTATGATATGACAAGTGGAGAGATAGAAAGCTAAATGTACAGTTAATAGCTTTGAAATTGTAATCTTACTTGGAAGTGTTATATGTAAATAGTTGTCTATTTTATTAGGGAACATGGCTTGACAGTCTATAGTTTGGCTCTCTGCATATGTCAATATATTTTCATGCTATATTCAATAATAAGAATGAGCAATCTTTATCAAATTTAAGTACATCAAGTTACTAATACAAAGAAAATCCCAAAAATATTTCTTGAGTAACCTCCCCTGAAATTTAGAAATGTGTGTCTAATTACCTCCCTTGATGTCCCTTTTACATCCTGTTATACAATGAAAGGGATAATTATGAGGTATCCCCATTGTTGGACTTACAAGTTTCTGACTCTAATTTATTACATATGCATTGGATACATTATGAGGAAAATTGATTGGAAAAAAAAAAACATGCACACAAATACAAATATGAATCCTCTTGGAACTGCTTGCAAATTATCTTAGGAGAAGAATTTCATAAGACATGCTCAATGAAGAGTGAGTTGATTACTGAAGATGATGATGATGACACGTTGTCTTTCATAATATTTGAATTGCTCTCTGTAAATTGCAACATGTATATATATTCTGAGAAATAAAATATGTTTAAACTAAATTGTTTACGTTAAGATTAATCTGTTGGAAATATGTATGTATATTTGAATGAATGTTTATCATATAAAAGTTAATGATTGTAAACCAATTAATTCTCCCAACTAGAAATGTCAACACAGCTGATGTGCTGTTATATTTGTGCCTTTTTAATACAGTCAAGCTGTATAAAAGTTTGCATTAGTAATTGGCGTCCGCGCCGAAGCGCGGCGCTCTTATGGAATGAGATCAGATTTTGTGAAAGGGCGACAGCAACTTCTCGAGCCTTTAAGTCAGTCATAATAAAAGCCGAAAATTCCGATCGGTATGAGGGTGCTTGATTATTAAATAAGATACAATGTCGCGATATGTTACAATGAATTTTCGCAATGCAAACATTTACAAATGAAATAACCTTTTCCGTCAATAAATCGCGCTCTTCGGGGTTTTTTATTTATCATTTTGTAGTACACAGTCGGTTATCATGTCATGGTATGTTATTGTTGTACATGTATCCTAGAATGATCAGTTGATGACCTAAATATTCCAAAAACCTATTTATCTTTTTATCACTCCTATCGGTAAATGCCGGTCTCTCCCGGTCTATTTTGACCAGGATTTACATGTACTAGTGACCGGCGAATAGTACCACACGTTTATTGTCCGGTCTCTCCCGGTTTTGGAGTAGATGTTTAATATCGTTACAATTAGAAAAAAACAACAATAGCATGTTTCATTTTATCTATATGAGATAAAAACAATAAATATGTACACGGATTTATATGTAATATAAATCCGTGATATGTACAATAATTGAGAAAAAGGTACATTTTTTATGGTATTAAAATGACATTATCAACTTTGAAACATTTTATTTAATTATTCAATTTGTTATCCGTGTTTAGTAAAGATGCCGAGGAATTATTCAAAGTTACAAATTAGATTTTATGAATTATTCAATTGATCGATAATTTAAAAAATGATAAAGAAAAATACAATGTACATGTACATGGTTTAAGAATAAACAATATTATATATTGAAAGATAAACCATAATTTACTGACTTTTTCCAGTTAAGCTTTGACTTATAATCGTCGGTCAATATGACAATTCAATTCTTAAAATTTATTTTACAATTTTAATAAAAAAGAGTAGGAAAAACTCAGTATTAAAATAGCACATAAAACACAAAAAAGAATAAAAGAAAACAATATTCATAAAATTTGTATTTTTTTTTAATTAAAATTAATAGATATTACAATTATTGTATAATAAACAATTATGCTCAACATGATCAACATGGTAATATAACCAGTGTCATATTTTTACTAACTTAAAGTGTGAACAGATACCTTAAGGGGGTCTTCGCTAATAGCGATAACATGTACATAATAAGGGACAAATGTGTGGTACGTGTTGATCATGCGTTACACATATGGATTATAAATGATTGCATACATGTATATCCGTTGCTATTAATAACCACGATCATAAAGAAATAACAAGTAATATTCTAATCTCTAGCATGCCAATCAAAGTTCATAATGAACAATGTCTTTCGTCCGCTCATTCATAAGTGGTATACATTTCTGGTAGTTTATAAGAATATCTTGTCATCATATGTGTACTAGTTCATCTTCACTTGCTGCATAACTTGCTTGGACGCCCTTTGATGCTTTGCATCAATGCTTTTCTTGTAGGCACTTGAAACTGGATTTTATTGAGTAAAGGTTTCATTTTCCATAATTTTTATGCTAAAATGCTTGCAGCTAGAACTGTGCGTAAATTTCAGAAATCTTTTGGATTTTTGTCTATACTGCAAGGACAAACATGCAAGGTATGTTTTTAATTTTTCATTAAACAAAATTTTGTGTAAGTGGCATGTATTTTTTGCAACATGAGGTGGTGGTGGTTTTGGTAGCTTTCACTCCGGATCACGACAGTAAGCCACATTGAATTCACCAAGCACAGTTTAACCAACGCACTGTTCCTGGGCAGGCTGTCGAGCAGTTTACCAGTACTAGTTGCCTTCACTTTTTGCACTGAAACTGATGTACATGCCAGAGCAGAGGTACAGTGAGAATGACCATAGAAAGGATTTCATGTTCAATCACAACGAAAGTGATCTGCGCTGTTCGGGAATTGAACCCGGGTCGCCCGATTCCAGTCCAAGGCTCTACCTATTGAGCTAACCAGCTGGCAACATGAGTGAAATATAAACATTATATATAATGGTGTATGGCTATTTTTAGCTCACCTGAGCATTAAATGTTCAGATGTGAGCTTTTGTGATGGCAGTGTGTCTGTTGTCAATCATGGTCCACAATTCCTTTAAACAACAATATTCCTAAACCACTTCATGGATTTTGAACAAACTTCACAGGAATCTTCCTTATGTGACCATCAACAAACTTTACAATAATAGCATTAAGTTATAGCAAGTGCTTAAATATATCACTGATATATGGCTTGTGGCACCACCTTGTATTCACTTACAGATGTGTAAATCATGCCCCCAGTCAAAATTGGCCCTGCCTTATGAAGGTGAGTGATCTACGGCCATTATGGCTCTCTTGTTATATATCATTTCTTGCCAATTCTTTTTTCCCCCCAAAATCAATTTAAAATAGGAAAGGATTGTGACTTAAAGGTCAAGGTAGGTGTTCATTGTTGCATCTTAGCATGTTTCCTCTTTCATACATGTATTGTATTGGAATAGAATAATTTATGCCAGGAAAAAGCTTGTCAGGAATAAGTTTTCTTGATTGCGTGGAGAAGAAGCACCAAGTGCTCAAAGGTGAACAATGATCATTTATGTTTTAACTTTTTTCATTCAACCTGTATATGAAACTTGGTAAGCAATATTTCAATTTCTGTCTTCAACATGAATATCTAGACCATTAAATCTAGGCCACTTGAAAACCCAGGGGCCCGTCTTATCAACGATCGTACGATTTTGGAAATCTTATCGTACGATTTTGATCTACGATTGTCGTATGCTCGATCGTAAGACTGTCTTATCAACGGGGTTGTACGTTCAACCTAAAATCTTACGATTTTCATAGACGTACGGTTCTTACGCCTGCGCAGTATCATGGGTCGGTCGGTCTAAAACTCAGATGCTTATGCAGACAATATAGGAAATACAATGTATAGTAAAACGCAGACAATAAAGATATAGAGTGTGTTCAAAAAGACGCAGACAATATAGAATAAGAAGTTGTAAATAAGATATTTAAAAGCTGTTTAGATTTGTATGTTTAAGATCAAAATTTTAAGATATTTGAGATTTGTAGTATAAATATTTGTAATAGATTAGAATTTTAAAGAATACTGTAGAAATATTTTTTATGATTTTTTATTAAGATGATACAAATTAAGAAATAATAAATAGTGATATTAAAAAGACTTTTTGACATACTTTGCTTGATTTGTATTAACTTTTATGAATTTAAGATAAAATGTCTAATATAAGTTTTGTTAACTTAAATAAGCAGAATTTTAATGGAGACAATAAAATAAATTTCAAAACAAATTTAAAAAACAGAACATATTTTTATTTGATTTTTATACATAGTCCATCTACAAAGTAATCATTTAATAGTTAATAAAACAATGTTATAAAGCATTTATAATTATTAAAAAAAAAAACAATGTGTTGTAAAAATATAAATATCATTATCATTAAAAAACAATATATATACAATATCAAATCACTATATATATCTATAATGTATGCGTTTCTTGCAATTACTATATACTCTATATTGTCTGCATTTTACGATATGTTCTATACTGCAAATAAACCTAGAGTAAAGTGCACACGCTATAGCGTATAGTACCTGCGAGAAATGCAGACAATATAGATACATATAGTGAAAATAAAGCCAACTTGTAGATGTACTTGTAGTTATATTTGATTTTTTATATTATTTGTTGTTTAGTACTAAAGAAAATTAATAACAGTCTAACATTATATCTAAATGTGTTTATTGGGGCTAGATTAAAGCAATATAAAGATAAATCATCATTTACCACTTTCTAATTTCTATTTTTACATGAATTTACTGTTTCATATTTCAGCTTTCAGAAAGAAAAAGAAACACACATGTCTTGGATAATGACAGACTATTCTCACCCTAACCAGTTCCTCCGTCCGACAGTTCTCACTCGAACCGTTTCCATCATTTTCCTCCCCTGACAGCCCCCAACCCCCCTCAAAAATATCATTTATTTATTTTCATTTTTTTTCTACACAGGAATTTTAGTTTTATTTATATTATTTTCTCTCAATATTTGCACTTGATGCCTGAAAGGCCTTCTTTTTCTACGGCCTTGTAGCATTTACAGGAAGCACGGCAGTCATTTGTTTGATCTACGACTGCTTCTCAGCAATCGTAGAAAAAATGCACGATCTTACGATAATGAAAATCTGCGACGTTTGATAAGACACCGCCAAAATCATACGATCGACGTACAACAATGGTACGATAAAAACGGTCGTATGACCGTTGATAAGACGGGCCACAGGCCACTAGGCCAGTCTTTTCGGTATCTTTGTAGTCAGGTTGCTAGTTTTTCTTAATTAAATGAAATTTAGGGCCATGAAATGACCTTATCAAATGAATTGTTGTGACATTTATTTTTGAAGGCAAGGCAAAGCCACAATGGCACTCTTGTTTTTATACTGTTGTGGCAAGGTACTCACAGATTTCATGAAATGTATTGGGCAGACTTCTACTCAAAATATATATCTGTCATGTTCATTGTCATGTCATTTAAATAATATAACCATGAAGATATAATTTGTCATACTTTTCATATTTTACAGAAATGTTTCTCTACAACAAATACAAGCTTGAATGACAAGGTCTATGAGTTAAGAACATACTCCATTCATCCTAAAGATATGAAACAGTTTATGGAACTTAGTAACCAATTTATGGGCATTAGAATGAAACACTCAAAGCTGATTGGCTACTGGCTCAGTGAAATAGGCGGGATCAATGATGTTGTACACATATGGGAGTATGGTATGTAGTTTTGTACGGTGTATGTTTGTTTACACATTCTGCACTTGTGTAGATGATGTCAGATGTAGTGAATTACGTTATATCAGCATTTCTGAGGTCACATGTGAATCTGATTTTTCTTTGAAAAGAAAACCCTTTTGTTCCTTACTGTACGTTATTTTAGATTCAAGGTGGTACAAAATTTTTAATAAGCAACTTTAAGATACCTCTATCACTTTAAATAATTCCTAATGTGATTCAAACTCTTCTGTGTCAGTCAAAGAGTTCATGCACAGACTTAGAGACATCAATAACATTATATGATAGGCAATGTCTTATTTTACATGTCTTATACAATTACCAATGAGGAGCACTTTCAAATGGATATAAAGATAGGTATATTATACATACCCTATGTACAGAATTTTTTTTTTCATCAAAGTACATAATATTATGTTTATTTGAATGGAAATTTAGAATGAAATATGCAGAAAAAGGTAATGTTAAATGCCCATGCTGTAAATTAAGACAAACCTTTTGGTATATAGGTAAACATTTTCCTAATTAATGTGTTTCAGATAGTCTTGGTCACAGAGCAAAAGTGAGACAGGCTTTGGCCGGAGATCCTGAGTGGGTTGGGAATTATTTTAGCAAAATATTACCATGGATGCATAGGCAAGAAAACAGTCTCATGAAAAGTCTTCCAGGAATACCTGTACTAGAGTCTCCATCAAATGGTAAATAATTTTCAAACATTTTTTTTTTCTTTTACTTTTCTTATTACACATGTACATTTCATTTTGTTAAATTTGTTTGTTTGGGTTTTAAAAGTTGCACCAACACAGTATAGGTCATATGGCGAGTTTCCAGCTTTACAGGTGGAGAGAAACCTCAGGTGCCCTCTGTACATTATTTCAGGCACAAATGGGCACCTGAGTAGTCAACGACCTTAACCACTCAGTCACGTACGCCCAACATGTTAAGTTTATTTCAAAGATGTTTGTGAATGAAGACATATTGTTCTGTGTGTAATAACACCTTAATAATAGCTTTCAAATGAAATTCCACAGAATAGAATATTGTTTTCCACAAGTGCTTCGGGCATATTGTCGTTAGTTTTGTGAGTCTACCATTGTTTGGGTATTATGGCCCTTGATTTTTTTACACAGATATTTTTTTTTTCACATAGGTAAAATTAAGAGAAATGCTCTTTTGCATGCAAATATTTCTTAAGGGATTTCAACCAAACCTTTAGAGACCTGTTTTCATTAAGTGCCCTCGGCATATTGTCTGGGTTATGAAATTTAATCATTACTGGCAGAGTAACTGGCTTGAAAGTTATAAAACATTTGTCTGAGCAATGTCACTGTCAGTGTACCTTCTTTGCTTATAGTATTGGTTTTCCAGCAATTTGAATTAGAAACTGCATCGCTTTGAAAATTGTGAAAGCTCGCTGATGTTTGGCTGTTTGAAAGATCGCAATAAGGTGGACTACCTTTTGGTGGTTGTCAGATCCTAATGCATAATGTTATTTAGGAGCTGATTTTAATCAGATTGTCATATACCTGAGATCTGAATTTTAGAAAAGGACATTTCATTAAAACCTTAGTCCCTGGTTTTGTGGAAAAAAATCTGCAATTTGTTTCAGCATATTTTTATGTATATTATAAGTTTTAGGTATAAGATTTTGTTATTTCAGGTGTATATGAAAGTCAAGCTTTTGTCAGCACCAAGGGTAAAGATGAGACAGCCTCTGTTGTGAAAAATATACAAAGATCGTCTGCTACATTGTTAGGAAGCTGGTATTGCATTTTGGGATATGAATCAATTGGTAACATTTTATGCCCACTCCTTTAAGTTGTCCTTGAACAAATTATCCACTTAATTATCTTCCAATGAAAATTGGGAAGTGAAATTGGTCAGCAAACATAAAAGAGCAAAGTCATGCTACACATATGTGTAAATTTATTTTGGGAAAGGTCCCCTGGCATAAATTGGGAAAATTGGCATAAATTGGGATAATTTATGCAATATATTGGAAAATTTTCGAAACTTTAAAAAGTTGAAGGTCTACCTTATACATGAAATTTTGTATGATTACATGACCTGTCACTTCAATTTTTCTCAAAAGTTGAAACACTTTTCTGAACTTGGAGAAAAAAGAGGCTATTTTGGATTGGGAATGAGACCTTATTTTGGCCCACTGGTGAAAGGTTGAAAATGCCCAGATACTGGTGACAAAAACTTTTCTGTTCCTGTTTTAGTATTGTAAAGATAATTTGTTATATATAATGAAAGAGCTTGTCTTTAAATAGCAAAGAATAATATGTTAATATATTTTTCAGGTTTGATGCTGTGGCATCATCCAGACGTTGACAATGTTGTAGCCACATCGGAAAAATCACTCAAAGATAGCGGTAAATGTCTTTAGTTCATACTCTATAAATGGTTACCATATTCACACTGTTTTAAGCTCGGTTATACGAAGGAAAGAAAGAGCTATTGTACACTCTGGCGTCGGCATCACACTTCGTGCAAGTCGGTATCTCCAAAACTACTGTATTGAAGACAATGGCTTGAAACTTAATACGCTTATTGAGAGCATAGTAGGAAATCACTTTCCAAGGCCCATAACTCTAACACGGATTTTGACAGAATTATTATTAAATTCCTTGTTAAGATCTTGTATTCTAATTATTCCTCAACACCTCAGATAGTATTCACTTGAAGTTTCAAACATGTCATTTTTGTCATCATTGTAGGTCACTAATTAAGACCCATAACTGTAACATTATTTTTTTTTACTGAATTATCTCAAGTTGTGAACTGGGAAAAAGTTTTTTGCATGACTCTTGATTTACTATGTAGCACTGAGAATATTTGACTGTATAATTGAGTAAGATGTCCTTTGACAGTTTTTGTTTCATTTGAATACTAGACAAAGTTGTAATTACATGAGAACTAAAACATTTGTATATATATATTTCAGGTGTGACAGTGGTACATTCTCGTCTCCTGTTACCCACACCATGGTCACCTTTGAAATAAAGAATCTCCTCTACATATAAGATGAACAAATTGTTTCAGTTAGTAATCTGTTACAAGTGCCACAAACAGTGAAAGTGTATATATATTTCATTCATTTAGATGGAATTTTAGTCATATTTTTTTCTTATTGTTCGGTAGATGCCAGTTACTGTTGATATATGTAGTGTTTAATAAAGCTGTACATAGAAATAAAGATTTAAGTGATAGATTTTTCGGGTATAATAGACATTCCAAAAGACTACAAGTATTCACTTATGAATTTGAAAATGACTCTTTTGAAGAATTGTTGAGTTTCTTAAAAATATAAATATATATAAATGTCAAGATTATCCAATGAAAATAGATGTTACAAATGTGCTGTATTACAATATATATGATTAATGAATATCACATGCTTATTACTAGTATCATGATATTACACTTTAGGGTTGTTCTCTTACAATGTACACTTGAGAGGTTAATATAACAAGTTCACTTATTTATTAACCTAGATAAAACAAGAGTGTTATTGCAAATGGTTGTATTGACTATCATATATACATGTATATCACAGTTGTTATATGTATCTAGCAGCTGCTCAAAGGTATTATTACATGTATTATGTTTTTTTATTACTAAAGAATCAGTAAGTATTTGTTCATTGTTATTTATTTTTTCCGTATCCTAGTTCATAGATGAAATATTCAAGCATCAGTTCAAAGTTGTTGCTACATTGTTTTGTTGTTGTTGTTTCTGTTATTTTGTATTTGTTGGTTTTTATGTTGCACCAACACTTTCAAGGTTATATGTTGGCTTTTCATTTATATTGGTGAAGGAAGACCTCAGTTGCCCCTCTATGCATTATTTTAGACACAAACAGGCACCTGAGTAGAACACTGACATTCCGTAAGCTAGCTGAATAAGTTTCCTCACATGAAAGAATCTGAAGTCCCTTGCGTGATTCAAACCCACAGCATTGAAGTGACATGTTCCATAGTGTTATTTCTTAGCTGTTTTTACTTGAAGAAAGCATCATTGGACAGATGTAGCTACAGCTTAACAGTTTTTACTTGCCCCATGTCATTAGTTTATGCTAATTTACACATTTGTTTACAGTTCTTACTTGTTCCAAAGCATCAGTTCACAGTTTTTGGTACTTTTTCCAAAGCAACAGTTCACAGTTTTTGTTACTTTTCCCAAAGCATCAGTTCAAAGTTTTTGTTACTTTTCCAAAGAATCAGTTCACAGTTGTTACTGTTTCCCAAAGCATCAGTTCAAAGTTTTTGTTATTTGTTCCAAAGCATCAGTTCACAGTTTTTGTTATTTTTTTTTTTCCAAAGCATCAGTTCACAGTTGTTACTGTTTCCCAAAACATCAGTTCAAAGTTTTTGTTATTTGTTCCAAAGCATCAGTTCACAGTTTATGTTACTTTTTATACGCCCGTTTGAAAAACGGGACGTATTATGGGAACGCCCCTGGCGGGCGGGCGGGCGGCGTCCAATTTTGTCCGGAGCATATCTCCTACATGTATGGAGGGATTTTAATGAAACTTCATAGAAATGTTCACCACTATGAGGAGCAGTGTCGCGCACATGAACCAGGTCTCTAGTCAAAGGTCAAGGTTACAACTTAGAGCTCATTGAAAAATGCTTGTCGGGAGTAAAACTTCCACATGTATAGAGGGATTTCAATATTACTTGACACAAATGTTCACCATTGTGAGGCGGAGTGTCGCGCGCCAAGATTCAGGTCCTTTCGGCCAAGGTCAAGGTCACACATAGAGGTCAAAGTTCAGATAAAAAATATGGTGATGTGTATATGGACCATTTAGTCATCATTTATTGAGGAATTGTAACACAAATGGTCATTATCAAGACTATGGCTGTGATACATATAATTTAGGTCAATATATACAAGGTCAAGGTCACTAAAGATGATGAAATAACCAGATTTTGTCCGGAGCATATCTCCTACACGCATGGAGGGATTTTAATGAAATTTCATAGAAATGTTCACCATTATGAGAAGCCATGTCACGCACATGAACTCGGTCTCTAGGTCAAAGGTCAAGGTCACACTTAGAGCTCATTGAAAAATGCTTGTCCGGAGCAAAACTTCCACATGCATAGAGGGATTTCAATATTACTTGGCACAAATGTTCACCATTGTGAGGCGGAGTGTCGCGCACAAAATTCAGGTCCCTGCAGGCAAGGTCAAGGCCACACATAGAGGTCAAAGTTTAGATAAAAATATGAAGATGTGTAAAGGGACGATTTAATCATCATTTATTGAGGGATTGTAACACAAATGGTCATTATCATGACTACGGCTATGACACATGTACTTTAGGTCAATATATGCAAGGTCAAGGTCACTAAAGATGGTGAAATATCCAGATTTTGTCTGGAGCATATCTCCTACATGTATGGAAGAATTTTTATAATACTTTATGGAAATGTTCACCACCATGATATGTATTGCTCCATGCATGATCCAGGTCTCCAGGTCAAAGGTCAAGGTCACACTTAGAGCTCATTGAAAAACGCTTGTCCGGAGCAAAACTTCTACATTCATAGGGGGATTTCAATATAACTTGGCACAAATGTTCACCATTGTGAGGCTGAGTGTTGCACGCAAAATTCAGATCCCTGCGACCAAAGTCAACGTTACACATAGAGGTCAAAGTTCAGATAAAAATTTGAAGATGTGTATAGGGACCATTTAGTCATCATTTATTGATGGATTGTAGCACAAATGGTAACTATCATGACTACAGGTGTGACACATTTAATTTAGGTTAATATTTGCAAGGTCAAGGTCACTGGAGATGATTAAATATCCAGATGTTGTCCGGAGCATATTTTCTACATGCATGGAGGAATTTTAATGTTACTTTATAGAATTGTTCACCACCATGAGATGAGTGCCATGCACATGAACCAAGTCTCCAGGTCAAAGGTGAAGGTCACAGTTAGAGCTCATAGAAAAACGCTTGTCTGGAGCAAAACTTCTACATGCATAGAGAGATTTCAATATAATTTGGCACAAATGTTCATCATTGTGAGGCTGAGTGCCGTGCATTATTCAGGTCCCTGCGACCAAGGTCAAGGTCACACATCCTGTGCATATCTTCCCTACTGATTTGTTTTAAAGTTCATTTAACAACACAGTGCCAAGGATAAAAACTTGCTTGCTAGATAACACTTATCCATAATGCCCCCATCTCAATCTAAAGCTTTCGTAAACGGGCGTATTTTGTGACTATGGCACCCTTGTTTCAAAGCATCAGTTCACAGTTTTTATAACTTGTTCCAAAACATCTGTTCAGAGTTGTAACTGTTTCCCAAACCACCCATTCAAAGTTTTTGTTATTTGTTCCAAAGAATTAGTTCACAGTTTTTATTACTTCTTCACTTCTTCCAAAGCATCAGTTCAATGTTTTTGTTAGTTTTTCCGAAGCATCAGTTTAAAGTTTTTACAACTTGTTCCAAAACATCTGTTCACAGTTGTTACTTTTTCCCAAAGCACACATTTAAAATTTTTGTTTTTTGTTCCAAAGCATCAGTTTACAATTATTGTTACTTTTCCTAAACATCAGTTAACAGTTCTTTTACTTTTTCCAAAGCATCAGTTTACAGTTGGTATTGTTTCCCAAAGCATCCATTCAAAGTTTATGTTCCAAAGCATCAGTTTACAGTTGTTACTGTTTCCAAAAGCATCCATTCAAAAGTTTTAATTTTTGTTCCAAAGCATCAGTTCACAGTTTTTGTTACTTCTTCTAAAGTATCAGTTTACAGTTGTCACTGTTTCCCAATGAATCAGTTTAAAGTTTTTCTTATTTGTTCCAAAGCATCAGTTCACAGTTTTTGTTACCTTTTCCAAAGCATCAGTTCACAGTTTTTGTTACTTCTTCTAAAGTATCAGTTCACAGTTGTCACTGTTTCCCAATGAATCAGTTCAAAGTTTTTGTTATTTGTTCCAAAGCATCAGTTCACAGTTTTTGTTACTTTTTCCAAAGCATCAGTTCACAGTTTTTGTTACCTTTTCCAAAGCATCAGTTCACAGTTTTTGTAACTTGTTCCAAAACATCTGTTCAGAGTTGTAACTGTTTCACAAAGCATCCATTCAAAGTTTGTTAGTTTCCCAAAGCATCTATTCAAAGTTTTTGTTAGCTTTTCCAAACCATCAGTTCACAGTTTTTGTTACTTTTTCCAAAACATCTTTTCAAAGTTGTTTATGTTTCCCAAAGCATCCAGTCAAAGTTTTTGTTTTTTGTTCCAAAGCATCAGTTCACAGTTATTGTTTTTTCCAAAGCATCAGTCCAATATTTTTGTTATTTGTTCCAAAGAATCAGTTCACAGTTTTTGTTACTTTTTCCAAAGCATCTGTTCACAGTTGTTACTGTTTTCAAAAGCATCAGTTCAATGTTTTTGTTATTTAATCCAAAGAATCAGTTCATAGTTGTTACTCTTTCCCAAAGCATCAGTTCAAAGTTTTACTTACTTGTTCCAAAGCACAAGTTCAGAGTTTTTGTAAGTTTTTCTAAAGCATCAGTTCACAGTTGTTACTGTTTCCGAAAGCGTAAGTTCACAGTTTTAGTTATTTGTTCCAAAGCATCAGTTCACAGTTTTTGTTACTTGCTTCAAAGCATCAGTTCATAGTTGTTATTATTACCTGATATCTTATATTAATGTTATTTGGTATTTTTAACTGTTTTCTGAAATTCTTAAAACGTCAACTATCGTGAACTGTTGACCAGTCAATAGTTTTGACTGTTTCCCTCGAGTGCTCTGACGTTATTGACATCAAAGAGGATTCCTATTTGAAGCTTCCATCGATTTTGACCATAAACCAGATGTGACGTGACATAGTTAAAGTATTAAGTTTAATTATTAACATATTTACCCATTACTTCATATACACGCCTTTTAACGCCTTTTTCACCCCCCCCCCTCTTTTTGTTGTCTCAAATGGTGAAAAAATGCATTATTTAGGCCCTTAACACTTGTTTTTGTTTGAGAAATGTTGTTAAAAAAAGTGACCACTTTTTCGGAGCGGCCCCCCCAACCAAAAATACATCAGGGGGTTGCCAGAAGGGGGATGTGCCCCCTTCTGTTTGGGGGGTTTGAAGGGGGGCGGAGTCCCCCTCATCGCCAAGAAAATTTTGATTGTGAGAGGCTTAAATGACCCAGATTGATCATAAGGTAACGTGTAACCAACGCTGAAAAACATTTGATCTATCTCAATCCATTTGAGAAGTTGCAGCACTTTGAAATCAATTATATTGGAAAAAGTCAACGCAAAATATGATTTTTGGCAATTTTGAGATGTCCACTCGTTGCCATGGTAACAGAAAATTTAAGCCTGAGCATGTTGTTGCAAGGGCAATGGTCCAGTCAACCATTTGTGCCAAGTTTGATTAGTGTTGAAGCAGTTTTATAGTATTATAGCAATTTGAACTTGTAACGGGAGACTTTTCAATGAAAACAGCCATTTTTCACAAAATGCTCATGAAGTAATGGGTTAATAATGTGCAAAACTATTTTCTTGTTCCTTTTTCTTCTGCAAGTACTGTCAAAACACTAATTGATCGGGTAATAAAACAGTTATTTCATATGTGATTCGGGAACAGCCAAACAGTTGTCCTTCGGTGTC